GGTGGTGGCGGATCCATGCTCTGTAAGTAAACCCCATGGTGAGAATGAGCGTGAGGGGGACACAGGGGGAAGGGGACATTCAAACCATGGACTCCACTTACCTGACAAACGCCAACACAAGCGTCGAAAATGGACCAGACCCAACGCTTGTCGACAGTGAGGGCACGTAGGGGTCGGACGGGACGGAGTGATGGCCAAGGCAGCGTACAAACAGGCTTTATGGACCAGCACGTGGCAACAGGGGGTACGGATGACGGCTCGGACCAGTTCCCTCGCGCACAGAAGACAAGACTCCACAGTAAAAGGCCACACCATACCAAGTAAGACTTCATGTAGATTGCGTTTGGAGTCGATGGGCGGCCTGAGGTCCTTTTATGGTGTGGGAAGAGGGGTCTCATTGATGGGGACCCCCCTCTAACCAAACCCACCAAGGAGGGGGGATACCCCCCCATCCCCCCTCTTTTAGGGTGGGTCGAGAGAGCCCGGGACCGAGGTCCGAGGTGGGTATATAGAGAGCCGGGGAAAGCCCGCTGCATTTTCACTGCCAAGGCTCACTGCCCAGGGTCACTTGGTTGTTCATGTTTGGTTCCTGTTCTGACACCGGCTAACTGTCTCATGGCGTCGTGCTTGAAAATCGAAAACAACGAGGCGAGATGTTATTGTTCCGTGCACCAAGGCGCGGACGTTGCCCGAGGTACGTTAGAACGCGTGGTTCACCCTTACCCTCTACGTCACGCACACACCTGGCCGCGAGCCCCGTGCCATTGCATTTGGTTATTATGCAGAGTGTTTGTACTGGTGCAGTCGCAACGGACCAACGTGCATTCGTTTTTGTCCCAGCGAGAACGTGGAGGACCTCACCCCGTGTTAGACTCGGCCGAGTGTTACAACCACAGCGGGTGGGTGTGCGATTGCCATTATTATGGGGTGGGCAAATCGGCACCGCCCGACTCGGACTGAACTTTTTTGTTTTTTACAGATGGCGTTCGCATCGAGAGCGAATCCCAGGAACAATGCGAGTGGATGTATCGGATGTTTTCCCACCATTGCTTGCCGTCCCCTGCCTCGTGGTGTTTTACCCTGTTGAGCAAGGAACTCCCGGCGCTGCTCAAATGTATGACGACGGGCAATTCCGATCGAGTGAGCAAGAGGTTGTTGGGCATCTTCACGTACCTCACGAAATGGGACCCCCAGACCCAGACCCTGCCGCCCCCGGAACCCATCGAATTACGGGCGATGATTTGTTGTGGTCTCACCAAGGAGATGCTGCCTTTACCGACGGCCGTGAAGATCCACCCTGCCTTCGATTTCTTGAAGATCTTATTAGCTGAAGCCGAGATCGTGCCCGACGAAGCGCTTTGTGAACGCCCCGTGTTTAAAGTCTACGGACGGTGTGACGAATGCCAAACCCTGTTGCGTGAATGCCCCACCAAGAAAGATGTGGGGTTGGGCCCCACCGAGGTCATGTACGTGATGATGCCCGCCGATTGGTCGGAACCCGTGGACTGGACCGAATGTCATGAGGAATGCTCTGAATGAGCCAAGGACGGGAACTAGGGACAAGTGTGATGTGTTGTAAAAACAATGTTCAAGTAGGACGCCATGAACCCCAAAAAAATACTGAGATGTAAACCGTACACTGACAAAAAACACCTTTATTTTTTTGGTCACTAGAACTCTACTTTAGATCAACCACATGTAAGTCTTTGCCTCAATAAACACGTTACAGTTTCAATTTGCGTTTGGCTTGCATGATTTTTTGAACAAAGGCTTCGGTCCAGGTCTTTTTTCCCGGGAGGACTTGGATGGCACGAATCATCTTGTCGTCGGCTTTCCACTTATCCTGATGCGAACGCGCGCGAGAATAATCAATGTCGTGTTGTTTGGCAATGCGGTCTAATCGGTTGATGCCGGGATCCCCGCGCTTCAGACGTTTCTCCAAATGGGTGCCTGGGCCCATGTATTGGTACCCGGGCCAATGAAATTCGATCCCCGTCTTGGCCAACCATTTTTGCACGTCCAAGCCCCGACCGACCATGCGACGCCGGCGGCGACGGCGCGACGCGCGGCGGCGGCGGCGTCTAGTAGTCCTTGCCATGCAGTTTCCGCTGCACCTTTTCTCCCCACTCGCTCCAGCCGGGTTGTCGTTTCAACTTCAATACTTCCTTGGCCAGTTTCTTGCCCTCTTTGGCCGCCTGCTGACTAAAGCGAAAGCGCGGTCTCTTGGGGGTGAGAAGTGTCTGCCCTTTGGAGGGTCCTGCCTGAGGCGACTTGCCTTTGCTCAAGGTTGGCGTGGTCTTGCTCTTGGACGTACTCGGAATGGGCACGGCCAATTCCGCTTCCCAATCGTCGTCCGGTAACGGCACCGAGATGGGCGTCTTGGGTGTTTTGGTCAAGAACGTCGGCTTGGGTGGGAGTTTCGGCTTGCCTTTGGGGGTGGCCTTGGGCGTGCTGCTTTTTATAAGCGTTTTCAAGAAGGTCTCCATGGGTCCTTGAGCAAACTCGTCGCCGTCGTCAGCCCCCGCCGCGGCCCCTCCGGCCCCCGGCAACGACATGACTCGCACGCGTTTGGTGGCTCGACGCACCTCGGGTCCCAGGGCCTTGAGGCGGATCTTCTTGGTAGCCGGCAGGATCTCGGGGGAGGCCAGCAAGACGTGTTGTTTGGCCGCCAACCGCGCGGCATGGTTCAACCGCGAATTCTCCATCAACGCCCCTTTGTAATGGTCCACCAACCGCTCCATGTCCGCCGGGGACACCACGTACTTTTTCTGGTACGGTCCATGACTCATCCTGACAGGCAATGACGACACACGCGATCCAAGGCGTGCCACACGCCCGCCCCGGTTTGAGTCATCATGACCTGCCGTCGCCGTTTTATGGAATGCTTGCGACGCGCCATGTCGCGCAAAGCCTGCTTGTGCGGACGCAACTGATCCAAGAGTCGAGGTGGGACGGGTACATTCCCTTTCAAGGTGTTCATCACCAATTCACTGATGGCATTGACTTGATCGGCATTGGCGTGCTGCAATCGTTCCCGTCGCACCTGCTGGTCGGCTTCGCGCAACACGCTCCGCAAAAACGGCAGTTGTCGTTGTAGGCGTCGCACCATGGTGTCGTGTTCTCTGGGACACGTTCGAGGGAGTCTTTATAGCTCACTGGATCCCGGGCGTCTTCGCCCATCGGTTGATCATGTTGCGCACCAGGCGCTGGTTGGCCTGCGCCTGGGCCCAAGAGATTTTTCCCACGCGTTTCTTGCGCGTGATGCCCCCCAAGGCTTTCTTGACCCCCCAGCCGGCCGCGCCACTCAACGCCCCGGTCGCAATGGCCTTGGCCCCCACTTTGACGAGAGGCATGAGAAGGGAGAGCACCCCTTCGCCTCGTTGCCAGGGTCGTCGTCGTCGTCGTCTCCGTCCGCGTCGGACCATGTTGCCAATGGAACGGGCTCGGGCACGACCTCTGTTTTATAGGCTTCACAGGCCAAGGATCTTGGCCCCGGCCACGGCGAGAGGCACGAGAAAGGAAAACAACCCTTCTCCTCGTTGGTAGGATCGGCGACGGCGTTTGCGTCGATAGCTGACTCGTCGTCGGCGTCGTCGAACCATGGTGCCGTGTGATAGAGCGTCCCCCTCCTGGTCCCCTTTTATAGCGTCACATAATGGGACAGTTGAACGATTCCCCCGCGTACTTTTTGCGCTTGCCACTCGCCACCTCGGCTCGTCGTTTTTGACTGATCTTCTCGGCGTTTTTCGGTTGACGCTCCCCTATGGCTTGGGTGGTCTTATGCGCCGTCTTGAAAATCCCCGTGATGAGGGCTGGCGACACGCCGCCTCGTTGCGATCGTCGTCGTCGTCGACGGGGGCGACGTTTCCGTCGTGGCATCTGGACGTTTGGTCGTCCCAGGACCGTGCTTTTTTTTTATACCGTGGTGGGCGTGGATAAACGCGAGGACGTGCGATAGAGTTCGGGTTCTCCTCCATCCTTGTAGACCGTGGTGACGGTATTGGTATGCGTGATGCCGGCAATGCGGCGCCCTACGGACCGTTGACGGGCATCTTCGGCCAACAGGTCCATCTGGCGTCGCAATTCGTCTTGATTCATGCGCGCTCGCCGTCGAGGGGGGGTGCCGCGGCCACGGCCACGGCCACGACGGCCCCCTCCACCGCCGCCGCCGCCGCCGCCGCCACCCCCGGGCGGGCCTCCATCGTCGTCACCCCCGCCACCTCCTCCGGGGGGCACCCCGCCGCGGCCCCGGCCTCGACCTCGACCTCGACCTCGACCTCGACCTCGCCCTCGCCCTCGCCCTCGCCCTCGGGGGGGTGAAGGGGTCCGGGGGGTCGCGGGACGGTGGATGACATAGTCGCGCAATTGGTCCTTGGTGAGACCCGCGGCCCTCAACATCGCCTCGATCTGCCCGGGCAAAAAATTCCCTCGGGCAATCCGTTCCATGACATCGAGTTGTTGGGTGGTGAGCGCGGGCGTCGGGGAGCGTACGGGCGACGGGGGGCGTTCGGCCATGTAATCGGCCAATCGGTTGTTGTCGAGCCCCACCGAGTCCAACAGGGCATCGATTTGATCTTCGGGTACCTCGTTTCGAAGAATCTGTTCCATGACACCAATTTGGCGGGGACTGAACGTGGGGGACGGCAAGTCCCGGGCCGCGGTCCGGATGGCCGCCACGCTGGGCAGGTCTGCCCTGGGGGACACCAGATTGGGCGCGACGCCTACCCCGGCCGGTGGAGCCGTGGGAATCCCCGAGAGGTCCATGGCCCGTGCCAAGGCATCCCGTACCCCTGTCGGCGTGACGAGGGGGGACCGTCCGACGCCTACCCCGGACAAAGGCGTGGTGTGCCCTTCCAGACGTTCCGATAAGCCCCGTTGCCGACCTCCTTGACGACGCCGCGCTTGTCGCGCCTGTTCTCGCGCCAGTTCATTCTCCCAGGTCAAGACGTCGAAATCCAGATCGTCCCGAAACTCGTCGGACGAGGGGGTGGTCCGTCGACTCATGCTTGGCGTTCATAGGTCTCCGTCGGTCCTTCCTCCGGTAACACGTTGGTGAAGAGACGGTACCGATCGTCTGACGCGGGATGCAGGTCCAGCATTAAATAGCCAAACGGGCGTTGCGTGCATTCGCGAAAGATGTTCATCACGTGTGACCAGTCGTTGGGAAAGGCTTGCAGGGTCAACGTGCGCATGCCCACTTGATCCCGCGGGTTCTTGAACGCCACGATGTAATGGGCATTGCGCGAAATGGTCTTGGCGAATTTCCCGGGTGGGAAGAGATCCTGGCATAAGAACAGGACGCTAATGTTCCGATGATGCGAGTGCTTGGAAAAGAGATCCAACACGCGTTTGTCGTTGGCGCCTTCGTCCATGAGATCGTCCAAGACCAAGAGCCCCCCTTGCGTGGGACCGAACCATTGGTCCAACTCCTCCGAGGTGGGCAATCCTTCGTGAAACTGCACCTTCTCTTGTTTCATCTCGTCAAAAGCCGGTTGCCAGGCCCCGTAACAATAATGTTTGACCCGAGGCGGGGGGTGCATCAGTTCGTCGGCATGGCGTAACAACCCGCGCGTCCACGTCGATTTCCCGCACCCCGACGGGCCGCCCACCAGTGTGTTGCAGGGATGACGAATCATGATGTCACCATGGCGTACAATCGCGGCGAGGCCTCTTTTATCAGGGTCCGCATGGTCTCGACCACGGCGGTTTCCGGGCACGCGTCCAAGGCCCGAGCCAACCCTGGCCAATCGTTGGCCCAGACCAATCGACGAAAGGTGCGATAGTGGCCATAATCCCAGGTGTTGCACAACGCGTCCACCGGGTTCAGCAACAGTTCCATGCACAGGCGTTCGTCCAAGGCTTCCAGGACGCGTTGCTTATCTTGGCGCGTGATCATGTTCTCACCCAAAAAAAATCACGTCGCCGCGAGCGCACCGGTGTTTTATGGAGCGCCCGCGACGACGTGGCGTGGACCCTATCGGACTCGAACCGATGACCTACGGCTTGCAAAGCCGCTGCTCTACCCCCTGAGCTAAGAGCCCCTTGATTGAGTACGGGGTACCCCCGCGGCCAGACTCGGTCAACTCAGTCCCAGGGTAGCACTATTTTGTAGAGAACACCGGACGTGCCCACCACCGGTCGGGAGAGAACCCTTGGGGAATCGGACCGACCGCTCGCGCGGAAGCCCCCCGCACCCATTTCCCTTCCTCCCCTCATCCCCTTTATATACCCGTCCCTGGTCGTCGTCTTTCCCTTGTGGGACCCACCAAAAAAACACACACCTCGATCAAAGTGTTAAGACTCGTTTAATGAAGACACAAAACAACGTCGAGAGAGACAGCGTTGGGCGTCCGGTCCATCGGGTTCGTCCATGGTGGCTTCGTCCAGTTTGGTCTGGATCCAAGCCCGGACGCGTTCCCCCACGCGATGATCGTTCCACACGTAATCTCCGTCTCGAAAACTTTCCACATACTCTAGCAGGGTCCGTCCACGCACGCGGTCTTGCAGGTAAGTAAAGGCATAGTGGCCACAGGCCATACTGTCGTAGGCCTGCAGCGTCCTGTCGGTACGCACCACATACTTCCAATGCTTCGTGATCCACTCGTGCAAGCCCGGGGCCACGTAGACGGTCAACGGCAAGCCGTAACTGTCCATCACTTCGCACACCCCCTGGTCCGTCCAGAGCGCCAACCAATGCTGGCCCGGGTCGCCGGCCGGGTCCGTGTTGACGATGTAGGCGCCTCGGGTGGTCTTGGGCGGGTGCGCGGGCAATCGATCGGAGGGATAGACGCCTTGGAACACGCGCTTCAACTCGGGGTCGGAAAGCGCCAAGGCTCTCAATTGACGATCACTCAACGCCACCAGTTCCATGGTCCAACTACACCCTGTGATCCTTTACGTTTTGTTATCATACGTCACGGCCCCCAGGTGATCGATGTAGATGACGCTTTCAAATTCGCCCCACACCAAGATGGTCATGTTGGTGTTCAGGGCCGCTCGGAACTTGATTTCCAGCCGCACGTTGCCGGTCTGCTTGGGATTGAGTTTGAGGCTATCGGCGTTCCCGCTGGGCACGTTGTTCCACATGTACAGGGTACAATTCTTGTTGTGCCCCCACTCGTCCGGTTTGACCATAAACTCGCGATGTTTGGCCACGGACCCGGCCGCGTCCAAGAAGCGACGATACCCTTCCCAATCTTTCAGCGTATTATTGCCGGCGAATTCCAGGGTGACGTACGGGTACTCTTCCCCCTCGATAAACTGTCGAATGGACGTCACCCCTTTGCTCTGGAAGGCAAACGGGTACTTTTCTTTGGTCCCATTGAACGCCGTGCTGTCCAAGATCCCCACGATCATGCGCTGGGGGACCCTCCCCAGAAAGAGGTTATCTTCCATCCACACGGTGGTGGCCCCGTTGAAGGAGAACGTGCGAATCTGGTCACTCACCACCGGGTACTTGACCACCGCCTCTTTGAGCTTGCGTTCCCGTTCCAGGGACCCGTAGACATCCGGGTTGAGATTCAGGCGGCACAAATGCAAGGTGATGTCCACATCTTCTTCTCGCAACCGAACGTACGCCTTGACGCCGGTGCCACTGGTCAGGGTCGCAAAGGTGTAGAAATCCGGACTGTGGAAGTGGAACTCAAAATTCATTTCCACCCCGGGCACCATGATCTTGCCCGTGTGGAACACGGGTAGGTACGGCCGCATGATCATCCGGACCACGTTGTTGCCCCGGAAAGGGGTCGTCAAGGTCTTGAGCAGGTTATCGTTATTGTGAGCCCAGCCCGCTGTGGTACTGATGTCGTCGTCGCCGCCCGCGGCGGCCAGCGTCGGGGTCACGTTCAAGAAATTGACCCAACCTTGAGGGGCCAGCAAGGTCGCTCCATCGTCGCGGTTGTAGTTGAGCAGGGTCTGGAGATAGGCCGAGTAGGGATAGGTGTCGGTCTGTTCGGTCATCAGGGTACCATTGAACCGCACGTTGATCTGCTTGAAGATGGTGTGGGCCAGGTTGTTGACGGCGTACGTGAACTTGGTGTTGTTGGCATTCGACGCCGAATTGGCATCGGCCACGATACCGTTCTGACCCGACGTGGACAAACGCAAGTCGACGACGAAATAACTGCGATTCAAATCCACGTAATCTTCCAAGGCCTGCACCGAGAACTTCATCGGCGTGATGCTAGCACTCAATTTGTGGTAGGGTACCATTTTGTAGCCCTGCAACGTGTAGTCGGTCGAAGGGACCGAGAAAAGGTCGAGACTGCTCATGATGACGAGGACGACGAGTGCGTCTCCTCCTCAGCGGCGTCGCCGTTTTATACGTCTCATAAAGGGCGTCTCATATGGCCTGGGGAACTCCTCGATGATGCGGGAATAGACCCCTCCGCGCTGAGCGCGACGTGGTCGGGCCGACAACCATCGGGCCAGGTCGTACCCTGGTGGCTTGGGCACGTCGGCACTGATCCATCCTCCGCGCTGACCTCGACGTTGTCGGGCCAACAACCATTTGGTCAAGTCGTACCCTGGCGGTTTGCGCACGCTGGCACTAATCCATCCTCCTCGTTGTCGTCCAAACGGCGAGGGCACGCTCCGTTGATAGCGAGGCCGGGATTGCACCACCAACTGTCGTGGACGCATCCTCTCTTACACACCCAGCACGTCGCGAATGCGTCCGACCGTGTTCCGAACCCCTTTCTTGGCCGACGAAGCGGCCGATCTCTTGGCAGCGATGGCAGCAATGGGGAGAGCCTTGCGTTTCAACCCTCTTTTTATCTCTTGGCCAGCCGCCCGGGCCACCTTCTCCCACGACTTCCCTTGGGCGCCCGCCCGTGCCCCGGCTCGGATGGCCGTGGCCAGAATCGGGCCGCCCCAACGAAAGAGATCCTCTCGAAGTCCTCGTCCATCCTGCCGTGGCAGGGGTGGTGGCTGGTACCGCGTCAGACTACCTCCCCACATGATGTGATACGTTCCCCCGAGGCACGTGCCTTTTTTATACGTCTCGTTGGAACACGAAGGTGATCAGGGTGCGTCCCGTGCCGAACTGGACCAACCCTCCGTCACTCTCGGCGATTTCCACCTCCACCAGGTCCATGTACTCGCGCCGACACGGTAACCATTGAATGTGCAAGGGTTCAAAGTAGGCCACGCCCTGGCCTTGGCGACGGTACTCCACTTCGCGCACCAGCGCATGTTGTTGACCGCCGACGATATTGCTGTCCACCAGGTCCGAGTAGACCAGAAAGGTGCGCGAGGGGTCCCCCACCACCTCTCGGAACGCGACGTTCAAGTTGGTGAAGCGCCAATTGAGGCACTGACTCAACTGCAAGAGACCCCCTTCTATTTTCCACAGATCGTGGTTGTTCAGTTCCGTGTTCTTGACGTCTTTGTAATAATTCCCCCTCTGCTGCGTCTTGTACAGGAGTTCGTAATGGAGATTGGGGCCCAAGGCGTACGTGTCCTTTTTCGTCTCCACCAACCACCCCATCAGTTTCGCCATGCTCACGTGCACGTGCCATTCCACGAACGCCGAGCCGATGCCGGCCGCCAACGCGACATCGTTCAAGTCCTTGGCCAGCATGCGCAGGTCCTCGCCGTCCCATTCGTAGGTGACCCGAAACCGGTCGTAGAGCCGTTTACTCTTGGCTTGCGCTTCTTTCATCTCGTAAAACTGCGATTTTCGTATGATGACTTTCATCAGACTCACCCCATCCACCACGCCGGGATCGTGCAAGATATCCTTGATCTGCATGGTGGTCTGGTGGTGGACCGGGCCCGGGTCCGTCAAACTGTCCGCCAACTTGCAGCCCACCTTGAGCACGCGTGGGTTGACGGCCGTCGTGAGTCTCGAAAACTCCAAGGCCGCGTCCGGGGTGGAGATGACCGCCAACCCCACCTTCCATCCTCCCCCACTCAAGGCCAACGGCACGGGCAGGCGCACTTTGAACGAACTGGGGGTGTTGCTGGGAAACTCTTTGGTCGGATCACAGACCAACACGATGCGATTCATGCCTGGAAATGCAACGTCACTTGCGTCTCACCCGCCGGGTTCAAGGTCATCAACTGACCGTTCGTCTCGGCCACTTCCACTTCCAGAATCTCCAGCGTGTCTCCACGCACCCGGTGATACTGCACGTGTTCCGGTTCCCACCGGATGGGTTGGTCTTTATAGGGCAGGTCTCGCAAGAAATTGGTGATCTGTGTGCCCACGATGCTGCTCTCCCCCACGTTGCAATACAGGTGCACCGGACGCGTGGCCGGCTCCCCGTGCGTCGCGGGCGTCACCGTGGTCTTTTTCTGTTTGTCTTGACTCCCCGTATGCGTGGGCGTGGTGGTCGTTTCGGTGGTACTGCTGGTGGACGTGGTGGTGGTGTCTCGTCGAATGACCGGATGCGCGTCGTACACGTCGTCGACTTGACTCAGGGGTGGCCATGGTGCCCCGATGGTGTACCCGTAGACCACCACGTAACATTGATCCGTCAACGTGGCCGGGTACGATTTGGGCACGTCGGCGATGGTCACCGTGACGTGCAGCCGGGACGAATGGTCCGACTGCGGCGTCAGCCGGAAATCTTGCACGAGCCGATGGTAATACACCATGTGCGTGCCCAGGTATTCGTGCACGTGCGTCGTCACCGCCGAATCGATATTGCGCGTGTAGAAACTCGTGTAGGCACTCACGCGCGTCTTGTCGAACAACACCTTGTCGGTCGTGTAGATCTCGACGATGATTCGATACGTGAGCCCCTGGCTCAACCGGGTCGTGCCGATGGTCCAACGAAACTTGGGTTCGTACTTGTTGCCGCTTTTCGTCAACGTCATGCCCATGGTCTTCTTCTTCCAATAATGGGGAGAGCCTTCCAGATTGACCCACCCCAAGGACTTAATCCCCGCCTCTTTCGTCCACACGCTCTCGTCCTCCATGATCCATCGGAAATGATTCCACAGGGTCTTGGGAGGGACGTACACGTGCGTGGTGGCCCGCGCATAGGCTTCGTCCAAATTCACAAACTGCCAATCCATCGCCATGGACAGATACATCATCCCCCCGTTCACGTGCACGTAGTTGGAAAACGTGAACAATTGATTCTTATCCGCGTCGGCTGCGAACTTCGGGGACTTGACCTTCTTCACGTGCGGGTACATCAACAAATTGGGTCCCAGGACATACGACCTGTCCTCTTTTCTCACCAACCATCCCATTTGTTGGGCCATCACCCGATTGAACCCCAAGTAAGGGCGCGGTTTGTTGTAGGACAAGTTGAGTTTCTCATTTAGGATCCACAACGTCGGGACCCCCGCCTCGTCCTTCCATTCGAACTGAAGATCATAATTCACTTCGGCCGACCCAAACACATACCCCGTATAGAGTTTCGTCAGCTTGTCTTGTTCCATCCAACGGACCACTTTTTTCATAAACACCACCCCCGTGGCGGCTTCAGGCATGTTGGCATCCTCCATGGTCACGGTGATGTCTTGCGTCGCGGTCGAATCGTCGTCCTTCATGGCCCGGGCATACAAACGGGCCAATCGTTGGTTTTCCGAGCCCCTGAACAAATTGGATTGTCGATGTTCCGTGAGAGGCGCCACCGGCGCGGAGGGGGTGGACGTCACGGGATGCGACGTCACCCCATGCGACACCGTGTTGGGGGGTCCGGGTAAGTAGACCCCGGCCACACCCACGTGCCAGTTCTTGACGCGCAACGGGTACGGCAATCGCACCTTGAACGACGCCGGGGTATTGTGGGGAAACTCCGGCTTGCTGGTATTACTCAGCAGCGTGACGTACAGCGATCGACTCGACGGTTCCATCTCTCGCGTTGTCCTGTCGGGTCAGACCTCTTTTTTATAGGAACGTATTCAATTTACGCTTGGACCCGGGTACCCGACCCACCGTGCTATGCAAACTGGAGCGTTTGGGCCAGACTTTTAAGGTATGATCGGCCTGGGGAAAGGCTTGCACCAATTGACGCAAGGTCGTGTCCAAACTGACACTCTTCCCGCGCTTGACCATCCCTCGCAATTTAGCCCGGAACGCGCGCTGGGCCTTCTTGGAGGGCCGCTTCTTCTTCTTGACCTTCTTGACCTTCTTTCTCTTGACCTTCTTCTTCCTCTTTCCCTTCTTGGGCCCGTACTTGGTCTCCAACCGTTCCATCATATCCATCCAGGTCTTTTGGCTAGGGAGCGGGGCACTCTGCATACGGCCAAACGGCGCCGCCAACGGTCCCGCCACGGGGGCGGGCATCAAGGCGACTCGACGACTCATTTTAGGGAGGCCAGACTACGTTTCGGGATCCAACTGTCGTATTTTTTAGGCCAGCCTTTCCAACGCACCTTGACCTCCTGGCGTCGACGCTGCAACACTTTCTCCACGCGAAACAACGCGTCGTCCGGCACGTCGATCTTCTGCACGTCTTGCTCGTAAAAGGTGCCTTTGACGGGCGTGCCATCCCACTCCTTGATTTTATAGGTGGCCACGGGGCCCGGCACGGCCCGGTCGATGAGAAACACTTCTTCGGTCCACCCGGGCAGATACCCTTTCTCGAACGGACGGTGTTGTTTCTGCAACCGCACGCGATCCCCGGCTTTCCATTTCGGACGTACGCGACGCGCCAGACGTTGGCCGTACAACCGTTGCCAGACCTGGCGTTGGTTCGTCCACGTCACGTCACGAGGGGCCATGCCGATGCTGCGGTGTTTGGTCACATTGTAGCCCTGCACCAACGCGGGTAACGCGTCCACGTACCGGTACGTGTTGCGGGCGGTAAAGTACCGGTACATGCGTTCTTTCAAGGTGCGATTGAATCGTTCCACCACCGACGCCTTGGTATCCCCGTAGGTCGAGAAATGATGAATCTTGCGACGCGTCATCAGGGCCTGAAACGTGCGGTTGTAAAACTCTTTGCCGGCATCCGTCTGCAATCGTACGGGGTGGCGTCCTCGGGCGCGTTTCAGGAGGCGTTCGAACGCCGCGGCCACGGCCACGCCCGTCTTGCTCTTCAACGGTTCCACCCACGCATATTTGGACAAGACATCGATCACCGTCAACAAATAGCGCATCCCCCGATTCCATTTTTTCAACGGTTGCATCTCCACCAGGTCGGCCACCCATTGGTCATCCATTCCATGCACCACCACCGGCAAGGTCGGGAACCGTCGTCGTCGCGGTTTGTGCAAGGTGTAACTCAACAACCCTTGCAATTTCGCCCGGGCCCGACTCACCGGTACGCCATGCGCTTGCGCCAAACGCGCGACACCCCCCAAACTCCCGCGCAACGAGGGCGTTTCGTAGGCGTCCGCCCAACTCACGCGGCGCTTCTTCCTCATGTCGCACGCGCAATCACGACAAGACACAGTCGACTCTCTTTCTTATTTTTTTTTTTTATTGGTTCAAACTATCCCGGCGTGGCTGCCACCAGGCAGGGTCCGAGGAGGCCCGGCGGATCTCGTTCAATCGCTCAAGCTCGTCGGCGGTGAAGACGCTGCCGCGCCACACTTTGGGTTTCCCCTCCAACCAATGCTCGCGCAACTCTCTCAGTACCCGCGGACTCTCGGGATGATGCCCGTCTTCCCCCTCGTACCGAGCGTACGCCAACAGCAATACTTGACGACGGGCGTCCGGTGTGCTGGCTCCTTGATACTCCTCCCAAGCGCCGTGCATCCAGGGACGATACCTCAGTCCTTCGAAGAGGCCCGGGGAGGACAGGGTGTTGTACCCATTGTCGCACATCATGAACCCCTTGGTCGTCGACCCGTCCACGCCCCGCAGGCGGGCGGCCAAACAATCTCGTTTGGCCCTGGGGAGGTGGGGGCTGCTCCAGTCTTCGCCACGGACGCGACGACGCATCTTGCCCGACAACGGCAGGTTCAACCACAGGAAACAGCGACAGTGGCCGTCGCGACAGGCCAGGTACATGCGCTGGGGGTTTTTCTCCGACCCGCTCTTGCGCAGCGACAACCGTCGATCGCAAAAACACGTCAGCTCGTCCCATCGTTGACGCAATTCCTCGTGCAACTGTTGGGCCACCAAGGTCATCCATTCGTCCACGCGGTCTTGGGGACTGAACACGGGACACGTGTCGCGCGGGCAGTACACATAGACAAACTCGTCCTTGCGACCCTCGGCCAAGGCCTCCTCAGGATGCAACGGGCACATCCACACCCCGGGTCGGTCCACGGGTGCGTACGGGACGGGCTCCGTCTGCGTGGCCTGATCCATCTCGTTCAAGAACCAGGCGGCCAACTCGCCTTCTTCCAAGACCTCGGTCTTGTCTTCCAACGCCTCCTCCGCTCGACGTTTCTGGCCTTTGGCACGACCGGCCGGCACGGGCGCCGGACGCGTAGGGTGTCTCGTACAAGCGGCCATGATGAAACAAGACCGCACGAGGTGCCCCGCGCCGTTTTATACGCCCGGTCGATCACGTGTCCCCATGACGTCCCCCTTGCCTTATAAGGGCCCAAGTGCCCGTGAGTGGTCAGGTCGGGCTCCGCCCCCCACGTGCTCACCCCGTGCTCACTCCATAAAACCTCTCTGTCCCCGAATCCAAGCCAGTCATGCAAAAAGGGCCCATGTCACGACCGTCCAGGTGACGGAGAAGAAAACGTCGTTCGCTCGGCACCATGCCCAACCTGCAAGACTACACGGTCTACACCCCCGACAACCAAATCGCCGACTTGGCCGACCACCAGGGCATGACCGTTCACCTCATCGAGGGTCCGACCCAACACGTGCTCCGTGACGCGCACACCGTCTACCTTTTTGGGTCGTACACCCCTCTACGCGACATGGATGAGACCGGCCGCGTGACCGAACTCGCCTCGTCCTTGGGCAAAGCGTTGTTGCTGTGTGACGTCACGACCGGGCAATGGTATAAACGGGCCCCCAGCGACCAGACCTTCACTCCGCTCTCGGCCTCGACCTTTCCGGTGCTTCATCCACGCAGTGCCGTCTTGGGCCTCCGTTCCCTGCCGCTGAACCACCTGCAACTTACCTCGCTCTTCCAACGCACTCGAGACACGCTGTCCCCATGAATGCCGAGTACCATCGACGTCTACGCCTCGACGACTATCGCACCTTCGACGAATATCTCCGCGAACGCATCCGACGAGGGTTGCAAGCGCATCACGATCACACCGAGATGCTCCTTCACCTGCAAGATCAATACCGAAAGGTTTACAAACGTTACGTGCAAGAACTCGCGCAACGCGATCGACCCGAGCGATAATAAAAATGGGTGTTTTTAATCTGAGGGTTGATCATTGACTTTTGCAAAAGTGGGCGGGACCCCAAAGGGGGTCCCTGATAAAAATTGAAAGGGAGGCGTGGGTTTAGGTCTTGGGGCGGCGGCGAGGGCGGAGTCTCTTCAACCAGTCACGTTGAGCCCACACGTTGGCCACACGCCGCATCTTTTTTCGGTAGGCCCGCTGTTCACGCTGGTACTCCCGCTCCTCATCTTCTTCTTCGTCCCCACACTCGTGACCCTCCCCGCAATAGTGACAGTAAACAAAAGGCCACTCGACTGCCTGGTTGGGGCGAATGTAATCGTCCTCGCCAAAAGTAGCCCTGAACCAGCGATAGAACCGGGCGTCAGCGTCTCGGGCAAACATCGTCCGCATCAGGCGCCGGTAAAAATACCCCGTCACGGGACGCAACAGGTTGCCATGGCGAGGCACAGAAAACCCCTTGAGGTTGATGAGGCGCTTGCGTTTGGGACACCGGGGTAAATATCCCATCTCCTGGCGCACTTGCCACCACCCACTCGCATCGCGTACCTCCACCGTGGCCAATCGATACATTCTCGCGATGATCCATAGAACATCGTCCGGTAACACCGGCAAATCGTCGGGTACACCATCCTCGTCGGGACCAGCCATGTCGACATACTCAGGCAGCCCAAACGGTGCCACAGAGTCCGCCATCTTTGTTCAAAAGACTCACTGCAGACAACCTGAGTCGGAACCGGTCCCACCTCTTATACGCTGGGTCACGTGCCTTCCCATCCTCCCCGTTCGACCCCCCTCGAAAAAAGAGGGGGGATGGGGGGGTATCCCCCCCTCCTTAGAGACCCTTCCCAGAGGGGGTTGGCGCCCCCTCTTAGAGGTCCATATAAGAGACCCTCCCATCGACGCTGCACCTCGATGCTGATCATGCCGTTAGCCGGACCGATCTCCGTCTTCTCCTTCGCGTTCTTTTGGGTAGCCATCCTGCTCCACACCCAAGTGACCCACCTGCACCTCGATGGCCCCCAAGGCGTTCAGCAAAGACTACCTGCTCGACAAATTAGACGAACTGTGGGTCCTCCGAGAAAACATGCACGTGGAATTAGATTGGTCGTACGAATGCAGACTCGACCAGTTGAAAAAGAAAGCGATGCGCCAGTTGATCGACCCCCACGAGATGGAAAAGCAGCGACTACAGTACGAATTCGTGTATACCACGTGCGTCCAAAACCTGGAGACCTCCCACGAAAACCTGAGCGTCCTACAAAGCACCGTGGAGTACTTGTGCGAACAATCCCCGTACGATCATCCCAGCACCCACGCGCATTTCCAGGACGTGGTGGACAACCTGCAGTTGCAAGAAGACGGGCTCCACCAAGTACGAGACCACATCCGCGCCGGCATCTGACACCAGCACCCATCACCACCCCCACGAGTTCGGATCGACGTGCCCGCCTGTACCAACATCTGAAGATCAGACTCCACTAGGGACGCCCCACACCACTAAGGTCGGGCACACGTTCCCGCTTGTAACACGTTAGGGTTCATGACTTGTACAATAAACCTGAGTTTGAACACTGTGCAAAAAAATGTGTTTATTTTTTTTTTCCTTTTTTTGAATTCCCTAGGGAGTACCCACGTGACTGTCCGGGGGGAACCTCGACCCAGCCCCAGCCTAGGGTTAGGGTCAGGACCCAGGGGAACACCGTTTACCCCCCAAAAACCCAAGGTTAGGGTGTGCGCATGCGCCCTCGTGAATTCTCTCTTAGGGTTCCCACATGGACGAGACATCCCCTTCGTCTACTCATATAAGAGCCCTTAGGGTTAGAGTGAGGGTAACAGGGCTCTAGGGTTAGGGTTAGGGTTACAGGGGCCACACTATAACGTGACACCCTTTTACAACACGTCATCACCTCTATGACGTCATCCCCTCTTTGAAATTAGTTGACAGCTCAAATTTGATTGACAGGTCATGTGATCTCGTGCTGCACGCTGATTGGTCCATTTGTACCACGTGACCTATATGCGGCTTTCTGATTGGTCGAGCCCGTAGTGTCCCCCTTTACTACTGCGGTGCCACGAAAATTCTTACTGTGTTTCAGGAAGTCGAGAAGTAGGTTTCCTTCAGTTGATTCTGGATCAAAGAGGTCAGTAACATCAATCGGATATTCATGGCTGAAGACTTCATATTTCCAGCCACCCTCCTCAACAAACTTTAATATTTTCTCTACGGCGTTGTAGCTTTCGGGAACCGAACCGTTTGACTTTCCATACCAGTCAGGAAAGCGTTGCTTGTCTAGAACCAAGCAGATGAGGTCCGGCCCACCCACCATAACGAATAAGCTGCCGTTGGCATTGAGCTCGTTCTCAATGCAATGACCTAAAGATTCTTTGATATCCAAATAGTAGATACTGTGTGTGAAGTGGATGACGTCAAACCTCGTGCGTTCTTCTGGCTCCTTAGCGCCTCGCTCTTTATACTCTTCAAAGCCCTGACAGCGAACATCGACAGCTATATGTTGATCGTTAAGCATTTTCACAGAAGCTTTGTAAAGATCGCAAGCATACTCATTTAGTTATAAATCATAGTTTGGTCGCGGCCCTGTGTTCGCTCTAGCTCTTCTTTCACAATCTTCAAAATTTCCATGTCCTCTTTCCCTGTTCCACTTCCAACGCTCAATATGTTAAAACAGGATCGATGTTGTGGTAACCTTTGAATCGCAGACACCATGTGATTTCGTAATGTACCGATGTTTTGTATGAATTGATCACTTTTTTTCTTCAATACATCTAAACTCTTGTAGTAATGCCCTCCCGTTTTAAGAAACGACGCCATTTCCTCCCCTTTAACAAGTCACGCAGCCAACTACTTAGTAACAATGTCCAAAACTCCACGTCTAAGGGCCTCTTCTGGCCTGCGTGGTGGGCGTTTGAAAGGGAAGGGAAAGGAAGTTTTAGGCGCGAGAAAAACGCCAGGGGCGCAAGAGGAGGGGGGGAATTCGGAAGTCGAAAGTCGGAAGTCGGAAAAAGATATCCTGCGAGCAGAGGTTCTCTCTTGCATGGCTCTTAGCGCTTACGAAGTCGTTCGCGTCGCTGTCACATATTCCATACTGTTACAATAGGCGAGATTAAAACAGGAAACGCAAGGTTCCATGCACTGACTCAGTTCGACTTACACAGTTTTGATCAAAACATTCTCAGTTTCGAGAATACTTTATTCTAAGCCATAAGAAAAGATTTGATTAGAGGTTGGAGTTTTTAGCCGCAAAGTGAGCCATAGAAATTCAAAGCTTTGATCAATCACGCTCGGGCATTCTATTGTCTTTTTAACTATTAAGACAATACTTTTAAAAACTTCATAGAAGGACGTCTGTGAGCAGGGAACACGTCAGCACAGAATGTAATTATCAGCGAATTTCTGTAATTGCCCATCGTTCTGCTAGTGATAATCTAGGCGTTGATTCACTCGTCTTGTTTGTTTGTCGGCTGAGTCTTATTCCCCCAAAGAGAGAGAAAGAGTGTCTGGCATATTGTTTCCAATCACAGATTTGTGAATGATAAACTCATGTCTGGCAAACTATCCAAGTGTTTACACATGTATATATACTGTTATACGCACCTTATGTCTTCATCCGAGTTTAACGAGTGTCTTTTGATCCATAACTTTCAAAACAAACGTAAAAGAGTATTGAAGTATGACTGTGCAATAAATGTCAGAAAACCTATTTAAGTGGTCCCTTCAGGGATTTTCTGTTTTACGTCATCCTAACCATCTCTTACTTGCGGACGTGAACAGTAGAAACGCCATCATTGACCAACTATTCCATGCGGCCTCTGATCAATCAAATCGAGATTCTTTCTGGTATACTGCTTGCATCTTTCAACTGTCAGTACTTTTCTACGTATACGCGCGAGCTACTAGGATGCCTCCTCGGCGAAATCCCCGATGGGGGGGGGGGGGGCAATAATATCCGTCAAATTTCTAATTTTTTGTCTAAGGAATGCCTTCAGACATTAGTTCATGCTTTTGTGACCTCAAGATAATAATCAAATAAGCAAGACCTTCATCGAACTCAAACTAACTAGGAAACCTGTCGAAATGGTTACATGTGTACATGTGTACATGTGTACATGGTGTCCAAACATTGCATTATTGTGTATTAGCTTTTCCTGTCATCATTTGGGGAAGTTCCCAGCTAAAAAATGAGAGGACTACCAGTCTATCAAAACGTTATTTATCCCTGAGATAAGGATAAGAAATTCCATCTTTTTCCAAATTGTCTTCAAGGCCAATTGGTCCTTCAAGGCGGGTACACCTACAATGCGGGTTATCTTCACTACAGCTTCACAGGTCCGCAAAAGGGTCAAAATAGGTCTACTACTAAATCAGTCAGAACGTTTACTTATAGATAAAAATAAGATATTCAGTCAGTTTTCCAAAACGCCTTTCATCTTTAATGGCTGAGAGCTCCTTAATCAGCGCCAGTGTTTCTTTCACCAACTGTTCATCTGCGGTGTGACGAAAATTCTTACTGTGTGTCAGGAAGTCAAGAAGCAGATTTCCTTCAGTCGATTCTGGATCAAAGACATCAGTAACATCAATCGGAGATTCTTGGTTGAAGACTTCATATCTCCATCCAGCTTCCCCAAGAAACTTAAATAATTTCTCCACAGTTTTGAAGCTGTCGGGAACCGAATCACCCGGTTTTGCATACCAGTCAGGAAAGCGTTGCTTATCTAGAACCCAGGAGATGAAGTCCGGCCCCTCCACCATGCAAAGTAAACTGCCGTTTGTATGGAGCTCGTTCTCAATGCAGTGACTTAAAGCCTCTTCGATGTCCACGTAGTAAATACTGTGCATGAAGTGGATGACGTCAAACTTGTTGCATTCTTCTGGTTTCTCAGGTCCTCGCTCTTTATACTCTTGAAAGGTTTGACAGCGAACATCGAAATCAATCTGTTGGTCGTTGACCCTTTTAACAGCAGATTTGTAAAGGTCGCAACCCTGTGTTCGTTGTAGCTCCTCTTTCATAACCTTCAAGATTTCCATGTCCACCTCTCCTGTTCCACTTCCAACGCTCAAGATGTTAAAACAGGATTGATTTTGTGTCAACCTTTGAATCACAGACGCCATGTGATTACGCACGATCTCAATGGTTCTCACAAAATTATCGCTTTTTTCCTTTAAAACATTTAAACTCTTGAAGTAATGCTCCCCTGTTTTCACAAACGACGCCATTGCTTCGCCTTTGCGTGTAACAAATCACGCAGCGAAGAGTGGCACACGATCATCGTTTTTACTCACGTGACGAAAATCTTAGCAGTCATATTGGTGGACCAAAACTGTAAACAGACGATGCTGCGTGCCGGGTTACGCGCTTTGCTTGATAGTCGGTTGTGGAAGCAAAAACACGTACAGTAAAGGTATCGATTACCATCAGTGGTTACAAATCAAGGTGAATAAGCTGAAAATTGCCTAACTGCAGAATACCCGGCCACTTCGAAGCTATACCCCCGGTACCCAGCTATTCTTTATCTCATCACGCAACGCTTCTCCAAACAAAGTACGGATGCGTGGGAGACTGTGTGACTACTAACCGTTAACCCTAACCCTAAAATACGCGGGTACGTGGTTACGCAGCTACGTGGCCAAGTGGCTACATAGCTACCCTAACCCTAAGCCTCATCTTTACCCAAAGCAGTACTTAAACTGGATTTGTCACATATATTTCACATTTATTCTTAACTGAAAAATTTATACAACGCTTTCACATCACTTTAAACCTGATAGTCTAAATCCCGTCGGCGGGATTATAATTGTTCACAACTCGTAACAATAACTTGGGTGAATTCGAAATAAATCATTTGTCAGTATTTACATATCCAAGGTTATATGGTGAATAAAGCAACAAAAGTTGCTATGCCTGTAAAAAACACCAAAAAAATTTTTATGGGTGGTGCACCCTCATGAACGTTGGTTGATATCTTACTAAACCATACAACCAACACGCAGAATTGGGACTAAGGCAACCTTTATTAATAACTGTTAAAAAACTTTACCAAATACATAAAACTACAAAAACTAACACTCCAAATTTTAAACTCGACAATACACTACGGTGGACCATTAAACAAAAATATAAGGGCTGTCAGGAGCTCCTGGGGCTGTCAAAAACATAACAAAAATTGTAACGGCACCCGTGTGCCTTAGTTTTTGTTTCGTTGTATTTTTAGCTATTTTCATATTTTCTTTATTGTAAACGCTTTTTACGTCACAATGATTTTCCGCTAGCCATCACGTGACCTTAGTTTAAATACCGCCACACGTGGGTAGTGTTTTCTAAAGGTTGATTTCCACTAACGCGTTTTTGGCTACGCACGTTAACGTACGCAAATTTTTAATCACGTAAATAAAATAATGGCAAGATAACAAGTGCTGAGGTTAAACGAGAAGTTGACCGAGGTTCAACTTTCACGTTTACGAGGGACCTTTCATGCATTGCCTCTATTTGATGCATCAGTGAATTTCAGCTGCCCCCAGCCCCCCACCTGTGGGCTACTGCGGGGTATTTGCCCATCTTGTTAGTCCCGGGGGTGGGGCATTTGCCAACCCCGGGGCCATTCTCGAGCTTTTGACACGCACGCGGAAAAGCAGATCGGCTCATCTGTCAAGGACAGGAATAAATTGAAGAGGGTTGAAAATGCAAGTTGTCGATTTTATGCCTGCATTTCTTCATTGCTTATCAAGCCAGAATTGCGTAGCGAAATCCAGAGCTATCGATGTGAATCAACGTTTTTTGGTTATTGAATCAAATTTCTGTTTATATTATTTGAAGAACATACTTTCATCTTTATAAAACTATTCATAACATATAACTTTACAGCGTTCCATAAATTTTAATGTTAATAATTCTTTAACAATACCAAAACCATATACTGGTGCATGTCGTCCAGGCATGAAGTCTTAATTAGAATCCAAGCGCTATTATAAAGGAAGACGTCAATTGAAACAAAAAATCGCACATTAAAATGATTAAAACGGCATTATTCGACTTAGTGTCAATGAAAAATGTTGCCGTCCAGTGGAGGACGGGGCATTTGCCCTCTTTTTTCGTCCCCACCCCGGGAAATTTGACAGCTCAAGAGTCCCCACCCCCGGGAATTTGCCATCAAAGGCAAAAAAAATGCTAATGCCCAGGGGTCAGCCCGGGAGCCATATTGATGAACAAAGGTAAAATACAAGTCTAAAGCACGTTTAAATCTACTGAATATTTATAATTGTATTATAGCTAGCTAACTAAATTCTTTTATAAGAAAATAGACGAAAGAAGGAAATGCTTAACCATCTGGATGTCGGTGTGTTTTATGGCGTCAGAGAAATGCAGTATACAAGTCCCGTGCGTAGGTTCGCGCACGTACGTCTTCATAGCGAAGCCAAACTTCGGCCCTTCACTACTAGCCTCAGGCAATAGTTTTGTATGCGCAGTTTGAGTGATTTAATCGGTTTGTGCCTGCCCTTTAACAATGGAACAATAAGTATAGACAAAGACTGCCTTACCTAGGGTATACAGCACATTTTTTTGCATCCTTTTCTCGTGGCCGCTTTTGGCCGCTTTAGTAGCATGTTAGTAGTGTGAAAGGGTCAAATTGCGTGGGCATGTTATTAGCTTTAAACACCTTTAACAGGAAAAGTCCATTACTGTATCACAAATAAAAGATTACTTCTTGATAAAAATAAGAAATTCCACCAGTTTTCCAGAATTCCTTTTATCTCTAACGGTTGAGAGATCCTTTATCAGCGCCAGGGTTTCTTTCACCACTTGTTTATCTGCGGTGTCGCGAAAATTCTTTTTGTGTGTCAGGAAGTCGAAAAGCAGATTTCCTTCAGTTGATTCTGCATCAAATACGTCAGTCACATCAATTGAATGTTCTTGGTTGAAGACTTCAGGCCTCCAACCACCTTCCTCATCAAACTTTACAACTTTCTCTACGGTTTCGTAGCTTTCGCCAACCGAATCATCTGGTTTTCCATGCCAGTTAGGAGAGTGTTGCTTGTCCAGAACCCAATAGATGAGGTCCACTCCATTCACCATAACAAATAAACTGCCGTTAGCATTGAGCTCGTTCTCAAGACAATGACTTAAAGATTCGTTGATGTCCAAGTAGTAGATGCTGTGTGCGAAGTAGATGACATCAAACTTCGTGCGTTCTACTGTTTCCTCATTTCCTCGCTCTTTATACTCTTCAAAGGTCTGACAGCGAACATCGAACTCTATCTGTTGATCGTTAAACCTATTGATAGCAGATTTGTAAAGATCGCAAGCGTATTCAGTTACCTCGATCGCTCTGTTACAAGTCTATATCTAGTCGCAGCCCTGTGTTTTCTGTAGCTCTTCTTTCACAATCTTCAAGATTTCCATGTCCACCTCCCCCAATCCACTTCCAACGCTCAAAATGTTAAAACAGGATCGATGTTGTGGTAATTTTTTAATCACAGATGCCATGTGATTACGTATATTCCCAATGTGTGGCACGAATTGATCGCATTTCTTCTTGAATACATAAAAACTCTTGAAGTAATGCTCTCCTGTTTTAACAAACACCGCCATTACTTTTCCATAAGTAAAATCATGCGTTCAAGCGTGACAAACCATCAGTCAATACTTGAGGGGGTGTTATAGCCTGAGTAGCAGGCGTCGAAAGGGGTAGGGGATAGGAAGGAAGGAAAAAACAGGGGGATTGGGGAGAGAGGGTAAGGGAAGCCTGCTATAAGGGTTGTGCCCAAATTATACCAATACCGTCCAAAAGGACAGCCGAGGAGTACTAGGAGCGAGTTTCCGATTCGCGACTTCGGAAATTCTCGAAAACATCCGATGTGGCGGCTCAAGCGTACTGAAAACTGACAACCAAAGGAGCCGTTTTATCGCCACAGAAACGTGATTTACGGTATTGTTGACGAAGTTTGCGTTTATTGTGACCTTTGAAGAGTTCTTTGTACTGTATAGTAAGCAATCATTTTATAAATGTCTAACCCTAATCAATTTGTCTTGTCCCGCTGGCCGGTATTAGCGAAGAAAATAGTACCGTCCAACGGGACATCCTAAATTATGGCAACATTTGTTGGCGTGTACATCACCTCTAGCTTTCATTGTTAAACTGTGTTGTAGAAACTGGATTTCTGCAGGTTTCTACAAGCTTAGGATAACTCTATAGGAACATTTTTATTCATAAAAGTGGCCTTGTCCTTTCGACCGGTAATAAAGCATTTCAGGATCGCTTGACTTTTCACTTTTCTTTATCGACATATGATAGTTTGGATTGGCTGGGATTCCTAGATAAGTCAAATTTATTGAAAATACCGGACTGCCGGTCATTTAGTGTTTTGAAAACGTAGACCAGCAATCGACCTAAAAAAAGTTCTACATGTCACAAACATGCTTTCATTTTCTGAGCCCGGTGTAAACCAAATGAAAAAAACTTGAGATCTATAAAGCGTTTCAGAATCGCTTGACTTTTCTTAATTGACATATGATAATTTAGATTAGCTGGTTTTTTTTTTATTTGTCAAATTTACTGAGAATATACATGTAGGACTGCCGGTCATTTAGAGTTTTGAAAACTTTGACCGGTTACCGGCCATTTAGCTGTGTTACTACAATTTACTAGCCTCAAGTAATATATTTTACTTAACATTTGTAAAAACTTATCGCTGCCCGTTGAGGTAATGATAGATACGAAACCTGGCACTGGTTCTATAATTATAAGCCATACAAGTATGCCCGAGTCCCTAATCCTAATTCATGATTTAGACCAACATCAACCTTGAGCTGATTCTTTCCTTCATAACTCTACAGGAACATTTTTTGTGTGAGTAAAGGCATTAAACAATGATTTTAGCACAGAATTGACCTAAAACAGCAAGTCCTCAAGACATCATAGCCCGTTGAATAGAACCAAACCTAAATTGCATCCATTTTATTCTGCAAAAACAGCCGTCTATCCTCGCTCAGCAGCACTGTGGTTACTTAACTACATTAAAGCTTTAGCAGAAGCAGCAATTGTTTGTAGTCTGTCTGTTTCTGGATTATCTGACCAAAAAATATCTAAATATATAAAAGATATCTTCTGCCCTTTGCAGAAGATATCCTCCCACTCATAAAATGCCACCATCTGCTACTTGAGATGGAATTCACAATTCAGTAACTTTCTTCTTAACAAGTTCTGCATTTCAACAGTTTGCAGATGGGTCAGTGGCCTATCACATGAGCTGTAAACCATGCGGTAATTATAACTCACTTTATCCTGTTTTGTATCATAGTATCGTTCAATGAACTGTACATCACACACACAACCTTGAGTTGTCTCATAAATGTCCTGAAAAAACTGCTGTTCTGTCATGTGTTCAGTTATCCAGAAGCTTATATCATGAATGTAGGTTGGAGGAAAGAAGCTGAACGGCACAAACTTCCTAAGGTCTGGTAAGCCATTATCCTAAAACAGGACCAGATTACACCAATTAGTTAATTATTTTAACTAAAGAGAAAATGGCTAACTCTACATTGTAACACTAGAATCTACCATCACTTCAAGTAAGCGTGTCACTTGATTAGCTTTGTCCTACCTGTAAGGTTGAAAACTGTGCCTTGAATCTTTTATCCTGGGACCACAGAAGTCTCACATCAGGGATCCCACATAAAGTCATAACTAAGTTATCCAGGTTGATTTCCATCAACCAACACAAATACTTGTCAGCAAACGTTTCAGGACTGAGAACACTGGCATCTATTAAACCACAAGAGAGTATCAATCTTTGTTTATGGTACAACTGTCGTTGTGTTGAAGGTTGAAAGCACTTGCTGGTGCAAAGCAGAGGAGACATGTCATGTCCAAGATAGTGTTTCTCCAGCTTACAGTAAATGCACTTCTCCTGCAAAGTTTCTTTTCCACATTCACATCTGATGTCTGCACTTGATGCATTCCTGAGATTGTGGAATTTTGTCTGTTTTCCACATTCCAACTCGGTGATCTCTTGACTGAGTAAATCATCAGCGGTTGAAATACCTTCCTGAGACAAGCCCTTACAGCTGTTTTCAATTCTTAGACCATCAAGGCCAGAACACATCTTTGTTATAAACAAGTCAAGAATACTATCAAGTTCTTTTTTAACTTCCAAAGCTGTTGCACCATTTGTAAAAGTCTTCACTGCTATCATTTTGTGACATATGGGATGATTTTCAGAAGATGGAGGAAAGAAAAAATCAATTTCAATTCCACTCATGACAAACAATGCACCAAACTCCTGCAGACTCTGCACAACTTCACTTAAAAGTGACACACCTGTACGTCTGAATGATTGGTTTTGTTGACCCTCTGCTTCATCTGAGCCACAAACATTAAACTTCTCAACTTGTTCACTGATATTATCTATATTTTCCGAGTGCTTGAAAACAACATTAGCCTCACCAATTGAAATATCTGAAAAGAAGCTTTTCAGCTTGTTGCTGATGATGTAAAGAGGATTGCCAGGAACAAAACTTAAGCTCTTCGTGGGATGACAGTATGACATAAAACTGCTGTTATTGGTTATGAAAGAACTGTGGGGAGAAAAAAGAGCAAACTGGAAAATAAATAAACACAAAATACCTTAAATAAATGACTGGTAACTTTGTCTATAAAATTTAAATGCTATTAAATCTAAAAAAAGAAAATAAATATTGTAAATTAACGTTTTGCTTACGGAGAGTGCAACTTACTCAATGTCAGGTACACCTTCCATTGGTACCCCATGCACAAACACATGAGTTAGACCATTGACGGTGTGGAAGCCTTTACCAAGCTGTCCACGGAAGCCTGCACTTTGGTAGGAACCATAATCTGCACTTCTAAAAGGATACATGGCGTTCAGAATCAAATCTATAGTGAACAAAACACAATAAATTACTGTAGAAAAGACCTCTCTTATGTGGTATACCATTGCAAAGCTACTGAAAAATCCCAATAACAATTCCTCTTGGCCTTCTCCTCAGGAAAATAAGCCCTACTCCAACTTCTCAGTCTTAAAATGCCCTCTTTTAACGAGCCCATATCGGTATGTCATGATACCCCCTCACTGTAATCTCTTGCTTTATAATATGTGGGCAAGAGATGATAATAATATTCTCTCTTGTATGTGGGGGACTTGTTCATGTTATGTTCATTCACTTTACTTCTGTTATCAACTCATGACCTAACTTGTAATATCCTCTTGTGACCTGATAAGATTGAGTCTCATTTGATAGCACAATAACATGCTATGCTTAGTGCCATGAGTGGCATCATTCTCTGATAGAAATTCATTCAAAACCTAGGCAAAACCAAAAGCTAATTTTTCCCAGGGTCTATTTGTTTCCTATCCAGGGAATAAGAAGAAAAGGGATGCTACCCTGGGGAAGAACAAACATTCTTCTCCCACACTGAAGGTGCCCTACAGGACCCCTCTCTACCTGACCTAAAATGACCTCTTCAGAAGCCACTGCTCACTGACCAAAAAATTCTACAAGACCAGGGCTTAGTACAGACTAAAGAAATAATCCAGTGGCTGCCTTGTTTTCTTGAATTACCTAACATCCTCTGATAATTAACCCCCCTCCCACCCCACATAGTCATGTTTGGGTCGTCAGGCAATTTATATGCTGTTGTGTGACAATCCAAAAAAAGTATTTGTAGGATTCTGACACAACCTTTAAGTACAATTGCTGTAGAGTCATTGTGTCTAACCTGCCTTAGCAGCTTGATACACAACCTGCCAACTATTTCCAAACTGTCTTCTGGGATTATCCAGGGGTGTTCCACCTTGTCCTTGGCAAAGACTGACACAAATCTCACCCTTTTCAGGACTAACATGTTTTGCCGCGCTTGCAAAGAATCGCTTTAAAAGCTCTCTTGATTTACCAATGTTCGACTTCCCACCAACGTGCGGAAAGTTAAAAATCACGCGATCGAATATTCTCGAACCAAATGTTCGGGAAAGATCCGTTGCATCTACTTCGTGCAGGACCTCGACGTTTTCGAAAGATGATAATTTCTCAATATTTTGTAAAGCGAAGTCACTGTTCGCTAACGCAGGAACTGAGTCGAGTGATGTTGCTATGATTTTAACTGATGTTTGTGATAATGCCGAAGCCAGACAAAGAGTAAACGAAAAGTTCCCATCTCCAACAACTAACACATCATTTGAGTATAAATCTGGGTCGAGTAAAGCCATAATCAAGGCGCATTACAACTTGCTTTTCTTTTGATCAGATCCTACATTGCACTGCCGCCATTTTTAAAACGAGCATTCAATCAAATTGGACTGCGGTTTCATTTTATAGACCCAGTTTTCGCTCCATTGACTTTCATTGAACGCCTTGTTGTTTTCATTGTTTTCTATATGGGCGGATGGGTGAAAAGCATACCTTTTCATGTTTTTAAGAGGCATTTCACATCTATTAGTTTGATTAGGTTTCGTTTGGTCATGGCGACAAGACGAAGCACTTTCGCTGGAGGCGAGAAAGAAGCGGATAGTCGCGTCAGATCTTTAACAGATACCGCCTTTCTGAAGTCGCCTAAAAAAACCTGCAGCTGTCTGGAATTGGTGCGAGAAACTATTCCAGCTCTTACAGAGTGTGCTCACAAAGGACAAATGGGTAGAATAGGAGTGATAGGAGGATGTCAGGAGTAAGTATGCTTCGAATAAAGAGGGTTCATATGGGTAGAGTCCACCTTGAATTTCATAATATATGGGACCTTTTGATTTGTTTCTAGTCTTGTCTTAGAAGCGTTCTTATGTTATATATTGAAAGAAAGGTTAAATTAAATTACCATTGGTGAAGTTAACATTGCCTTATGTTTATTTAACAAGGCATAAGATATCGCACAGCCAGTTTCTTGGTGCAATGTGTACCACTGGGTCATATACATTTAGAAAAAGCCATACCCAGTCCTTGGTCAGTGTTGTAACTTTATGCAAAAACTTTAAAACTGAACTGCACCTTATGCTGAACCACAGTCAAACCTGTATAATATGTCAGCTTTGGGGAAAGCTAAATGACCTCTTACAGCACAGCTTGACCTCAAAATACAGTTTTGAGCAGCCTCTGAGAGTAAACAAAGAAAAGGAGAGGATTATGAAGAAAAGTATCCTGTTTGAATACCAAAAACAAAAATACAACAATGAAAGTGTTTTTTGTCTTAAAATTAAAAAGAAAATCTGACCAAAAGAAGACATGGGTAGTAACAAGTCATCAGTGCACAATTTCTCCAGTCATTCCTTTGATGTCATTTCGCATAAGTTAGTTCTACAATGGTTTTGGTTGTTACGTGAAACAGTAACAAGTTAAAGCCAAGCTATTGTCACCTTAAATAAAAGATTTCTATAGATGACTATAAAAAGTGATACTATTTTCCAGGTACACTGGTGCTCCTTATTTTGCAGCAATATCAGCTTTAAAAGCAGTAAGTTTATTCTATGTAACAATAGCTAAAATGTGAAATTTTTGTAACTTATGAAAAAGCTGTGAAATACTGGTCTATGGACATCCTTTTCAGCACTGTATATTCTACTCACTAGCAACTAACTTTACTCTTCATTTTTTGTCTATGAAATTTTTAATTCCCAATTTTTTTTCAAATTTTTTTCAAACAAACACTCATGTAAAAATTAAGTGATTGTAATAATGTTGCAATAATTTTTGATTTGCAGGGAGCAGATTTGTCTCATGTCTTCTGTACTAGTGACGCATCCGTGGTGATAAAGTCTTACAGTCCTGAACTCATTGTTCATCCACTCTTGTTAGTACTAAAAAACATAAATGTAATTAGGGATACTTTACATTTGAAAGCAATGCCAAAGAAATTCCATTTAAAGGGACAGGTTCACGGTTCAGCGGATACTCATTTATCAAAATGCTGTTTTTCTGCTGGGACATGCTGTATTGTCTATGCAAACAAATAATATGATCATGTCATAATGTTGTCAAAGAACATACTAATCTGCACACTCCCCTGGCAGTCACTTGCACTTGATCAACTTAAATGTAGGCAAATAGCTGTAAATTAATCAACCGTGGAATAAATCCTTCAGGCCCCAGTTGTTCAAAAGCTGGATAGCGCTATCCATCGGATAAATTTCTATCCAGTAGATTAGTATTAGGGAAACCAATTGCACTATCCATTGGATAGCGATTTATCCGGTGGATAGCGCTATCTGCCTTTTTAACAACTGAGGCCAGGTCAACAATAAATTCAACGTTGGTGGTGTTGGCATAACCCACTAATTTTTTCTACGATTTTAGTACTCCTCCTTCCTACTTCAGGACTCTGAAATACATTTCTACTTTGAAATACACTCTGTGATCGCTAAGATACATGAGAGTGGGATTATTAACCAATAGAATTAATAATAAATTGGAAAAAAGTAATTTAATTAATGAGCATGCGCTTAACTGTGAACTTGTCCCTTTAAATGTATCCTGGAAACTTTCATTACTTATTTCAAAACCACCTTTTTTGCTTAAAGTGGTCTATCTTCCCCAGCCTTTTTGAGAAAAAAGGAAAAAATTTTTGAGTTTCTCAGTGGCTATTGTTTAACTTTATTGTCTTGAACAAATCTCCACTTCTTGTAGTGAGGAGAAAAAAATGTTTTTTACTTATGTTTCAAGTATAGCAGTGAAAGTTTGAAAAAGTAGGTAAAATGCCTGTGGTTGCAGGTTGTGAGAGAAGTAAGAATGGACCTGACTTTGCAATAACATAATTATTTTAATATCAGTTGTTGCAGGAGCTAAAGGCTGTATGTAGTACATGTAGTTTGTAGGAAAAGGCCTCCTGTTACCTGCAGCCCTTTACTAACAGCTCACTGTGTTTCCCCAGGGATAAAAAAACTGCTGTGAAAGAGGTAAAAGATTGGCTGTCAAGACTTCATTGCCTCGTCATAGGCCCAGGGATGGGAAGAAATCCAACAATAATTGAGAATGTCAAGGTAATTTCATAATTTCTTGATTCTTACTATTGTTTTGTAAAAATTGCAAAATGTGCACTCTGCTCACTTTGTATTTTTCTTTTTGTATCCAGGGTGTTCTTGAACTTGCAAAAGAACAAAACAAACTCCTTGTCATAGATGCAGTTGAGTAAACTATTTAATGATACAACTTACTGGTAACTTTTAGGTGTGTGTGTGTGTATGTGTTATCTTTTGCTTTTGATGATCAATGTTTCTTTGGTAAATTTTCACTTATATGTATTTATCAGTACGGAATTAAAGATTTTTTCTCTGCTGGGTCTTTACTCCTATAGTAAATTTGTAAAGTTATTAGCCATGCAAAAAGACTGTTTAATTTTTTTTTATAGGATGGGCTCTTTATGGTCACCTCGTACCCTGAAATAGTCAAGAACTACACCAAGGCAATACTAACACCAAATGCAATGGAGTTTTCAAGATTATACAACACCATGGTACTGAAATTATAGACTGCAAATGTAATTATTAATTTGTTCTGAAATATTTTGGCTGAATCATTAATCAAATAAGACAGAGAAAGTATTATTGAAGTAACTGCCTCTTTCAACCTGTATCCCTGAAAAAGCTGGATACATGGTAACACTGTCCTTCCTTTTAGAGGCTCTTCTATCTTCAGTGGCTTTAAGAACAACAAACAGACATATTATGTGCTTCATATCCTCTTCTAAGTGTATTTTGAGGTGGATATGTGGATATGCAGTGATTATTATTTGCCAGGGTAAAGGTTTTTAATCTACCAGGGGGACAGAGAACCTCAGGAAATATTATCAACTTTTACTCCGATTCCTTGGGATGTCAATTGTCATGTTATAACTAGGGTATAATATGGCTGTTTGTACCAATTTCTAGTTTGGCCGGGAACCTGATCCTTCAATAGACTCTTCAAGTCATGTGACTCAGTTATGCCGAGAGTTCGGGGGGGTCACAATATGTCGAAAAGGACAAGAAGACATTCTTGCAGATGGAAAGGATGGTAAGAAATTTGGCTTCTATGTTCTTATAGAAACTTGTGAGTATTCTGTTTTTGCTGGGTTGCATTGAAAAAGTAAACGGAGATTTTAGTTGTGTGTAGCCGTTACTATAAAGGGTTTAGTTTCTAAAGAAACTGGGTGGATCCAGGACGGTTTGGTATTAGTGGTCTAAACTTGTGCACTGTTGAAACTGTTTATCAAAACCTCACGTTTCCCTGGAGCTATTGAGGAGCTTGCTTGAATGTTGTTGTTAGTTTGGATCGTAAAGAGGTGATAGGCAGCGTATAGGCACATCGTGAAAAAAAAAATTCAGTTTCAAGATATTTATGCTAGTTAATTACTTGTACTAAAATTAACCGTCTTCTGTCCTAACGGATTCCAATAATTATTATTTTTGGTGGGGGAGGGGGGGTGGGGGTGAGAGTGGCATGTACAGCCCCCAGACCCTCCCACTGGATCTGACTCTTGGTAGGGTAACTGAAAGAGAAACGAATCCTGTAAAAATCCGTCTAAAGTCAGTGGAGTCAATGTCATGGTTTCTTGAGAGATAATCACTGTTTTTTTGTTCCAACCCTTTGTACCATTGTATAGTAGTTCATTGTACAACTGAAGGAAGCAACAGGAGGTGTGGAGGACAAGGTGATCTTTTGTCAGGATCCATGGGAGTATTCTTTCATTGGGCTGATACAACATTCAAGAAAAAGACCAAGGAAGAAAGGTATTCATATAATAAATAATATTATTATACATCAGACTCACTATGAAAAATCTGATTGGTCGAGAGCATTCAATCAATTCACAATAGCTTGTGAACTTGACATGATAAATGCAATATCTGCTGCAGATATTGCATTTATCATGTCAAGTTCCACGTCTGCCTGGTTACCAAGCCCCTTGGAGTGTTCTCCTCAGAAACAGAATGGCTGAATGTCTTCTTTTGCCTATTGTTTAAAAAATGTACAATAAAACAATTATTGAATTTGGTTTTTGCATGATATCATGAATTATCAAAACCTCATGTCTGTATTATCTGCCTCAGCCTTCGGCTTCGCAGATAACACAGACCTCGGTTTTGATAATTCATGATACCATGCTCAACCTCATCCAATAATTGTTTAATAAATGTCTTTATTGCTTGTTAGATAAAAATACATATCTAATGTTACAGGATAAAAAGATTAAAAGTTCAGCTAAATTGCAATGGAATAAAAAGATTAAAAAATGTGAAAAACTAGGTACATATATCTGACATAAAATATCATAAAAGGTTGTATTTAAAAATTTATCTATTTACAAATGTGTTCTTATAACGTTCGGTGTTTATCTTGGGCCTTTGGCAGCTTTTACGTCTAAGGTTGTAGGTTAAATTGTTCTTTTCTTGCGGTAAGCGAACCTTCAGAGGGTGGTTATCACGCTGTTAAACGTTTTTAAAAATCGCTTCATGATCTTGTTTTTGTAGTATTGATCTATTATTTAACTGCACAGATATAAAGCACAACTTATAGCATCTGTCTAAAAATTGCTGAAGGGCATTAATTTCCGTATCGGAAGCACCATAAACAGATAGTCTGTAGGTTATGTTACGAAGAACAATACTATAAAAGAGACAATCAGTTTCTGTCTGGCAGTAACGCTCTTTTCTACATACTCTCAGCACGTGTACACATTTGTTGGCCTTGCACAGTTTAGCTTTTATGTGTGCAAAAAATTTACAGTCATTCCTGAAAGGTCAACCTAATAAATCAAGAGTGGCATGTCCCGCACGGGATCCTTTGATTTTCAGTTAAGAGGCTTATAATGACTGTTACAAGATAGTAAACGTCTTCACAGTCAGCCATTAGAGTCCCCCCCCCTCAACGGACGGAAAGGGGGGGGCGAAGGGACGGATTGCATTTCAGACTATTGTATATAACGTTGTATTTTTTTATCGCTGTGCCTATTTATTGAGCCCTCCTTAACCAAGATTTTGTTTCCATTTAACTTAATTATTTTACTGCACTTATTAAACTTTAGCCTTTAAAAGCGAACACATTACATTTTCTATTGCACTTACAGAGCATGCGCATATGGTCGAACATTGGTAGCTGCCTATGGTGCCTGCGCTTTAACACGAACCTGCAACAGACTGGCGTTTGCAAAGTACAAGCGGAATATGACTACTACAGATATGATCGCAGAGATTCACGACGCATTTCAATTGTTATTTCCTGAGAAAAAGTCAGATGAAAACGTAACAAGACAGGAACATACTGTATGAAGTAATTCAGCGGACTTTGTGATGGAATTTTATTGATTAGGCATATTTTCGATATTTACAAGATCTAAATGTTTAATACATGCAGAGATTATTATTTTCGGGCGTTAGGATAATATGTTTTCATGCTTTTAGGGGGAAACTTAAAAAAATCAGTCGAACGTTTTTCGTCTTTCCTCCATGCTGTTTTAACCTTCTACAATTTCCGTTATTGGCTTTTAATACTGTGTAAGCTTATTTTCTTTTCTGTAGTTTTCAGTAAGATAAAACAGTCGGTGAGTACGCAAATTGTCTTAAATTTCGTGACATACTCCTTTTTTCTCACAGAAAACCTTATTTACTTTAGAAATATGGGTTACTAGTTGACCAGGATTCAAGAGACATGAATTCTTGTCATTTGCATAATTCTTCAAACACTCTTCAGTGTGGCTAAACCCTCTCACATTTCAAAGTCTATCCTGGAGAAATGTAATGCTGTTGTTATGTTGACCATTTAACCCTTTAAGCCCCAAAATCCACATACAAATTCTCCAAACTGATCTCTATACATTTCCATAAAGAATGTGTTGAGCAAATTTTATAAAAGATCAAGGCATTTTCTCATTGTTGATCATTTTATTAATTCTCATAACCTAGTCTCTTGACAAATTATGGATATCGTTAGGAGAAAATTGATGTTGGTCACCATTGGGACTTAAAGGGTTAAATGAAGCACGTCATGGGTACTTGCTGTCTAGAGCCCATGGTCAAAATTCTAATTGGGGCGTGTTACGGTCGTATACTTCATTAAACATTTTAATCGTGCTAGTTCTTTGTTTAGTTTTGCACATTCCTTTTACATTCTTTTTAGTTATCGCAATTCATATTCTGTTAGATTTCTTTGCATAATTTCTTTTGTTTTTCGATCATTTTGTAAGTTTCATCGTTTATGTTAGATTCATTTCGCTTCAGAGTTCGCAGCAACATCATCTCAGTTTCGTTCAGTTTTGTTTGCCATCGTACCCTTTTCCCTTCAACTTTGTTCAAGTCACACAACGTTTGTAAGTACTTTCTCTTAGTTTGTTTCCTTTCATGTATTTTCGTCGTTTCATAGCTGTTATTTGTATTCCTTAGTAACTTTCAATTTTGTTTTTATTGTAACAACCGTAATCGTAATTCGATGTTACCGTAATAACAAAAGAGTTGGAACCGTGGGACTGTTCGCTATATAAGGGCGTCTACGACAGTTTTTGCGTGATAGCGTCACCGTGTTATCATTTTAAACGTTTTCCATTACGGCTTTCAAATTGAAATTCGGGATTTTTTTATATTTAAACTTTCCGTCCCGTTGGAAGTGAAAAAGTTAAATTCATGGCAGTGATTGTTGTGAGTTTGTTACAACTCTTTTTTTGTTTTCCAGTTTTTGCATGGGACCTATAAGTCCCGTTCGTGCACATTCCCGCTGGGCAGGCCTGTGTCCAGAAAAGCTGGTAAATAAATAAATAAATTTGAAAATCGTGAAAGGGCAATGACTATTTGTCCTCATACGAGATCCTCAGTGCAAGTTACTTGAACTATGATTGACTTCACTTTTTTGGAAAAAGTGAAACAGTTGTACACTGAAAAGTAAATTGTACTGACCATGTAATATGTAAATCATGATAACAAGGGTTAATTATATTAAGATAAATGTGAATAAAATGTGATTAGTACTATAATATTCAGTGAATTGCTTGGGTTTACCTCACTGACTGAAGAACCATGTCCCTAAAGTGGCTGGTTTGAGGATAAATATGCCGTCCTCTTAGCAACGAGTAAACGGAAGACATCAAGGTGTTTACGTTAAGTAACAATGTCCAAGCTCATGTCTTCTTTCGCAGAAGGCTTCGAAAGTCTTCAGAAACCGTCAGGCGACCTTTGGAAAATTGTCCGAAGGAATTACTCGGTAATGAACAACAAAGTTTTAAAAGTACCTCCATTTGAGGTACACGAACTTGTGGTAAAACAATATACGATTATTTTTCTTACCACCATTAAACGACTCTAAATTTTCAGCTTATTTTTGGCGGTTAAAAGTTAAGCCCAGGAAGACCCCCAAACAGCATCAGAGCAAGTCATGTGTTAGATTTACAGTAGTGGGACTATGAAATATAATTATTGTCTCATGATTCCCCTTTCACTCTTGTTCCTTCATTGAGCACTCGTGATTTTTCTTTTGAATTTGTTACTCCTCCTTTTCCCCTGGATTTCGAGGCGTAACAAATTATTTATACCTGTGTTGTGAAAGGCTATCTCACTTGCAATCTCCATATCAGTAAATCAGTTTGTGCCTGGGGAAGGAGAGCAGCTGTTTATTAAAAGACCTCTCCAACTTTGCGGGATCAGGCAACACGTATCTTCAACGAGGCAAAACGGTAAACTTCGCCGTGCCCGAGAATAGAAACTTCTTATATGATCGATGACTCTGGGCGTGGCCTACAAAAAATTAGTGTCAATACCTCTCATACAAATGCCCTTGAAAATTGTGAGCTTTATAGAGAGAATCACAGAGAAAAATACGAAATTTCTCAGGATGCATTTTTATCAAAAATGTTTCCTTAGTAGAGATTGCACATAGCAAATGAACCCAGTTTGCAGTTCAATCGATAAGCTTTTGATCTAATAATACCGCATCTGACAGTATGTCGGGTAATTTGTCGCCAGTCACCAAAATTTGTTCGCACTTCAGCGCACCGCTAAGTAGTTGACATTTTCCATCTCATTATTGAAACTATTAATCTTTGATTATGTGGCTTGTCGCGACCCATGAAAGCTGAGTGCGGTCATTCATGGAAGGAATAATTCACTGTGTTTATTATGTTTATGTCATTTTTATCCGAATTTAATTTCGTTAGACAAAAAGACACCAAATTAATTTAAGAAAGAGGTTTTGTATCTGGTTGTAGCTTCAAAGCTTTAAATATTTGATATATACGTGTTCAGCTCCACGTGTTTTCAAACCAAACAACAGCGAGCTTTTAATAGGGAATGATATTGGTATCAGTGTTATTGTTCATAAGTGGTTCTGAAAATTAGGAAGAGAAAAAGAAAAGGTGTGTAAAAGCAGGAAAAGGGTCCTTGCCCGGAATCCTTGCGACAACCACTGAATAAACGAAGACATTTTAGAATATTTGACATACAATAGGCCACTCCAGAAATACCAGAACATACCATAATGGTCTTTGTTTGTCACCCCAAAATTTTGCATAAGCATTGTCTTCAGTTTCTCTTGGGAGTTAAAATGGCCCCAAGAGAAACTGAAGACAATGCTTATGCAAAATTTTGGGATGACAAACAAAAAGTATTATGGTATGTCATGGTATTTTCTGGAGTGGTCAATTAGCCGTTAAACTCTGCGGAGTTTTTGTTTACAAGTTAGTTCTACACGCTTCCGTTGTGTGACGTTCATTGTGTGCGTTAATTGTGTTAAAATTCCCCCAGGGGAATTTAAACATGATGAACAAGTCAACACCTTTTCAATGAGTCGTGAAAGAAACCGAAAATTGTATGTTCCTGAAAGTGACCTCAGAGAGATACAGATCCTAGAACAGCCGGCCTGCTGACAGAAGTATTAAGGATTTGGCGTGCAGATAAGAGATCAAAGAATAACCCAAGAGCAAAAAAAGAAAATATCCACCGAAGGGGGCGTGCGCACTCATGTGTAAACGTTAACTCCTTGAAATATTCCGCTAGCCAGTACGTCGCGCATTTTCCTATGCTTTGTGTTCGAGGGAACATCACAATTAAACCGTGCATAGTTTACATTTTTCACGGAGACGCGAGGATTACTCAACATTTTCTCACAGTCGGCGACATCAGACAGTCTTATTTAAAATCAGCGTGTTCAAGTTGAAGTTTACTTTTTGTGGAAGGGAACATCATGGCGCGAACACTATGGAGGAGTTTAATCTTATTTTCACTACTCCTCTCTTGTGAAGCTTCCGACTCTGTAACATTTGAAGTTTTCGAGGAACTCGAACCAGGAACGTTTGTTGGAGATATTTCAAACAGTACAACAGTTAAGGCACTGAACGCGAATGAGAATTTTAAACAGTTTATTCTCAGCTTTCAGTTCCTTGTGAATCAAGTAGCATTCAGAATAAACGCGAGTACAGGAATTATCCGCACCAAAACTAAGTTGGATAGGGAAGACTTATCACTTGTCGACGATACTTTTCAAACTCAAGTGCGAGTATCCAAAGGTTTTGGAATCGTGAATATGCCGATAGCGATTAAAGTTTTGGATATTAATGATAACAGTCCATATTTTCAGGAAACAGTTCAGAACATTGAAATCTTGGAATCTGCTCCGTTGGGCGCTGAGCTGGAAGTAACGGTTGCCGAAGACAAAGACATCGGCAGCAACACAGTTCAAAGTTACAAAATCATCAGTGGGAACGAGCAGGGTGATTTTAAGCTAAAAGTTTCTCGTCCTACTTCGGAACTCACGAAAGTCAAACTTGTGGTGGCAAAAAAGCTAGACCGCGAAAAGAACGACAGCTATTATTTGGTGATAGAAGCCAGAGATGCAGGTAACCCGTCTAGATTTGCGACCAAAGGCCTCAACATAACTGTTCTTGACTCGAATGATCACATCCCAAAATTTAGCAAGGATCTCTTCACCGGTGAAATAAGAGAAAATTCACCTAATGGGACATTTGTGCTTCAAGTTAATGCTTCTGATAAGGACTTGGGTACGAATGCCGAAATCGTCTTTTCTTTAAAATCTCGTCGACAAGATGAAAACCTCTTCACGTTGGACGCGCAGACTGGCGAGTTGCGAACTAACGCTGTTTTGGATTACGAGCTCTCTAAGGTTTACCAGTTGGAAGTTACAGCAAAAGACAAAGGTCCAGACTCAATCCCTTCAAGTGCTGCTGTTAGAATCCAGGTTAGTGTAAAATGTTTACTTACTTAGAGTTAGAGGACTCAGAGTCCAATCAAGTGAACAAATGCCATGTTCGAGGAATAGGTGGGCTCATTGTTTTGCAATTTGTCGCGATTTTATTGTTAGGCCAAACAGTCTCTTAATTTTATAACTATACATCATTATGTTGCCTTTCATCTCTATTGTCCGTAAATGGTTGACTTTTTAGTCTTGGTACGCTTATGTTGAAATTTACAAAGAGATTTACATGTTATCACAACAGCAGTTGACTGACGTACAAAAAAGTCTGTTGAAAGGTGAACCAGACAAATTGTTTTCTGATTACCCCGCTTGCCCTAAACGAATTGAAACCTCGTTTCTTTGCCTCGGTTCAAGAACTAAAACGTTAGAACATCTTTTATTTCTCAATCTTTCATTGCTGGAAGCCTGCTAATTTAAACAAAGACCCTTTGTTAAAACGTTGTCTAAAACTGAGATACGCGAAAATGAACAGTTGATTCTGAAGAATTCGTTTTGAATCGCAAACAAGGGTCTCGCGTTATGTTGCCATATTACTTCACTTAGCCTCCTACTCGACTCAGCAAGAATTATTGCTTTTAAAGTTATAAGAAATTAAATTTAGATTATAGATCGCTTTATGAGATATTGAGGCAGTAATTTTTGATAGTTTTTGTTTTGAGCGAGACTTTAATAGTAGCGAGAGTCTGTTCTCCAGTAGGTTGTTGAAGTTTGCTGTGTTACGTTTTAAGTTCACTTTTGATTCCGTAAATACAGTGTAGATAGATTGTGTTTGTAAACGAAAGAGATAAACATCAGTCGTTGATTAACTCTTATCATGCGAATCCTTAAACTTCCCCGCTGTGAGTCCAATAATAGCGGTTTATTAGACACAATACAGTCTTTTTGGTGACCTGCCTTTGTGATTAAAATCCTAAATATTCTTTGTCAAACAGCGTATCACTTTCAAAGATACACAATAGCTTTCCATCATCTTTTAGATTAAGCTTTACTGAAAGACTTTTCATTATATATTGCTATTAATCAGAAATGAAAAGTTAGCATGTTTCACTATACTTGCTTGCAACGTGCCTATTTATGATTTAACACCGGCGATCTATCTGTATTTCCTATCTTCTTTGTGTTTGTCACTATTGTTTCGAAGGCTTTTCCACAGCGGTCTAATCCTAAATGACACCGCTCTTAAGATTTACATTCACTTCAAAAAGGCCCATTGAAACAGACTAATCGTATTTGCATATGATTTTCACGAATGTAAATACTTTCAACTTGCCTCCGCAAGTCATTATAAAACGTTTGTTCAGTGTTTTCTCCTGTTAAAAGCCTCTGAAATCGGACCGTGTTTATCGCGAAAGTGTATGACTTTAGCTAGCAAATTAACCCATCTTCAGAGACAGCTGTCTTTTTATCTCTCAAAGCTTTGGTTAAGATTCACGTGTGTGGTCCTCTTCCAAGCATTCCAGCTATGATTTTTTATTAGCGTCTAAATCACTGAAAATTAAAAACATCCGTGCTAACAGAAATTAATAAACTTCATATTTCCATGAGTTTTGGTGTAATTAAAAAATCCGCTCTTGCAGCCGGATATGTTTAAATTATGTTTGCTAATTTTACTGTTTTGGTGTGCTATTTCATCTATTCATAGAGAACCCTTGAAATCTGTCCGCCCTAAAATGTTTGTTTACATTCATCACTAAGAAAGTAAAATATTTAAATTGTCTCCAGCGTGGATCCTGAAAGTTGGGTTCTGTTTCATTTATGCTGTTCTCCTCAACAGCCATTTTCTTGTTCCTCGGTGAAGTCAACCTTGTGGGGTAATTCAATTTCATTCCAAAATAGTAAATATACTTTGTTTTAATCTCTCTTAAACCAGATTTCCACTTTAAAAGCTTAGGGTTATGAGCAGCTTTTAGTGAATAAAATATCCCGTTTAACAAACTAAACAGACCCTATTCTAATTAAATAATCCAAGGTCACCAGATTTTTTTGAAATGATAAAAAACCTGAGTTATAAAATGTTCGGAAGGAAAGATGAAAAAACTTAAGAAAGAGGATTTCACCGTTATGAACAGCTTTAATTATTTTTACTTCTAGTCAAGATAAATAGAGATATCCTAAAAGTTACCAAGCCTTGATATCAGGAAAGAAAAAAGGCTTCCATTTTCTTGTTCTGTTCAAACTCACTCTAAAAAAGTGTTTAGTGCCTTACTGAGCTCTTATTTGATTGCTCACACTGAAGATTTGATCCTAAAATTAAAAGCTGGAAGGCTGACCTCAGGAAAGTACTGCTCAGTCGATTTCATCTGAATGATGACTCTGCACAGGATTAGTTGGAAGCTAGAACCACATGACATCATTAGCTTGTTCTGTAGGAAAGTAATGGGGAAGATAACAGACCTGTTTAGGGTTTTTTGCAGACTCGTAATTCCAGACACCTCAAGCGCGCTTTACTGAGGATTTTTATTATCATTATTTAAGACGTCCACCATGGTCACTCTAAAAAACCTTAAAAATGAATGATTTCTAGACTACCACATAACCTTGCTTGTCTTATTTGTACATGGAAAATATGATTCAATTTCTGCAAGTATAATATTTCTTAGTAACAATTTCAAAGAAAATGATGACCCCAACTGTTAGTACAAATGAGTTCTAGGACTTCCTTGTCAAATTAGATAGACTACCCAAGAATATGTAGAAGTGCTTATTAATATTCCTCCCTGTGGTTAAAATAATATTTCTTGCTGGAGGCAAGTTTTCAGTTGTAAATTTTAGTTTGATGACTCATAAAAGAAGATACACATTTTTGATACACAAGCCGTGAGTAACGCTCGAAAGGCGTTATTGGGTTTTGTTCGCTTTTAGTGGCTTTGCATTTTCTCTATTAGGTTATGCGAACGCTAGCAAAACATCCTAAGTTTGTAGTGCAATTGAAAAATTTTGCATCTTAATATTATGAATTTATTTTTTCCGGACCAAATTCGCGCCTTAAATGGAGGTTTCATTGTTTTTCTTGAATTGGCTGGAAAACAAAAAATGAAGATCTAATATTGGCATGTTATGTAGGAAGTTCGCGTTTTTGGCTTTCTTTTTCGTCATGAACTCGTTACGCCGATTTATTTAAAACAAACTGGTGTGGCGTCATTGAGAATGAACACAAAGTTGTTTATATCAAGCGATTCTTTCGCTTTTTGTTGTTTCATTTGTTTAGAAGCTATTTGTAAGTTTTTTAGATGAATCCTGCTGATAGCAATACGTCTTTAGGGTGGTTTTAAAGTGATATGTGACCATGAACCGGCGAGAGCCAAGTGATTAGTCATCGGAATCGCGCCTGAGTAATTGCATAACTTTTTGATTTGTTCATCTGAATGACTTCTAATGAAAGCAAAAGTATAGAAAGTAATGAAACATCAACCAAAACTTGTCTAATTTACGGAAATTGTTGATATTTATCAACATGTACTCCGTTTAACCAGAATTTTCCTCTCGATGTTAGGTGCACGTTCACCCACGAAGCCCACACTTGACGCCCGAAAAAAGTATGATGCGATTATTATTAAATCTGCATAAAAATAGCTTTGATATCTTTTGGATTCCACGGTTTTGTCTGGAGTGGAAAATCAATGAATTTTCTAACGAGAGCAATAGGAACAACAGTGAGCATTGTTTCTAATACGTTGAGAGTTAAGACCGAATCTGAGCTTCAATTGATAAGCACAACTTTCTAGTCGCTCCGGTACCAGTTTTCCATCTTTGTTGTGAAGAAATGCCTATGATATGTTTGTATTTAATTTGAGGGTTTTAGTCTCAAGCACGTAGTCAAATTTTTAAGCTGGCCAGAAAATAACAAATATTGTTCTCGTAGGCCCCGTCCACACGAAGACGATTGTAAACTCAAGCGCTAGTAAAGGCAAACTTTTTTATGCGTTTAGGCCTTCCGTCCACACGAAGACGATGAAAACGCTCACCGTAAACGCATAAATTCGAAAACGCTCTCCAAAGTGGACAAATTTGAAAACGCCGTTTATGCGTCTTCGTGTGGACGGCCGTAAACGTATATTTTCGTAAACGCTGTGAAAACGCTGACGTCAGATGTCAGCGCCAGTCTCTTTTATCGAGTGCGTTTCCAAGATGGCGTACACACGAGTGTTGAGCTGTGTCATGCTTGCGCTTATTTCAAGCATAATTGCGAGCATTCAATTGAATCATGCAATAATCGATATACAGGAAAACTACAAAAGAAGAAGACTAAACCTCTCAAGATTGTTATCCACAACTACAAGCACTTTTACTCGAGTAAAACGACTTAGATGCAGACGTGAGAGCAAAGAGAGAAGATTCTGGACCAGACCAGGTCGTACAAGCGCCTGATGGAACAACTTTGCCGGTCAAGTGGTGATACCAGAAGAGTCAGGAAAGAGAACTTTCGAATGAGCATCGTTTTATGCGTTTACGAGCGTTTTCGTGTGGACGGGTTAAAACGCTACTTAAACGATGATCGTTTTCGTGTGGACGGAGATAAAAGTATGCGTTTACTAGCGTTTGCGTTTACAATCGTCTTCGTGTGGACGGGGCCTTAGTTTTCTCTTAAAATCAAACCAGGAGTTACTGTTAGCGTAATCAAAACTGTGAACGACTTCGTTTTCGGCTGATTCCAATAAACTTGAGTTGCTTTACAATCATGAAAGATAGAAATAAATTATTTGTAAACATAAAGTAATCGATGTTGTAGAAAGAGTAGTGCACCAAAATTGGTGTTATTTAGAATCTCCTGGTGGTCATTTCGAATGCTTTTTAGGGAGGAAGTTTGACTTAGCTCTTTCTCGCGCAACTTTGAGAGTAAGCAGTGCCTCCCCAAGCATTCCCATGATGCGATACGATAGTTCAACCTGCATCCAGTCAAGTAAGGGCGCGAGGAAGCTCTCTCAGAATACCTTGTTCTATTGGCTAATGACCCTAAAAGTGAATGACCCAAATAATGTTCCTATCCGTCAAAACAATGCTCTGTGGGTGTGTTTTCAGAAGCCAATGAAAATAGAGGTTTCTGAGAACTTAATGATTCCAGGTCTTGTGTGTAGCCAGGTAGTGAACAAAGTATGCACTTATTAGCATGTGACTTGCTATTGGTGAATAGTGGTATGAGTAGACAGTGCCATACCAGTGTCGTAAAGGTGGAACAGCACTGGTCTATTTTATCCAATAAACTCTCTGAAAAACTAAAGGACTCCAAACTCGACATCAGTTGCTTTGTCCACCCCGTTTTCCTCCCAAAAAGCACTGGAGACCGAAGGAGATGAGCGTTAGAAGTTTGCCATGCATTTTAACTCTCAACTCAAACACGTAGGCTCAAACAACGAAGGCCTTGATTCGTTGATAGTGCATAAATTGCGGGTACACGTGAAAATATTTAGGGGAGGGATTGCTGTACATAAATTGTCCCAAGTTACTATGCTGGTCTTCGTGTTTCCCCAGACAATTCGACGAAGCGCCTTCAAAAACTTCTTTTACTAACAAGTTAGTTCTTTGACGCTCTTCTAGGTGCTTGACGAAAACGATAACTCGCCAGAAATAACCGTGGCCAACTTCTCAGAGGCATTTGACGGAAAAGGACGGCTTCCAGAGGACGTCCTACTTAAAACTCGTCTTGCTATGGTGACAGTAAATGACAGGGATAGTGGCCAAAACGGTCGCGTGAGGGTCACGCTACAGCACCACAAGCAGGATTTCGAACTAGCGGAAATGTTCCCTGGGTCATACATACTTGAAGTAAAGAATCCTTTGAGCCTCGACCGCCACAAGCAATACAAGATAAAAATTGTCGCAGAGGATCAAGGTCTCCCGACTTCACGGCGGAACAGTCGTGTGTTTGTGGTTAAGTTGGCGGACAGTAACAGAAATGCTCCCGTATTCTCTCAGGACGTATATAACTTAGAAGTCCGTGATGACGTCAGAGTTAGTGAAGTGGTCACCATGGTAACGGCAACTGACGAAGATCAGGGGAGAAACGCAGAGTTGACATACATCATAGAGAGTTTATGCATCGGGAAACTTAACGGGACTGAAGAGGATAAGAGCAAGTGGTTTTCGATTGATCCCACAACTGGTCATGTGCGCGTTTTGTCCAAGTTGTGGTGTGCTTTTACTCCATCCTTTCGTATACAAATTGACGTGAAGGATAAAGGTCGCGTGCCTTTTCATGGAAAAACAACACTTAATATTTCCGTTCGGTGTTCTAAACATTTGTTCAACTTCAGTGTGGCAGAGAATGAACCTGAAGGGACTGAAGTTGGAAAAATCCCTTTTTCCAATGTTATCCCGGAGAGGCCAGTTCAGATAAGATTGCTCTCGGACGCTAATCAAGAGTTTGCCATTGATGAAAAAACGGGCGTCCTGACTACAAAGAGGCTACTTGACCGAGAAGATGTTGCCTCATATTTGCTAACAGCTGTTTTATCAGATGGAAGCGCGGAAATGAAACTCGCAGTGAACATAAAGATTGTGGATGACAATGATAACTCTCCAGTGTTCATAGGTTTAAGGGACCACGATAACATAACACTTACAAAACCGGTTTTTATCGGAGAAACAATTTTGAAAGTACAGGCTGCGGACGAAGATTCTGGGTCAAACGGGAAAGTGCAATACTCCATTGTTGGTGGGAATGACAATCAAGTGTTTCGCATAAACAAGCGAAACGGGAGAATCACGCTTCGAAAACAACTGAATAAGACGTTGTATAAACTGACGATCAAAGCTTCGGATTCTGGTGTCATTGAAGAAGAGAGTTTTCTCCGCTTAAGCATCTCCTTCAAGTTCATAACACCTGCCCCTCCCTCCTCACCCCCAACGACAAAAAATGTTGGGGTAGTAGATAGCAGGAAGGGCGGCTTCTTCGAGGATACGAAAATGATCATTATTATCGCGGTTGCTGCGGGAGTCTTGTTATTGACTATTTTCCTGACAGCGGTATTCTGCATTAGGCACAGGCGCAAAGGACAAAAGAAACCGGATGAAGTGGGTAATCGCGGGAGCTATCATGAACCAGATATCAGTCGCGAGGACGCGCTCATGGCGTCCAAGAAAATGTTTCACCAAGCTACCGCTAAACAGCGCCAGTCACCTGGTACACGACAAAAAACAGTCAACGTCTCACCCTACCCTATTAAAAAGATACACTCAATGCCGTATCAAGCCGCAGGGACAGGGTCTCCCACCGGACCGGTCAAACCGGATATGTACTACCCGGTCGAACAGGAGGTGATAGAGTATGGTAGCAGTGACGATGAACTAGACAGTGGACGTGGTGGGAGCTCTCGCTCAAGTCCATATTGCACTCACAGTCCACCATCCAAGAAGAAGGAGAATTGGTCACACCCTCACGTGCGATATAACGCCCCTGCGCCTTACAGGGCTCCTGGTCCTGCTCTTCCCCCATCCCCTCCCCCTTACGAAGAAGTTGAAAGGCGACCAGCATTCGTGACTATTTCAGGAATCACGCATTCCACTACGGATCTCTAGATACATGTATCCTTAACGCACACATTAGCCTGCGTGGCAGGCATTCAAAAGGGAAGGGGAAAGGAATTTGGGCGAGAGACCGTGCGCGAGGGAGAACGGAGTAGAGGTACGCAGTCCTATTCCTCCCCCACGCGCGCCTTTCGCGCTCACTCTTCTTGCGCGTCCGTAATCCCCTTATCCTTCCCTTTTAAACGCCTGCCACGCCAGGGTACACACACACACAAATTTAAAAGCAGTATCCTGAGCTTTGGACGCCGCGCTAGTTTCGAACGTCTACATTATTTCACCCCTATCGATCATCGCGTTCTTTCTTGAAATATTGTATATATACGTCCGTTACTGTTTACATTCACCCAACTTTCGATTACCTTAAAAACGAGAGGAAACTGGACCGAGCATTCGCAAAGTCTTCTGGGATGGTTACTGGGGACGCGCTGGTCAGCTGTTGGCCAATTTGTTTTCCTGTCCCCAGTGACAATCCCAGAAGTCTTTGCGAACGTTAACTTGTTTTGAGAAATTTAGGTAGGTGAGCCAGCATGAACTGAAAAAGCTATTCACCTCAGTTGCTAGAGGCAAACGCCAAAACAAACATTTAGGTCAAAAGAAAAAAAAACAGCTGATTTGGAATTGTACTAGATTTATACTGCTATATCAGATATGTTATATCAAGTTTTCTGAGTTTTCTTGTCTCCGGAAAGCGTTAAGTAGAATGTTAATATTTTGTAAGTAATTCACAACCAATATACGAATGAAAAAGTTTGATATTGTAGTCAGTAAGTTTAACCAGTGAAATAAAAAGACAAAATGAAACATTTGTTATACTCAACCAGTTTTAGTTTTTATCTTTCACTAATTTCAAATCGTCGCGGACGATGCGGACATATCTCTTTATCTCGTTGCAAGCCGAAGGAGAGAGAAAGAGAAAAGAGTCTGGGTATTAGTTTTCGAACCCGTGGATGCTGTTCCATACTGCTCGATGCTCTGGTTAAGAAACTTGAATTGGCCTTTTCCGAGTTCCAGGAAACTCTCACTTTCAAAATGAAGCCAAGTGCGAAACCTTTCTTGTGTGAAAATAGTTTTTATTTGCAGGAGAATAAAAATCATTTTTATATCAATAGCTTCGCACTTAGCCTCAAGTTGAAACAGAGGCTTAGAGTAACTTGGAAATGCCCTTTTTTAGCCTTGCCAAGTTTGTCTCGTTCCCAGGCTGGCACCCATGCAAGAACGCATGGATTGATTCTCGCCCCAGTGCCCTTCATTTATTTTGGTAATGTAGTTTCGTTACAACAAAACCGGAGTGGCACTAGAAACAAGAATGGCCGTCAGCAAAATAATTCAGTGATTCTCTTTAGCGAAGGCTATGATTTCAGTGCAACATTTGTTATGCAATACGCGTCGATTACAGACCGTAAACTTGGCCAGTTGTAATCCGTCAGTGACGTCAGCTCAGTTTGATCCAGTTTCGAAAACAATCTGTAGACCCACCACTAATTTCCGAACGTGAATGCGCGCGCGCAGCAACGAGTATGAGGGGAACGGTCTCCGAGTTCGGACAGACCTTAGACAGTGAATGGAAAGAAAAGTGCAAATAAATTTGGTTTATTGTCTTTTTCAATAAGTCGCTATCACATTGTCTTGACTATGTGCTGTTTTCTGTACATGAAGACTACACAAGTTTGTTCAGTAATTAACTCGTCTCTCCTATGGATTATATACACATGCACTAAATCTTGCATTTCGAACATTCGCTTCCACCGATGTCTTTATTCCGGAGATGTCTCTAATCGGCTCTCGTTATCGTATCTCAAGTTTGGGTCTGGCTTGACTGCTTAGTTCAAGTTTGACAAGCCATTCGTTGATTATTTTTCGATTCTATTCTACCGATATAAAACAGGAAAGGTATGTTATGTAATTTCCTGAAGGTTTAAGAAAATCAGTTGTCTTTTCCTGGCCTCAACAGCAGCTTTCCTGTTTTTTTAAGACAGAAACTGCTAAAGCAATTTGCTAATAAACGTTTACAACGGGTTGGACAGAATTAGGAAGTTGCTGATCCAGAGGGTTAAATGACGTATTTATTGGAGTGAGGTGCTTCGGTCCCAGCGAGGCTGAGGAGCGATCATAGGATTAGCCGCCGGGGGCGCGATTGCTTGCTCATTAACTAAAGGCTGCTGTTGTTCCCTTGCCTCTGGCGGTGGCGGAAGAAAATTACTTTGATCACTGGGAAGTGGGGAGTCGTTCTGAAAGGCCAGCGGCTGATTTTCGTTTTGTAATGCTTTGGCCAAAGGAGCATCGCTAACACCAGTTTCTAGATCAGGTTGATTTCCTGTAAAACCAGCTGGCGCATTGGCTTCACCACCAGGTTGGTCATTTTGATATGCACTCATAGGTGACATAGGAGGCATTAGGGGTGGCAAGGGTGCCATGGGTTGCTGTGGCATGAAGGAAGCCTGGGGGGCCTGTGGATATTGCTGCGGCTGCGGTTGATACGCCAGTGGTTGTTGATTGTAAAGCGAGGGTGCAAAGCTGGACTGTTCGGGGTACCCTGGTGCTACAGGAGGTAACACAGGGGGTGATGCTGGAGGCACTGCCGGGGGTGCTGCTGGAGGTGCTGTTGGGAAAAATATGATTTAATTATTTTTATTGATCGACTTCACATAATGGCTGAACAAGGAGTACAGGTACTCGTGATCTAACTAAGGAATTTCCGAATGTAGTTTTTAAAGCCAGTGTCAACTTTCACCGAGACCATAATGCACCTTGTTTACCGCCCAAAATTTTGCATAACCATGGTTTTCAATTTCTCCTGGGTATTGCAGTCGTCCCATGAGAAATCGGAGACAATGGTTACGCAAAATTTTCGGTAAACAATAGATAAGGGGCCAAATAATGTCCCTTTAGCCCAGCTATTAGCAATAGGAAATGGAGTTTATAGGGAGAAATAAAAAATTGGAGAGCTTTAGCTTGTTCACAAACCTTCTACTTTCTCTTAAGAGGTCGTCGAGTGCGCGTAATAATAAAAACTGCGAGAAGAAGACCATATGGTTGCGCCGCTTGCTTTAAAATAGTTGCGGACTAAGAAAATTTTCATTAAAATAATTACTTACCTGGAGGAGGAACAGCTGCATCAACAAACGGACCCAGGTCCCAACGGTAAAAGTAAGTGTAAGAGAAACAAAATATAGCATAAATATTCATTAAATTCATCCAACTTTCGTCGTGACAGCTTTAGTGCTTTCTGTCTCTCGTTTTGCTGTAAGTGATACATTTAGTTATAATCTCCCATGGGGAGTTGTTATAATTCTTAGTAGGCTAGCTACCGCTTCTGTTAGGATTGCCGACTTATTTTTTTTCCCTTTTCTTTGCCTGTATACCATATCAAGTTTTGTCCTCGTGGTTAACTCTTAGTTTTCCTGTTTTCCTTCCCTGATAGTGCTTTTATATTCGGCTTCCTATTTCTTCTCCAACAATCATCGGGACTCTGACACTAAACATTTCCATGGCGATCAGACAAAATTTTACATTGTTATCTGAGAGAAGATTCTCTCCCCCTTCCGTCCCCTCCCTTTCCCTCCCCTCTCCTCCCTTCCCCTCACCTGTTCTCAAGCTCTGTCTACCCTCTCCCACACCAATTATTAGATTAAAATTTTTTTCGTACCATTTGGGTCCTTGACACATGTCGGTCTGTTGACGGCGATGGCATCCTTGCATTTTGGCATCACACATGGTACGTATTGAATCTTGCAGGTTTGACCAACGGGGCACTGGAATTTCTGTTGTCCAGGTTACAAAAAACGTTAAATTATACTGGTTTTAGTTTACCAAGCGGGACCCAATGCCAATTATAAGCGCAAAAAATAACAACGATCACTTAAAATTAGCCGTTGCTAGCATACTTAGCTGCTATAAAGGTGTTATTGCAAATGCTGTTAAAATGATAAATGATATGTATTGATGACTTACTTCTTCTTGAGCTCACTGAGAACTATTCAATTTATGAAATGCACAGAAATTCAGGCCTTCGCGCGCTATAGGTAAGGATTATCTATTTCCATTGCTTGGACCTTCAAGATATTCTCGTCCCCAGAGCTACTCGGCTCGTTTCTAACGAGACAAAAGACGGGCTCGGGGCACAAGAATGTTTCCAGGTTAAAGACAAGTGCTCATGCCGTAAATTAATATATTAAGTTCCATTCTACAACCAGTGACCAGTACATGGCCGTACCTTGACTCAATCTCTAGACTCTAATATAAATTCCTTCATGTTACCTTTTGGTTAGTAATGCATAAAATGGGATTTTTCCCAAGGTAATTAAATCAAATAAATTACAAATGTTGCTCTGGAGAAAACGGTTTTTGGGACGGTCCAGTTAAAAGGTGCGTTGGCTACATCTTACCTTGCATGGATTTGGATCTCGCACTGAAAAAAGAAATTAAATGCAATCTAATTACTTATCTGTCGTTATTCTGGGTTACAAAGTTGTTGAAATGCAAGACAACAGGTAAGTTATTTTGGTTATTCTAAAAAGAGCTTTACTTGAAATGCAAATGTACTTGAATTGTTTCACACATGTATCGCAACAATCGATGTCCTGGAATGGTAATTGTAATGGTAAATGGTAAATGTAAAGACAATTAGGAACCGAAAGGCATTTAAACCATGCAGTGCGTTTTTCGGGGTTATAGACTGGCATTAACTACCATAAGTACTTGGCGCTTCTGTATATTTCGCTTCTAAAATTTTAGACATGGTCCGTTTCATATACAAGAGACTATTTCCAGTCCAGTACTGAAAGTGTAGCAAGTTCTACTTACTTGTAGGTGTGCACACCATGCCACCACAGTAGTTCTTGCAGCACTTCCGGTCAGCGTCACAATGGCTGTCCTCTGAACACTCAGATTCAGTGCATTTGGGATTAGCGTCATCTGGAAGCACATAAGCCACGCCCCAGAAGTTCAAGCGAGGGTCCTTGATTTTAAAATTCTCCGCAGGATTAACGCACAATCCAGTTCGCGAGAGATAACCTGGAATAATAGCAAATCTTTTAATTATGTTGATTATATCCTCACTATAAAGTCTGACGAATTATTGGAAAGAAAGAAAAGTATGTACATTCCCACAGCAGAACAGCCATTTTTGCTTCTTTAGTTTCCCTTCCTCGAATAGAGTGTTTTCACTCACGTGACCAGCATCTATGCAAATTTATTGGAGCAAAAGAAAGCGTTTGCATTAGAAAAGAGTTCAACTCCCAGAGGATTGGTTTGGGACACCAACATGGCCGCCGTTTCATTGTTTTGGGACACCAATATGGCCGCCGTGACGTCATGTGAAAACACTCCATAGTATATTTTGTTAATTAAAAGCCAATGGTGTAAAATGCAAATTTATTAACCATTTGAACATTTTCAAGGAGGCAGCGTGGCCGAGTGGTAAGAGCTCCGAACTTGCAATTCAGAGGTCCCTAGTTCAAGTCCCCCCTGACCGCTAGCTGGATTTGTTCATGGTAGTCTCGAGTTCAAATCCTCGACCATGCTTGTAAATAGCCTGGCAGCTGATTTGCCTCCGGCCAGTTGTGATTCTTACCCCTGTTAATTCAAGTTGAATTATTTGTTTCAGGTATTTGCTCGGCCCCACCAGCATTAGTGCTATAAAATATAGTAGTATAAATAGAGTCTGTTTTAGATAAAGAAATGTCGTATTGCACTAACTTTCGAGTCTGTGCCGGGGTATAAAAATAGAGTCCGGAGCTGATTCAAATGAAACCTCTCTGGCTTTATATCACTTGTTTTTCATTATCTGATACGCACGAGAATTTGAAATTCGTTTTGTCCACAATTACGTACAGGACGATGTCCACCTTACCTCTTTTGTTTCTTTGTATTGACCCTGTGAATGGAAAAATATTTGTTAAGCATATAATGATACTGGTAGAAAATCGTTAAACTACCAGATGTGCTCCTGAAATTATATTCAATAATCTACCAAAAGGAAGCATTGAAATCGTATTTTATAGTATCTCAGAATCACTCTGTAAATTTAAAAAATATCTATGAAAATTTAAGGTTATCTTTCTGGCATATTATAGCAGATACTGCACATGCGGAAAAAAAAAGTGCGAACAAGTCATCTGCATTTGGTTTTGAGTTCTTTGAGTTGGAGCTTAACGTCCCCCGGGGGAGTTTGGATAGAGGTGTGCCGCCGAGCCCTTCAAACCCTGACCCCGTTTCAGAAAAAAATCATTCATTTCACCACTCTGTTTAAGAAAGATAACTAATTTAATGAATTAAGTAATCATCTTAATTGTATATAGTGGATAGGAAATGATATTATTCAACTTCCCAACTTGACTCTGTTAAAGACAACATTACGAAAGATATATCCAAGCAAGAGAGAATGATCCGAAGCAAAATGCCGATATCTTTCAAGCAAACTCTCTGCCCATCATTATTCAAATCATCCACAAACCAGCTTGTTGATCTGTTAAAGAACCCGGGGTTAACGTTTCTTTTTCTTTTGTTCAAAAGCGGAAATTTTCTCTGTTATTTTTATCCAACTTGTCAAAAAAAAAAAAAGAATTAAAACGGAAATGATCCTGAATTCAAAATGCCGATATCCTTCAAACAAACTCTCTGCAGTAGTCTTCATTGTGGCCAAAAAGGTTAAGAATTCCAACTGGCAGGAGGCAAACTAGTTAGCTTTTCCCAAACTTGACCCAGGAGTTGAACTCGGGAACTACTGACTGAAAACAAATCAAGCTAGTGGTTAGGCTAGTGGGCGTGGGTTGAACTCAAGGCCTCGCAGATTACAATTAAACGCTCGATCACGCTGCCTTCTTGGCTGAGCTAACACTTATTGTATTCTAGAAAATGGGCGGGGAGGGCACTCATAAATAATTTAACATGTAGATGTATAGAAAGAACCATTCAAAATTCCCATTGCGAAATTCTCAGCTGTTGTTATGTGCTTGTCACTGTAAGAGGTCATGAGAAGTAAAATAAACCAGGAATAACCAAGTGGGGACTAGAATGGGTCCGTTAGCGATAAGTCGTACCTGGTCCTCCCATCTCGTCCTCAGGGCTTTTTTCTTACAGAAAAAGGATCATTGACGTTAACACTTTCTTCTCACTCAGGGCAAAATGTTGGCTTAGGGGAGGGGTAGGTGGGCAAAAGCCCCAGTAACGAGGTTGTTAGTACCCCTCACACGAGAGAGTACTGCTTAATACTGAAGAACTATGTGGTTTGATTTACTAAAGCCGAGGATTGCACAAAAATGACGCAGTTGGCACGCTGCTTACTGTCCTCACGGTTGTTTAGAATTTAAAAAGAACTTCCTATTTATCCGTAGCAGCCCAATATTACATCCAATTAATTCTCTGAAATTTAGTACTTGGAGGACTCTAGGAGATAATGACTTGAAAAACTAGGTGAGGACGTCTCTTACACTAAACAATAGGCTATGGGGGCAAGGGATCAGAGTCAGCTAGAACTAAGGCGCAGTTCGCGACTGGCATCGCTGGATTATCCAGATATTCCGTTATTGCATTATCATGCACCATTGTTTCTTCATCAGCTTCTTGCTCCAATTTGTCTTATTCGGAATTTTTTCTTAATTTAAATGTGATTTCATTGTTTTTATGGCTTAGTGTGACTGCCTAAACAGATCGACTGTTCTCTCTTTTAGCTGTCCAGTTAAACGTCACAGAAAAGTGATTAAATATTTTCCTTGATTGTTTAACTCTTCGTTCGCTATATCAGAAGTGAAAGATCGCCTTATCAGAATGGGTACCCGCTGGTATCAATGGCAGGTTGTTGATATTTTGCACATGAGTGGATCTAAAACAGTTGAGACGAAGGACTTAAAATCTTCAGTAATTTCATCTTCTACCTTAAAACCAAACCGTGTTGTACTCTTCAAAAATTGGATGCAGCGAATAATTCTATTATAACAGAGGCTAATAATAACGGACCACAATATTTGTGCCAGACAACTTTTGTTCCATGCGCATATCTTGTACTAAGATCGCATCAAAATTTTCTGCTATAAATTATATTATTGTAACTGCTACTTGTGCTGAGATATTTACGTTTCTCTCGAGATAAGTGATAGCTGAAATTGCCATAAAACCGCAAATAGACATTGCAACTTGATCAAATCGTTATTATATCTGTCTATTTTTTTGGTTTTTTATAGCACAATATGAAGTTTTTAAGGAAGAATTTTACATAACCCATAAAAACCATGCACAAATGAATCACGGAAAAATTTACCTTACCTTTTAGAGAACAACTTTTAAAATTTCCCTATTTTCTTGCCTTTCCTCCTCCGTGCAAAAATAATTTCCCCAATTACCTCATTTCTTGAAAATTAGAGAATCACACTATTTACCGCTGACCAAAGGATTTTGACATCATCAAAAAGGCGTCGGACAAGAGTTTTTTTGCCTCTCGCCACTACCAGTTTGATGAAGCACTTTATACCGTTGCCAGGTTCGCTTCAACATCGTGGACAATGCTAAGGATCTCTACGTTAAAATTGTTACCGCGTGCTGTCTGTGGGCTAGATAGTAGTTTTTTTGAAACATTTTACTTATATCTCGGACTCAGATTGAAGAGGGCTGAAAAATAACTAACTTAATCGTGACATATAATGTTATTTAGCATTTTTCCCTTTTTGGTTGTATTTCACATATTTTTTCCCTTTTTTAATTTCGAGAAACTTAATCACTATTTGTAAACAAAAATTGCTAAAATTTATGATCATCGTAGCGAAAAGAAGCTCTGAAAAAAATTATTTCTCCACGGAAACTTACAGCCCTCACATGTTTAGCGTGAATTTGACTTAAACCGCTGTAAATTCAAAATGGCGTCCTTACCCCGGTAAGCAGTGAGAAATAAAATTCACTCAGTGAAAAATAAATTTGTTAATGAATGCTCATTCTATTCATGTCATATCCCGCGTACCGCGTGCATCGTAGCTAGCTACTAAGGCATGTAAGACAGCTTTCCATTTTGAAGTAATTTTTTTGTGTATTGCGAACCGCGTTTCTACTGTTTTTCAGTAACGCAGTAAACGTAGCGGTAGGGTTTTTTTTGCAGCTACTCCAAGACGATATTTTCAGACCACTTTCCTGAAGGACTCTCTTATTTTGATACATGATACAGCAGTTTTAACTTCTTCCCGTCTTTTTTAAAAATTAAAGATAAACAAAACCCTTGGTGTGACAGCTTATTCTTATAAATTTCCCCTTATATTGGTAATTACCACTATATTGTCAGTTCACTCAGGAAATAACTGTCTTAAGAATCCAAAAATGGATAAGCGATACACCAAATGGTGTCTTCAATCTCACTGATATGACTATGAACACCTGGTTGTACGAATCCATCTGGGATATGCATGGCGGACTCAAATCGTCGTCAGAGATCTTGCTTACAAGTATTTACTTATATTTGATACAACTAGCAGCATCATTAACTCACAGCCAGCTCTATGAACTAGATGGCGATCTCTTAAAATTTCTCTTTAAACTATTTTTACCCAAATGATTTTATAATAAACGTCAAAAAGGAAATAAATGAATAAGTAAATAAACTGATCGAGTCCACATGATCGCAATTTTCTGAAAGAATCGAATCCTTGAACATCACGACCGCAGATAAACCAGATTTAGCTTTCCATCGTCAAAGTGAATCTCAATTCTCTTTGAGCAGACGTAATTGAAATCATTAAGTTTTTGCGCAAAAGAAAAAAAACCAAGAGGAACTTTGAAGCACTGATAGAGCGAGAACTGAATTCTAACCTCAATTGTTCATTGCTTTAATTTAAAAATTCAGAATTATATTCACGTATCTTTGTCTTATATGTGACAGTCGTTTTTTATTATTTTTAAGTCTAAAAATGACGATTTTTTTTGCCTAAAATTTTGTTCACCCATTTGAGTGATTTACACTCCATCTTGTATTTATTCTGATAGAATCTGATGTTGTGAAAATGAATAAATGATCGTCGCAGTGTTGTTTGCTCATTCCATCCACTACTATTCAGACAAACTGTGTTATTGAAATGACGCAAGTATCGATTGTCACCGAAGTTCAACCAGAAATTTTCAGGTTTTTCCGGCAAGGAAGCAAAATAATTATAATAGTTCTTTGCCTTTTAACTAAGATGTTTCAGTTCTCTAGTGTTTTAAATCTTTGAGTTAAACATATGACGTTCAATTTTTTTATAGCAACTGTTAAACTTGTGATAAAAGCGGAAACAGATAAAAATCTAAATAAAGACATGAGTGCATTAAAAAGTTTTTAAATCACTCAAAAATTCGATTTATATGCATTTAACTTGATGGAGGTTTTTGTTAACTCAAAGCAGTTTTTTTAGCAGCTATATTCTATTCTTTATTTACTTCTCTGTTCGACACCGACCTGATTAAAAAAAACAAATGAGCGGCGCCTGGATCCTTTAATTTTTTCCATTTGACAGAAACAGCTGAACCGATTTAATGTCAATATTAAAGGTGCTACAGCGCGCTTGAGAGTAGATATTCTTTACTGTCTCGTAAAATCAATTTTGTTAATACCTCGCCAATTTTTCCCATTTATATTTCAGCGCTTTTTGGACCTGAAAGCGGAAAATAACTGTTCAACCGTGCGAAACCTCGATCACGGAAGACTGGTAGCAAGTGTTTATGCAAAGATGGCGGGCAAAGTTGGAGCAGGAAAATGTCTGTAAAAATCCGCTAAAAGTTTCCACTTTTTAACGGGGTTATGAGTCTTATGAGACAAGTAAGCCTTCTGGCAGCTGGCTGCCAGCCATGGAACCTTGATGTGTGCGCAGCAAGCTGTAATGGGGATCGATTTGCCTACTGCGCGACCCTGGCGGTTTACGTTTACGAGGTATGAAGTCGTTTTGCGTTCCAAAACCATGGTTCCCTTTCTATCTTCAGTTTATCGCCGATTTCAGTTTTTTTTTCACTCTGTTTATATTTTGGATAAAGAGAAAAATAGTATTAATTTGATTCGTTAAAACTTGATTCACTTGTTGAAGTGACTTTGGATTGTTGAATGTTTATATTTGCCATTGGTTACATTAATCCGCGGTCGCGGTTTGTGGAATGCGTATGACTGGTCAGTATTCCGATGTTGCTAGGTAAACACCCTCCCATCTCACCGTCTTTTAAGAGGAGCTGATACTCTCTTCTGAGAAGATGGTTAAATAAACAAATTGTCATCGTTAATTTATTTTATCTTGCATGATGAGTCTATTTACTTCCAAATTCTACTCTTCTAGATTAAAGCTTATTTACCCAAATGTGGGAGCAAGGCGACGTTCTCTGCCAGACAAATTTTTCTTTATTAAGCAGCGGCTTAAAAATTCCTGCTATTTTTTCTCTTGTAGAAACATTTTGTGACAACGGAAGTGTTCCATTTTGAAATGTTGCGTTTAGCTCGCTTCGTATATGAAATGATAGCTTCGTCTCCCGCCCCTCACTGATGAGCACATTTCCATTGTCCCTATTCCCACTTGTTCCAATTTTCAGTAAAATTGGTGATTCTTATTGGAATATTATTGTTACATTTTGCACATCCTATGCAGTAGGCATACTTAATTATAGCATCTTTGGAGGTTATCTGTCATCAGGTAGAAAGAATAATATTATAATTCTTTACATTTATTTAAATTATCTGATAGGTATGGTGACTTAGGCGTACTACCTAGGCATAGTGTTTTGTAGACTTCCGAATATCATTTCCACATTCTGGGGGGCATCTTATGCATACCTGGAGCTTGAAGAATAATATTATGACCACCTAATCCTGTTTTTATTTTTTTATTTTTGTCAGTTGGATCGCCAGTTTAATGAATTTCGTCTGTCAGCCATTTTAGCACAGCACAAGAAGACAGTCACGTGCCTTGTTTGGCATTCCAAAAACTCTGACATTCTTGCAACATCCAGCAATGATTGTAGAATTTGTATATGGAGTGTCTCACAACAGAAAGTAATCAGCGCCTTGGACAGCTTCAACTCTGTGCCAGTATGTATCGGATGGTGTCCTCATGACCAGGATTCAATAGCTTACATTAATGGGCGTGGACCGATGCAAATATGGAGCTACACTGCCCCTGCTGAAAAGATAGTGTCAAAGTATCTAGAATCTGTGACATTTTTTTCTGATGTGAGCCAATTTCGCTGGAACCATAAAAAGCAAGGAAAACTTGTTTTTGGTCATGTTGATGGCAGTATAACTGTTATAAATCCTGGCCAGAAACCTTTCAAGCATTATTTAAGACCTGAGACTGTTGAAGATCAGGATGAAGAGGACCCTGTGACAAGTCTTGAATGGGACCCGCTATCAGTGGATTACTTGTTAGTTTCCAATGCCTATCAAGGAACAAGATTGATTGATACTGACTCCATGACGGTTATCATGAATTTTAAATTACCAAGTTCAGCAACAAAAATTCACACTTTGGCTTGGGTTCCCTCGGCACCTGGGATATTTGTGACAGGAGGTAGTTAAAATATATCATGAGTTTATGTAATCATACTTACATTGTTTTGACTGAACAGTTGTGCAGTACAGGAAACATAGTGGGCCTACTGTGGACATGTTTAGGATTGAATGAGCCTGTCAATAAAAGCCCCTCTCATCCCACCCCACCATCAGTGACATTTCATTAGAAAGAGTTCCTTGTGGCAGGAAGCAATGAAAGGTGGTTCTATTTGCAGCCCAGGAAGAAAATTAGCATTTATGTGGTGATCATCGAGAGAGAAATATATAAGTGTAAATGAACTATAACCCTAACCCTAACCTCATTGTTAACCCTACACTGACTCATAACTTGACTCATAACTCAGTAACTCATAAAAGCTGTTAAACAAGCTTTCTTTTGGTGGTCGTAAATGAAAGTTTCCGCTAAACATGCATACGTCAGACAAATATATTGAAAATTAAAATGATAGCTGGGCTGTGCTCTAGTATTATGGAGTAATAGTTTTGAGATCCCTACAATTTTTCTGTAAAGCACAGCTGGAGCTTTGAACCTAGTCAAATATAATGTACTCTCTATCCTGAAGATTTGATTAATAGACCAACATTGGAAGGACCTGTGGAGAGTGTGCCAGGAAGTTCAATGAACATTAATTTCTTATCATTTATTTCAGACTCCCAAGCTGGAATTTTGCGCATATGGAATGTGTCAAAAAGCACCTCTATGACAAACATTAAGCTTAAAATGACTGGTTTTCATGCACTTATTGTAGTGGAACCATCACAGAGCATTTCGCCAACCAATAATAATGATCATAGTTTTGTTGGATTGTCTTCAACTTCTGCTGCAAGTGAAGCTCCATCTTCACCCAATCAAATTGCATATGCTCTGCCTCCTGCCAGAATTCTTTGCACATTTCTTGATGGTGGTGTTGGACTGTATGATTTAGGGAAAAGGAAATGGAGTTTCCTTCGTGACATGGTGAGTCTAGTTTCTGTATCCCTTAGAATTAGATCAAATGCCAAAGGATGATTTTTGTGTTACTAGTTAAGTGATACATTTCTTGATCTGGTTTAGCAATAATTAATGTCTGTATACCTTCTTATCCTTTTTTAATTTGATCCATATCGAATTTTGTCAGGGTCATATTGAGACAATATTTGACTGCAAGTTCAAACCTGAAAATCCAGATTTATTGGCTACAGCATCATTTGATGGAACAATAAAGGTCTGGGATGTCAACACCATGACTGCAGTAAGTATTTGAAGTCACTCAGTCTCGGGCTTTGTTTTCTTTGTTTTCTTTGAGGTTATGTTACTGTACTCACCAATGACTGGGGTGTTTTTTTGTTTTACAGGTACATTCTTCTCCTGGAAATGAAGGAATAATTTATGCCCTTTCCTGGGCTCCTGGTAAGACTTTCTAAGACATTATAGTTTAATTCTTAAATGTAATCAATTTAAAAATGATTATAAGTACTGTTATTTATCATAATGAATTATTGTGATATGTGTTACCCTTGTAGGGTTAATCTAAGGTCTTACAGTAGTGCTAAAATCAGTAAACTACTGGCTCCCTCAAAATATGATTGATTCCTTTTGAATTTGAAATTAGGTCATGTGACCCTTGTGAGAATCCCCAAAAAGGGTCATCTGACTTTTTCCTTTTTCAAATGCAATAACAACGGTTTGTAGCTCAAATCCTCTAACATTGCTAGAATAGAACTCTGTTAACCCTTTAAGTCCCAATGGTGACCAACATCAATTTTCTCTTAACCATATCCAAAGATTGTCAACAGATTAGGATATGAGAATTAATAAATTGATCAGCTAAGAGAAAATGCTTTGATCTTGTATCAAATTCTCTCAACACATTCTTTAAGGAAATGTATAGAGTTCAGTTTGGAGAATTCATATGCGGATATTGGGGCTTAAAGAGTTAAATCTCTCTGCCAGCTCCACCTTTTCGGGGTCCCCACATAGCCAGTATGATCCATGGTTTTGTAAGATTATAATGACTCGTTCAACAATGCTTACTTTTTACTTTTTGTGCTGTTGTTGTTGTTGTCATTTGTAGTTATTGCATATTGTTTGCTAATAAGATTGTGTAAAAATAATAATAAAAAGATTGTAATGGCTAACTTTCTTAGTAAATTTTCAAATGCAGCACTTAACTTAAAAACTGTTTTATAGGAGATGTGAATTGCATTTGTGGAGCAACAGCAAAAAATGGTGTCTTTATCTGGGATATAAACAAAGGGAAAATAATCAAGAGGTTTACTGAGGTAAGTTAACCCAAAAAGTGTTACCACAGGTAGCACTGAGTTTGCAGAATATTAATGCATGCATGTAATGTTACAGGTAATTAGTTGGTTCTTCTTATTTTTTTTCAATAGCATGGTAAACATAACATTTACAATGTGAGCTGGAATCACAAGGATTCGCGAAGGATAGCATCCTGTAGTTCTGACAAATCATGGTGAGCCATATTTACTGGGCATTTGATATAAAGGTTTTTTTGGTGGTAAGTCAAATGAGAAGTAGTCAATAATTATAAGTTGTGTTCTGCAAAATGTTAATTTGCACTTTTAAGTGAAACAACTGAAAAGTGACTTCACGCAAACTTCATTTTTTTCTGCTTAGTTACTGCAATTCGAGTTGTAAATAAAATAAAAAAATACCTTATTTTGGGAACTTGATATGCTATTCGAGGTAATAGTACAGTATAAATTATGATTACCTCACACTGTAAATAATGTTCACTTTTTAGTGTTGTGCGACATGTTGATGGCACTTTGGTCAAGAGATATAAGCACCCTGGATCAGTTTATGGCTGTGACTGGAGTTTGAACAACAGGTAAAGATGCAAATATATTTCACAAAAGGGATTAATAATATATAGTTATCAGTATCAAACTTGATGCTTTTATCTGATTTCAGGGACATGATTGCGACAGGCTGTGAAGATAAATGTGTCAGAGTGTTTTATGTTGCTGCAAGCACTGATCTTCCTTTAAAGATATTCTCTGGTATGCATATTGTTTAATTTGCCAAAACTAAACTGAATTTAAATAAAGTAAAGAAGCATGTAGAGATGATATACTGTAATCCTTGGGGAGATATTTCATATTGAGGCATATCTTGCTTGTCCTTGAATTCATTAAATACATATTAATCATTATTAAAAACTGAATCATTGGATAATGCAGTTCTAGAGCTCTGATTGCCTATGAGCTATCTTTTGTTGATTTGGAGGTTAATTTCCTTAGGTCACACAGCAAAGATTTTTCATGTGAAATGGAGTCCCATACGTGAAGCTATTCTCTGCAGCGGGTCAGATGATGGGTAATAAACTTTGTTTTCTTATTTCTACCTTTCATTGTGGGCTGTTAAATTTCTAGTATCAATTCGTAAGCACTGTTCATAGTATTGTATTTATGTAATCTGTTTTATGTCTGTAAGCACTGTAAGTACCTGTTCTTGTGAAGATGGCAATAAAACAGTAATTATTAAATAATAAAAACAATTCCATCCCATCTGGCCTGTGCTTCGTGATATTCAGATATTTGTGATTTTTAGTGAATACTAAAGCAGTTTTGATTTGTAGATCATTGATAAGCAAATTATGACTTACAGGTAGCCTTAACAAGCTGTAGTAATTTATTTATTTGTTTTCCTGTTTTGAGCAGCACCATAAAAATCTGGGATTACACTGAGGTAAGACACTTATACTGTCTTCAACATAATTTGTATTTTTAGTTAAATGAAAAAGTTAGATTGCCAAAAAATTCTCATACCTTGATACAATGCCGCTACCATACATTTGTACAGTGTTGAGTAGGAGACAAAAAGCGTACGGTTTCACAGAAAGTAACCAGAGCTGGTTCTAAACTGTATAGGGAGCACAGAATACTTAATTTCTTTGGTTATTGTAACACTTTACATTTGAATAAGATTGACATTGTTCCCGTTTTCTCCATAGGACTCCTGTATTAACACGCTTCAAGGACACACAGCACCTGTTAGAGGTCTACTCTGGAGTCCAGAGATCCCATACCTGCTGATATCTGGAAGCTGGGATCATGCGATTAGAATATGGGATACAAGGTAGTGGACATAATTCTTTCTGTATGCAAAAGGTGGTCAGCTTGGAAAGTTTGTTGGACTTTGATTCCCTCACAAAGGAATTAACAAAATGTTGTTACATCTGTATGAAATAACACTTCATTTCGTTTTTAAGAGATGGATCTTGCTTAGAAACCGTTTTGGATCATGGAGCAGATGTGTACGGTATGTAGCCATACTTTCATCACACACAGGCCAAAGTTACTTATAGGGGCTCTATAGAGGGGGCGTATGAATCAACGAACGGAGATTATTTTCCTTGTCCAATGCCACGCCCTTCATTAGAGCTCCACCAATGCTTACCTCATCTCTAGAAACTTTTTTATTGTTCTAAGAGGTTTTTTTTCAAACAAGTTCGCAGAGAGGATAACAATTTTTAATGAATTCTTCATTTCGCTTCATGCTAGCCACAGCCTTCCGAGATACGCATTATGTTGTCTTGTTTCTGAAATTCTTTTGCGTATTCTCTACTCCGGCGTAGAGGTCACCTTGGCTGGATAAATCTTTGTGAACCTGCGTTCTATATACATATATATATATATTTTTTACCATAACAGGTTTTTTAGTAACTTACTGTACATTTTGTTAATTGTAGGCCTGACTTGTCATAGATTCAGACCGTTCACTGTAGCATCGTGTTCACGTGACTCAACTGTCCGGATCTGGTCTTTGTCGCATTTGGCCTGCTCCTTACAGATTGACGTCCTGGCCAAAAAATCTTTGGAAGAGATCGTCACACCCAATACAGGTATGGTATCTACACAGATATCAGAGATTTTGTGTGTTTGAAGAAAAGTAATTTCATGGCAAAAAAAATTACTCAGGAAATCACAAGTTTTACTGAATTGACGACGTTTTGCCTCTTGTAAAAACGACTCAACAGTTTTGAAAACTGACTACAGATATAAATCGCTACGGTCACAATCTTTAATCGAAGAACATCACATCCCTCGAAGCTTATAAAACGAGCATAGATAAATAAACAAACAAATAAATAAAGCGTTGTGTAAGGTAGAAGAATTTAACGGACGTTTTTGGTTTCCATAGAAACGGCCATGTCAAGTGGAGGCCCCCCGCTGTTAAATGGACGAGTCTCTCGTGAACTGAAAGCGACTGTTTCGACTAAAGGCGACAAGTCTCATATGTCAGCAATCAAACTTCTTTCGGATTTCTTTACGGTAATTCCAGCTGCAATTTCTTTCTTGTTAATATTGCTACCCCGGCTTTCTTGTCCTTTGCATGAGACGAATGAAACTCCTAAAGTAGTGGGTCCACGGTTGCATTGATTATAAAATAGCAGATGCCGATTTCCGTTACTGAAAAAGAATACTCTTCCTTTAAAGACTCTTGGGCCAGGAAATTTCTCTCGCCAAATGGGAAGTTTTTTTTAACAAAATAAGAAAGGGTTTTCGTAACTTTTTAACTTGGAGTAATGTTACAACAGAAACTGCTATTGGAATTTCTGCAGTTTGAAAAATAGTCTTCAACGTCGCTTGACAGTTTTATTCACTCCTGTCTTTAATATTTGTTAGCTGCCAAGAAAGACGAAAACCTTCCAGAAATGAATATTTTTCCTTTTTTTCTTTCACTTTTTTATTACTCAGCCTCCTTGTGGAGGGCGCAACTTGTGGGACTTGGTTTTAGTACTGTGCGATGGTGAAGAAAGTTCATTACCAGCATCTTACAGCAAAGGAATTATTCACAGCAAACATCTAATCAAGTATAAGGCAGTGAGTATACTTTTGCTGTTAGTTCAAGCTCAGGTTTTTTGTCATTTACTCGCTTTTTCACGTTTGTTTGTTAATATTACAGTTGATATTGATCACTCTTCAGGTCGCTTTCTTTGTTTGATCAACTCGAAAAAGGGCAACAAACTTGTGCTTGTAATAGACATACTCAAAACCGTGCTGACAGAGAGAAGCTTTCAGTGACTAACTTTATTGTGTTTTTAAGTCCGAAGCACAGGAATTAGAAACAGTGCGAACAAGCAGAGCAGGAAGGATGATGGCCAAGAGGGAAGACAGAATAAGAGAAGCCGCCAGTTTGCAAGTGAAGATCGGTCAGCTACAAAGATACTGTGAACTTATGGTCGAACTCGGCGAGGTAAACCATAGGGCGCCTACAACAAATCTGAACGGTCCGCTTGCCGGACTGGTCATTTTGAACAATTAAATGGGCTTTTTACTAGAGTTTTCGTAAAACACCCATCAATGCCGTGCATACTACATGGACTGTGATCTGGTTGTACCGTCTAGATAATGGTTAAAGGGGCACCTTCAACCAGTGTGCATTGCGGTCTTGCACTTCACCGAAATTTGCTGTAATACAGAAATCACGAACGTTCTGATTGTGTTTGAAAATCGGATTGTATCTTCACAACCTAAGGAAATAGCAGTCTTTGATACCCTTCTTAAAAGAAACATAGATACAATCCTGTTATCAAACACAGAAATCACGATGTATTACAGGAAACGATTTCGGTGAAGTGCACGACCGCAATGCACACTGGTTGAAAGTGCCCCTTTAAATTCTCGTAACGACTGGACTGGTCTTACCGGCCATGTCTGAATCACGGTGAGCGCTCCTGCATCGCACGAGAGACAACTAATTATACATTTAAACGTGCAGTGCACTTTTGGACAGCATGATAAATTTCGTTATCGGTGATTTTTTAGTTGCTGGTTGTCTTAGTGAACGTGATGACTTTTTTTTAGACGTCATTCAAATCATTCCTTCATCACCATGGCCATCATTATCACCATTGTCATCATCATCATCATCATCATCATCATCATCATCATCATCATCATCATCATCATCATCATCATCGTTATCATCATCGTCATCATCATCGTTATCATCGTTATCATCATCATCATCATCATCGTCATTATCATTACCGTCGTTATCCTCCTCAGCACCAATCAATATTATCGTCTTCATCACAAACATAAACGACCACAGGAGCCCATCGTGACAACCATTATTAAGGTATTATCTTATCATCAGCATCATCGTGGTCACCGTCGCTGTCGTCTTCAACACCATTACCTCTGTCTTTTGCAGATAATTATTCCACCCTGGCCGTCTGTATAGATCCTCATTCTCAGTACTCTTTATTATTTGTTTACTTAATAGTGGGACAGGGCTTTAGCAATGGCACCAGGGGTGTCAATGGATTACTGGAGAGAGTTGACGGAAAGGTGCGGAAACAATTCTCAAATTCCTTTTTTGGTAATCTTTTCAAGCTTTATTGCCTTGATTACTGGTAAAGTAGACTAAACGGTAACTCAGTCTGCCTAACCCTTCCGTGGAAGCAAGTCCATCCGTGTTCCTTTCACTTTTCCCGTTAGTAACATAGTATTTTGTTGGGATGCAGCCACGCAAAAATATGCATCACTAGAATTCGCCACTTAAGAAACGAGAGGCCGAGTTAACGTTCGCAAAGACCTCTGGGACTGCTACTAGGCAGAGGGGAAAAATTGGCCAATAGCTGACCGACGCGTCCCCAGTAACCATCCCAGAAACAATTGCGCGGCACATTTCGGCTCCAGTCCTCTTCTCTTTTCTAAAGTTCCAAAAAAAAGCAAGTTGGATTTGTAATGCGAAAATGTGTGATGCAAATCTAAGCGTTTTTGCTTGTGTCTTCGTTAACAACATTAGTATGGCTATGCTGATTTTATCCCGATTTGTTTGCTGTTGAACTTTGTTGTAGACGCACTGCTCAGCTCATGAGAGAGGACAATGATGCAGCTGTCCCTTACTGCGCTGCTTTGGGAGATGCAAACAAGGTACCGGCCATCACACAATGACATGATTGACTTTTTCTCACATTTCGTTTTCTTTCTTCATTTTTATTCTTTTTCTCAGACTTCCTGCACATGAATTCACTTCTTCACTTTAGAAGGTTCTCAATTTACAACCCGAAAAAAACAACAACAGCAGCAACAAACAAACAAAGAAACCAAAACCGAGTTAATCCAGCAGAATAACGTTTTGTCGGCGATACGATATCCTAGCTCAAGTTTTGCTCGTTCTTTTCATTTCCAGTTGGTTTCATTCTTTACGTCACGTGGCCAGCTTCATGACGCACTATTGGTTGCTCAGGTGGCGTGTGAGGGAGGCATTTCATTACCGCCGAAGAAAGAAGCGAAACCTCTGGATCTTAAGAAAAACGACATTTTACCTTCGCTGACAAACTTTATGACCGATGAGAACAAAGGGTGAGAATTGTAATGCAGTGATGTTTTAGTGCTGGAAGCAAGGCTTCTTTCATGCTGCAAATAACAGTTTTCTAACACAGTTAACAAATCGGTGATGTTTAGTTGTTGCTTAAACGTTTTAGTAAATGAAATATGAGCGAGCGACGATTCGTTAGTGATGGTTGCAACGTTACTCTTCTTGTCGTTCAGTTCAACTTTTGAAGTTTTTTTAGTAAGTGAAACTTGAGACTCGAAAAACAAAAATCCAAGTTTTCCCAACAGAAGTGGAACCAATAGCCTACACAAGAGGCGTTATTACAGGCACTTAAGCTCGCCCTAAAGCCCGCCAGAGAGATCCTGGTATTTCCTGTGGTTGCTAGTCCAGATGCTTTACCTCTGAACTATTAGAAATTCATGGGACAATACTGGGAATTCATCGTTTGTTGCTACATTTTGTAGGTTACTTCAGTCCACGAGCACAGCATTAGCAGACTGGTATTTCTACAGTGGGCAGCCTGTGTTGGCTGCTTGTTGTCATCTGGCCGTTGGTGATGTCAAGGTTAGAGCTCATGAAAGATTTTATATAAATTGCCTTATTGTGTAGCCTTATCATGAAACCTTACTAAGTAATATGAGTTGAAGTCACAAATCTCCATGGGTAGTTTTCGCTATACCGGCCTTTGCACAACTTTGCGTTATTTCAAAACTCTAGCAAACACGTTTCCACTTTTCCAAAACTCTTAAGTCTCTATCCGCCTGTAACCTCTCCCCCAAGAACTGAATTAACTGGATTAACTAAAGAAGGGCCCACATGAGAAAAAGCGATTTTCTTGTTTAGAAGTAAACTCATTCTTTTCAGTTGGATTTGATTTGTTACTTTAAGATGTATCTTTGTGGAATACATTACCACCTAAGTGTATTTCTCATCTTTAACAATTATAATTCTGTATAACTTAAATTCTCTAATAATTCTAAAATGTTATTTTTCATTATTAAGATTAATTATTTGCACATTTTATTCAACAGTTACTTGAAAATGTCACAGATATGACCCCAGTGGCGGATCCAGGCGAGGAGCCCGTGGGGGGGGGGGGGGGGGGCTGGCCCCCTTATCTTTGGACCAAACTGAGGCTTAAAGTGCCGAAAAAAATTTTTTGAGGCCGCCCCCCCTATTCTTAGGGTCTAGATGACCCCCCCCCTGATCTGAAAGTCTGGATCCCGCCATTGGCCCCGGCTACCAAATATAGACATGTTTATGTGCTTGTATGTTGACGTCATTAGCATGATGCCCTGTTTGTTTTCAGTTTGCGTTATCCAAGCTCATTCGAGGCAACGAACTTGAACTCGCTGTCAGCATAGGAATGGTGCTAAATGATGACAGCCAAATGTATCACCTAGCTGTAGAATTTTTGGCAAGAAAATGTGAAAGATTGGGCAAATGGTAAGAGCTTGAATCATCTACACCGTTTTACATGTTTAAAAGCAGAATGTATTTGTTATTGCTGTTCCGACCTCTTGCCAGTTCGGTGACTCAGATGCTATTTTTGTCTCTATTTATTTTAGGGACTCTTGTATTGCCTTACTGAAGTTATTACCATCCAGCGGAAACTACCTGGTCAAGTCATGCGCCAGATGCCAGGGAACAGTTACGGAATTAAACGAATTGCACGAAAAGGTAACTTAACTTCGTTACTGTTACAGTTGGCATATTTCAATGCATCAGCATGCAAACACTACCACTGAAAAGAACTAGTCACTCTAGAGTTTCAGCTTCCAGAATATCAAAAAAATACATATTATACAACGTCAAACAAAAAAACTTTCAATGATCCCAGTTTAAGATTTCATATTTGAACTCAAAAGGTAGAACCCGCACTTTGCACTGCAGCTTCGAACACAGATACTGCTCAGTAGCCTTGATATTTTGATGGTCATACCTTGGATCTTATCCTCTTAAAGGCTACAGCGAGACAAATATATGGGCTTATAATAAAAACTAATACTCAATCTCTTACGGTGGTGATGCGTTCAGTATCAACTTCATAAGTGATGTAGCGTAACTTTTCTTTTGTTTTTGTGTGATCACTTATCAGGCAGGGTTACCAAGTGTGGAGGAATGTTTGCAGAAAGCAGAACAGTTTTGCGATGAGAACAAATTCCTGGAAGCCATGAAGTATTACCTTGTTTCTTCTTCACCTGAGTTAGCGCTTGATATCGGCCTGAATCTTGTGCGAGGTAAGATTGCCGGCGGTCCTGGGTTCGAGTTCCTCTTCAGCCAACAGCTGTACTCGGTCGTACCTGGTTCAAATCCTCACCCATGTTTGTTATTTGCCATCTGGTGGCCTCTTGTCAGTTGGGCCGGGTTGTTCTGTTTGCATTATTTGTTTGTTATTTCCTGATAGGGGGTTTACCTCAGTGTAAGAACTTGTGAACTTTTTCTTTGTTTTGCACGTTATGTTTTTCTAGGTTCTACAGTGCTGACTTCTTTGTTTTCATCGTTTTACGTCATCCGTAAGGTTAACAGGTTCTTACACCGAGGATGAGCTCTGATAAGAGTGCCTGAAAACTAGCTAGAGCAGCGACTTGCCTATAAGTCGAAATCAAAATTTTTTCCGAGCGCAAACCGAAGCGGGCCTACTACCGGAACCGGAAATGACAAGCGTAGGACTGTGGGCAAGTCTACAGCGAAGCGTACTTCAACTGTAAACAAAGCATTTACCATTTATTGGCGTTATATTTTCTTCGAACTTTACCATATATATTGTTAATGCAAAGGTTTCTCGGTATGTAAGTAATCATTTTACTTGTTTTAGATGCCATGAGAAAACCCTATTGGGTGCTGGATGATATACTAGGTGTGGTCCAATTAATGTCGTGTATCAGGACAGACCGCTTACAGCAAAACAGGATTTCCAAGTAAGACATTTTTAGCGGAAAATACATTACTGGTATTTACACGGAACTAACCCAGTTGTACTGTTTTATTATAAAAACGACTTGACATCCAGACCTTTCGTCTGACAACTGCCCCCATTTCTGACTAACAGCTAAAATTAAGGCTGTGGATCATAGATGTCTGCGGTAATGCAACCTTCCCTCAAAGATCATGTTGTTTATATCCAAGATTGCCATGAAAGTAAAGAGACTTTTTGGATGGGTATCCTTTCAATCCAGTGTGACCATCCATCCACCCAGCTTGATAGCTGACTTTATGCGTTTTTTTTTTAAAGAAGGAAACAAAACAAAACAAAACTGTTAAAAAAAAAAAACACCCAGTAGGACCGGAGGATCTTGTCGTTATCTACCTTGAATATATGCACTGAAGGAGTGTTCAAGATAATTTTAACCCACGGCGATAATTTTGTCGTTCCTCCGAATAGGCAAAGACAAGAGCTTCTTGCACTGAGTGCATACGTTGGAGCGCTGTTAGCAATAAGGAGAAAGTACGATCCAATCGTCCATCCTCTGTTTAAACACGCTAGGTAAGACTGAATTTAGTTTTCAAGCGCGCTTGGTAAACAGTTCCAGCATAATTTGTTAATCGATTTTTGTGTTTAAATGTCAGTTTTCATTAAAAATTCAAAAGGCAATGTTAACTCCTTTTTATCTGATGTTTGTTTTGCAATAAAACCGCGAGTGCTTAGCGAGCTGGTTTTGAAGAGAATCAAGGCTGGCGATGACCTTGCTTTGACTCAACCATCACTGTCTTCGTATATGGAAGAGGGGTTCGCTTTCTATTCTGACGCTCATTAACAGTTTGCACATTTTTATGTCTGTGCGCAAATTAGCACGACTCCCAAAGTAGTTCCTCTGACCACTTCCTAAAAGCCTTTATTTTGTTACCCTGCGAGCAGTTAGTAGAGAGCTTCTGATTTGAGGAGGAGATCGAGTACGAGATTTAAGTTAAAGTTTTTGCGCGTGTTCTCAAAAACAAGACTGCCCGGAAAGCTTCATTTTACTTTATTCCACCAAAAAAGTTATTATTAGTACGGTTATTGTACTCCCCCGATAGCAAAATGATAAAATTCCGAACATTTGATAACTTGTTTTCGCCACTACGACATTCTCGCTAAAACTCGTAGAAGAATGACGATGGCCATCACATTTTCCCGCCAAAATGACGTTGGTTCGCGCACGCGCACCACTTAGTATTGAGAAAATCTCGTTCTCATAGTTCTTATCTTTGAATCTAAAGCTCTCTAATACGCTACTTGGGACGGCTTCGTAAATGCTAACAGCCATGCTGGAAAGAAACTTCTGCTCAACCTCATGTCAAATTCATTTGATTTCTTTCTATTCAAGGCAACTGTTTCACACGGACAAAGTGGACTTGGCAGTCACAACTTCTCAACTTGAAATGGAATCAGAAGCATGGCTCGCATTCAAACAACCTCTCAAGTGAGTAGCCAGTCTCCACTGAATTCTCTTCCTGGTTTGTATTCAGAGTCACAGGACACCTGCATTACAAGAGGGTAACCCTGTGTTGTAGCATAAAGCAGGTATCAGTATTGCGCTACCCCCTCCCTACACCTGGATGGTAGGTTAGTCTATCGCAGAGGCACCCATGGTATGTTTTCTGATTCGCTGTCTGATATTCTTTATTTCCAGTCCGTCGGTGACGCCTTCTCCAGAACAGAAAGCCGTGTGGGACTCTCTACTAAATCGAGTTGGTAAGATACGTTCTCTGTCGAAAAAAGAAAGAAAGTTTAGGATTGTTATCTTTGATTTGTAGCGGACAGGAGAGGATTAAGAATTATTTGTCGACACTTTAAGGCCGCTATCGACGCCTCATGTTCTTGACCGTGTACCCTGACCACTCTTGCTTGTTTTAAGGAAGGAAGACTCGACTTTTGTTTTTTTCAATTTCTGCTCCCTCCAGGGAAAGAGTCATCGATATACTTGACGGGTGTGGATATGGTTACAGGTTCTTTGCTTCCCAGCCATTCTGATGTTCAATTGTCTTGCCTCACAGGAGAGCGAATCAAGGTATAAATAATTAGACATACCAGTAGTTACTTCCGTTGAATCTGGTGCTCGCATATACTGAGTGTAATAAAACTTGACGAGAGATCAAAAAACTTGTTGAGGGTGTTGTTGCACAATCTCTTGCGTCCAGGGCTCTTGTTAAAGGCCGTCGAGTAAATAATACAAAAACAAGAAAGACTGAGAAAAATAAAGACTGTTTTTACTTTGTCATTTATATGTTTCTTCCTTTTTCAGGGCCAGGCGTTTTTCTTGAATGACGGACGCTCTGTAATGTCATTAAACAATGCACTGATGTGGGCCAAGGTAAACGCCTTTTCACTAGTAGGTGCTGGAGTGCGCCTGGAGCCCTTCTGAAGAATGAACTGTGACGGCAGTATCGTGACAGATGTCATGAAGGACGTCACGGCTTCTGTCACGATAGTGTCGCGAAACTACTGCGATAAGTCAATAGACGAATCCTCTCATTGCTATTGTCTCGAGGGATGTAATGACTGCTGCAACAAAACGTGGCTGGGATGTAGTTGTTACTCCGATCTCAGAAGAACTACCACCTTATCCCCATGGCAGCGTTACGACAGCTGCAGAAGATGGCTAGAGTAGACTAGATAAGACATAAGACATACTAGAAATACGTTGATCGCAAAACCTCGTTAAAGAAGGCGTGGCTCTAATGATGGAACCTCGGCTTCCTGCCCCCTCCCGTCTTTTGCCAGATATCTGATCCACTAGATATACGAGGGCTGAAGATCAGATCTTACCTTGGGACAAGACTTAGGCTTTTTGTTGAATATTTAAGTAAACTTCCCTCTGAGTATATCAGGAGGAATGTTGTGATCCAAAGGTAATTTCTCCTGTGGAGAATTAAGAAATTCGTGCCGGTCTGAAGCAAGAAGAATTTAAAGCTGGCCTTTAAATTAACACTATCCAGTAGATGATAGGATTTCAAATACTGTAAAGTTGGTTTGTACTAGGCGTTCTATAACCAGCCCGATGCCTGTTTTGACTTTTGTTTTGTTCTTGCGTAATTGTGCCATTCTTACAAGTTCATCCATGTGTTGAAAAAATTCAGTCACTTTCCCCGATACGGACTTGACATTATCACCAACGATGTATCATTTTTGAGTAGTTGTTTAAAGGAAAGCTAAAATCAGTCTGGGTGATTGCAGTAGATACAAATAGTTCAGTGAGCCAATCAGATTTTAAATGCAATACATGTAACCGGTCCAAGGCGCGGGAAAGACCGAGCTTTCGTTTTGCCTCTGATTGGTTGATAAACTGGCACGTGATTTTCTCTTAATGCAATCACCTAGCAGTACTAAAACAAGTGCAATTTTGAAACTACTTACGACACTCAAGAAAAAAAAAAACGCTCTGATGTCTCGGCTTATTAGAAAGATTTACTCAAACTACCTTTTTTTTATAGAATATCTGTGATTAAAACACCAAACGTGGACCACAGATGTCTGCCTTAGCAGTATACTTTACTTACTGATTTTCTGGTGATATAAGTTGGCGCGTCTGATTTTCTCCAAAATATTGTTTTTACATTATATAAACAACTTTGGGATATTATTAGGTAGGCTTATTTATTGTTCTGCTAAGAATGGAGTAGTTGTTATCGACATTTTCTTAGCTTGAGATATATTTAATGGACATAGTTTGCTTTTTCGGCAAAGCTATTTTTATTGAGTGAAAGTGTGTACAAGTCACGGATTGTAAATCTTCTGATTAGTTTACAAAGTGGCGCTCTAAAAATAACTTCGTATTGTCGGTAAACAATAGAAAATACGAATGACTCTAGAAAGTCAATTGAATACCACTCTACAATTATTTTTTTGGTATGCAGATTCCTGTTAATAGAACTGATAGGTCACTAGGTTATTAATAGTATTCGCGCATTAGAATTCAATATCTTTTTAAATTGTTTCTTTAGTTACGTTTTTACACAATGTTACATCTAGATAGCAGAGATCAGAAAGTACCCTGAACATGAAGCTTTCTCAGTCGGTTTGGTCTCGGATGAAAACCTTTTTAGATCTTTGTATGTGTAAAGTGTTTGAGAAAATTAAATGTACAGTAAAGAGACTGTGTTGTGCACGTATAAATTCTTCAGTTTTTGTTCACAGTAATATGCTGCTGAAGACTGTGGAAAAGGGCAATTTTGTTTACTTATCGACTCCAGTTTTCGTATGGGTAATAAGTAGTAGTATATAGGCCCTTGTATTGTATTCCTACACGTACATGCAGACAGAGCATTCATGCAGTACCAACTTAGCTACATTACTTTACTATTGTTGATCAAACCTGTAAGTTTCTGTCATTTCATTTGACATCAATTTAGCGTGAGTTTGCCGATGTAGGTACGCTAGGAAATATTTGTGAAAGGTTATTTTTCTGGAAAACAAGACTCCAGTCCCATATCAATCTATCTGGTTCCATTACCCCGCTTTCAACCAATTGCCGTCGATAAGTACCTTTTTCTTGTGGGAAACTTTCATCTACGTTACAGGCGCCTCCCGTCTTTCCGTGAATGCTCAATATACCGCGTGCAGAACTGATCGATGTTCAGTGCTATTTATGCTTAAAACTTTATATAGTGAAAGTAGCTTTTTAATAGTTCTTAAGTAAGTTACATCTTTTCAAAGTTATCACGATAATATTTTTTCAAAATTTGGCCATGAAAAATTAATTATGAATAACTTCTTTTTCTCTCATGTATTTTGCAACACAGAAAGGAGTTTAGATTTTGAGATCGTTCATGACACGTAAGGAAACAAGTATTATGTTCTAAAGGTTCTTCCAAGACATAATAACAACAGATATTGACAAAATGTGTTACAGAACTGCGAGTGTGAAGGTTTGCATGGTTGGTGGCTTGTTTTTTATATAAATCTGACTAGTGCTGTTCTAATTCTATTTTCAGCTTGTTTTTACCCCATATTTTTAGCTTTTAATCGCAAATTAACGCTTCATTGAACTTAATTAGAGATACTTGTGTTAAAGAACCATAAGTGAGCCAATTGTCAATTGTTAAATTACCACCGATATTCAAACAGCACATTGTCAAGGGACTAACTTCTGCTCTGAAACAATTGAGAAAAAATGTTTGATGTTGAGTCTGATAAAGGAGGCCGAACTGGAGAGATTTCAGTTGATAAAACTCCCCGCTTTTTGTCACTTGCGTACCTTCTGAGGTTTTGATTGCCTTGCCGTGAAAGGAAACAACTTGGAAACCAGGGCAGAAAATGCAGCTCCCAGTTGAGGCGCGTACGATTTCACTAATTCTATATTGGCTGTCTGAGAATGGCTGGAACCAGCTCTGAAAGCGACTTATCCAAAATGGACTGCAATGAACTCCTAGGAGGCCCCGTAGCCGACTTTCTTGATGGTCATTTTAAAAGTCAGGTTCCAAATTGCGGGCCAAATAATAGAGCTTACTTGCTGGCAAGCGATCTGTTAGGCCTACCACCCTCACCGGCCACTCACCCCCCTCCCCCACACCCTCGAGGACCCCCTGGTTCGAGCAGTCAAAGTACTCTTTGATTCAGCCCATTTGGCTGCAGTTGAAAAAATTTTAAAAGGGGTCAAAAAGGATTCTATAAATTTGATTGACAAAGTAGAGCGTGTTTTGCCCTTTGCACAAAGATGTATGCGCTCCATTCCTCGGTCTCCACAAGAGGTTGATAAATTTTCAGAGGTATCTATCTGAGGTTCCTTTATTTAGCCCTTGCGGCAACTTCAATCAGATACAAACTCCAATTACTAATTGCTCCAAGAAAAAAATCTTGTTTTACATGCAGTTTCCTATTAAGCTTTAGGTGACGAATTGCGAGGTCCCTTTCAGCAAGCGCAGGGACACCTACTGTAGGTCTGCTTCTTGTCAGTTCCTTGTCTGACTGGATTTATGAATTACTTTGTTTAGCAATGCTGCCAAAAAAAATAATAATAAAATGAAATACAACATAAACGGCAGAGATGGTAAACACAAGCATGTCTGTGGCTTAGGATAATGTATCACTTGGGTTGTTCTGTCCTATGCATGAGCAAGAACCTGACCGTTCCTGCTTTGTTATTCATGTGTATTACTACATTCCTGTAAACAGTTTAAGCAGGAAAGATAAGCTGAAAATCAGGTGTAATGCCCACTGGAAATTTAGCAGGAGCTCAGTACTTGTGCTCAGGTTTCATGACATGTGGAGTTTAATCGTGCAAAAAAGGCACGTACTTTCCTGCGGACAAACCTTTCCGTGTCGTTTGCCAAGAACAAAACGCGAACCTTCAAGACCGCGATTGCCTTAAGTATCGGTGTCTGACCAGCGATTAAGAGACTTTGTTACTTTGTATGTAACGCTGCATTTTTGCTATGTCGTGGACAAAAGTCATCTAAAAACTAACAAAATTCTAAATCTGTAAACAATGCTTGTAATTTTCAGTGTTAAAAATAGGTATTAGCAATGTTTCAGTACAGTTGAACACACTTCTTTGAGGCATATTGAATGCCCTGCGCTGCCAAGAATTGCAAAGTCCAATATTAAAACGGAAAATAACTGTTCCAAACTTTGATGTACAGTACAATGAACTAACACTACGGTGAGTAAAAAGACAACAACGGCCCCGAAAAAGATGACAACTGTACCCAAGTTTTGCACTCGAGTTTTTCCGTAAGTTTTGTTACTAAATGTGTTTATTCTAAAGGCAGGGCGTACTATATATATATATCACCTTTTTGTCTGGAACTGATTGAAATCAGGACCAAAGTCTGAGTAACTGAGCTCCATGTTCACTGTGGCATCTGAAAACCCAACATTAAACTTTTCCAACTTCCCAACCAGACAAGATCAGATAAGTAGAACAAGCTCAGGATGTAAAAAAAGCCATTAGAAAACCACAAAGTTTAATGAAATTAATGCGCGCTAAACTGAATAAAGACTAGATAACTAGTACTGCAACTACAACTAAACACGCTGAAAAATATCACTATGAATAAAATGGCAATACAGCTGTTTTAAAACAATACACTACTCCTTTTGTCTGGATTCTTTTAAATGAATAGAATGCATACCGTATGCATTACATTTTTAATCGCTCTTATATAATTCAAGCTAGTCTGGCCATTGAATAAATTTTTAACGGCATAAAGTCACGCATCTCCGCGCTCTCACCGTTTTCTTCATTTTTTGGACGAGAATCAGGAAATAGCTTACAATTCTTTTCTTCTACAGAGCGATTTCCACCCTGGATCGTCTTCCGAATGACAAAAAAAAATTGGATGATAACCTAAATGTTATATGAAATTTTCCCTGATTAAACCCAGTTGAAAGTGTTTCCTTTGGTTTGAGCTTTTCTAAGCTATAAAATCTGACATTTCAAGGGCTATGAAAAATGTATGGCATCTCGTGTTATAAGGCCAATCATGATCAAAACCCGAAATTGTCAGCCATTGATCCTACATATTCGGCGTCTAAAATCGTCTAAAGGTTGGAAGCGGAAACAAATCCATCGCGTCGGCGTCAATTCTCTGCGATGATGATGATTATTTTTTTGTCTATTTTTTGTCTTTGTCTGGTTGCATGTGGTATGTTTTCCGAATATGATATCCTATACAGTGGGTCTGTTTTCTCCCTCAACTGAACACCAGCTCTAATTTGATAACCAAATGTCAAAGAAGCTGATCTCGCTCTGAGTTCGCATGTCAGTTTTACCCCGGGTTGTAAACGGCTGATTTGGGTAAGAAAAACTTTCATGTCCAGGCAAACTTTTGGCTTCGACAGCTTGCTAACGGCAAACTTTGTTCTTTTGTGATAAAGAACTGAGTAGATACATTTCTGACTGAGTTGACACCCCGGTTGACACAGAATAGGGATCCGGAAGCTGGGTAAATCCACTAAGCGGAAGTCGCTGATTAGCTGTGACGCCGGCCGAAACTGGCCGCGCGAAAAATGCTTTTCTTACTTAGAAACGACTTAAAGTTTTTACACGGTCTCTTTTTTATTATTTATTTATTATCGACAACTATATTTAACGTCTGAATTGAACTCATGCAACCTTAACAGCTAGTCATTTTTAGTGACCTCGGTAACTACCCAATATAGTTAATGCCGTTATGTATTTGATAAGAGTCTTCAATTCAAGTTTAGCATTTCCTTTACTCCAATTGACTCCAGTCAAAACTTGGGAATATCATAGCCTTGCCAAATAACGTTCCCTTTCCATTATTTTTGGTTTTTCTCCATTGAGCTTCTCGTAAAGCCGCAAAAAATTGCATTAGTTTGCGTGATCAAATTAGCTCCCTGTTAATGTGATTAATTAAGGCTTGCAAATAAGATATCGGCGGCCTTATTCTTGTGAGCGGACTGTACCCACGGCCGCACGCTAAATGCACTGTTGCCAATGTGTCATTTCAATAAACGCCACGTTTATTAAACCTCAAGTACCGTTTGACTCTTTGTTCACTGTCCGAAAAAGATCATCATCCTCGCAAATTCATTATTTTACTAGGCATGTTTGCATTACATGTTCGTTCAAAGGAGTCATATTATATAAAGGTTTATTTATAGGGGATAACTCTCATGCTGTATTGATCTCGAAAAATGGTTTAATTCTACATCAGCTCAGCGGCAAGTCCGGAAGATATTTTTTTGAACCCAGTCCAATGTAAATGAACCGCAGAAATTTCTTCGTTGAAAGAGTTTTTTCTATTTATACAAGTCATGCTTGAAATACCTTTTACAGTGTTGCATTGTACGCTATCGTGGATAATATTTGTGCAATAGATTCTAAAGCAATTTCAATATTTGTTATTGCATTGTTCAGAGCTCCACAAGCGGTTAGTTTTAATACAATAGCTGTGGTCACACTACAGACTTTTTCCCTAGGTAAACACGACTTGTTGACAGTTTACCTAGGGAAACTTGATTTTTTAAGTGTGACCGATTTTTCCCTAGGTAACTTACCTTGGGGAAATTTTATCGTCTGGGTCTTGGATATGTCTCGAAAACAATAGAGTTTCCCTTGACAGCTACCCCAAAGCAATAGCTAGGGAAAAATGAAATACCGAGATAGACGCTCGTCGGCGAAGGTCTTGATGACAGAACCGGACATAGATCAAGCTGTGATAGAAATTTTGGGAGCACAAGTCGTCTACGTCTTCGCCTTTCTTCACCTTGCACGTTGAATTAGCGTAAGAAATAACACCAAGATAAAAGAAAAAAACGTCTCTTTGATCAGCTAGATCCCTGCGCATTTTGCCTTCTGAATTCACACTCCAAAAAATTTAACAGGCGTGAAAATATTGGGAGCCGATATCAGTAGTGTGACCTTAACAGAATTTTTACCTAGGTAAAACAAAACCCGAGATGAATTTACCTAGGTAGATTTTCGATGAATTTGCCCTAGGTAAAAAGGGTTTACCTAGGTAAAAGTCTGTAGTGTGACCACAGCTAATGTCTATGTGATAAAAGCCCTTATATCAGACCTGGATTGAAACAGAAGGTACTTGTTAAAAGTTTTAATATTGATTCACTCAACAGTTTGCAAAGGCTGCTCTGAGTTGCTTTCCGCTGAAGAAAGAGAAGGCAATTTCCCTCTAAGTAATTTGATATTTTGAAAACAGCAAAGTAACCCTTTTTGGATTTTTGACTAAAATTATGGGACCAATTAGCACGTCGCATCAGTGATGGGAAATCGCGATGACGTTAGATAAACTGGCATGACTTACAAATTGGATTTTCTTACCTTTGTCTCGTTTTCACTTGCTAAAAGGGATGAAATGCTTCAAAATAGTGTTAAATGTTTTCTCCTTGTTCGAAAACGAACGACAGGCTTATAAAGTGTTGTAGTTTTGGTCCCCGGCGCCCGAATGACCTGAGGACAGGGTGACTCAAAAACACTACAAAGCAGTTTATATTTATAAGCCATCACTTAAGTCCGCGCAAATCTAAATCTTTCTCAATGCCCTCATGTGTTACATGAGCTATTTTTCGATCATGGGTTTTGAACTTGAGAAAAAACGAGATATTTTTAAGGACTGCAACACGACCTTTTCTCTTAATTGAATACAGCATTCCTTCCCGTTTTTTGCATAAAAAAATGAATACTTTGTCTCTTATTCTGTTTGCATTTCCGCCGCAAATGTACATAAAGATCAGTTGCGTAGGAACAAATCAATTTACAATTTAGATTTCATGACGGTATGAAAGCTTATTTAGCCAATAGGAATAATCTCATTGACAGCTTTTGTCTTCGATGTAGAGGGTTTGTTAAAGTAATATCAACTTCTAATGGTTGATCAATACACCTTTCAAAATTCTTCCTTCGTCAAGTTTTTTCTTTACCTGGATATTTTTGTTGTTGTACCCATCAAAACGAGCGTTTTAAAAATAAAGAAAAAAACCACTACTCTATTATCACGTTTTTAACGGTCCTCTCCCACGGGAATAAAACTATTTGGTTTGAAAAGCATTTTTAAAGGACAAAAAGAGAGGACGTCTTTATGAGCCAGAAATTTAAGAAATTCTCAGTTAGAGACTACAATAATTACTAAATAATGAGGCTGTTTCCTTTCTAACAGTCGTTTACTTCAAGAAAAGAGAAATCCTAGAAAGCCAGTCAAGTGTTGAAATAACAAAGCTCCGGATTGATCACGTGATGTGGTGTGCATTTCAATTCATACAGAACGCTGACCAAACCAGGTCGGTACAATTGCATCCGTTGAGTGGAAGAGCACTTAGTTTTACGTGAATAATTTCATTCCAGGACCTTTTTGACTGACCGCCAAGGACTCCCCGTGCAGATAAATAGTTGAACAACGCATCTGAAAGGATTTTTATCATCGCTTACAGCTTCAAACTTTGGTCCGTTGTGGGTACATGTTGGTCTATTGTTGAGAACTGGTGAATCGAGTCCAACATGGCGTCGTTTAGTAAATTTAAAGCTTAGATTTCTGTTTAAGCAACTGAAGGATGTGATCCAAGTACTCCGGAGGTAGAAGAAGAATAATATGGAGTGTGAACGTACAGTGGATTAGCTTAAATGCTTGAGAAATGAACGATGTGTCGCTATTCGCACTATTGTTCCAAAGGGACGTGTATCAGTCCGTGGAATGTTTGTCTCTTCAGAACTAAACTTTGGCTATGGTATATGGTGTTATTATGGGCGACAAGTGTGTTTGATCCTCATTCTCGTTACTCAAATGCATCAACGGTGGTCACGACCACTTTTTATATTTCTGAGGGGCTGCCTAACGGATCTTTTGTCGGCAGCGTGTCACACTTCACTTTCGATTTTGTGTTTGTACAGGCGGGTAGTAAGGATTCTACTGATTTGCGCGTTGACACAGTACGGAACATAATCACAACCGAAGCTGTTTTAGATCGTGAAAAGGTTCCAATTTACACCATCTCGTTACTCGATTCTTCCACTGGAGCTTCGTCTACTGTTCGGGTCAATGTAACCGATTTGAACGATAACAGTCCTTCCTTCTTACGCGCTGTTTACAATTTGGAATTTACCGAGGGCAGGAGTGTACTGCAAAGTCTCAAGGCCACGGACAGAGATTTTGGCTCAAACTCCACACAACAGTACTCAATTTTATCAGGAAATATTGGAGGTGTTTTTGTGTTAAAACTTTTCACCGATCGGTATGGAGCAACATGCGCAAATTTAGTTTTAGCGGCCGGAAAAGAACTTGATCGTGAAACGCGTGACTCGTATATGTTGAACATTTCAGCAAGCGATGGAGGCAACCCCCCTCGACGGGGCTTCACGCTGCTAAATATTACAGTAGGAGATGCGAATGATAACAGACCGATCTTTACAAACAGATCGTATTCAATCTACGTTAGAGAAAATTCACCTATTGGCACTTCGATTGGTAAAGTTTTCGCTTCTGATGAGGATATTGGCGCGTTTGCTCAAGTCGTGTATTCGATCGATCGCAGTTCGCGCTCGGATCCTAATAGCGTCTTTAGTATTGATGCTAACACTGGTGTTTTGTATAATATTAGGTGGCTTGATTATGAAAGCGTTCGTGAGTACAAAATCTATGTTCGAGCAGAGAACGCTGGTGCGCCGTTCATGAACGATGAAGTACCAGTGACAATTCATGTTCTGGACGAAAACGACAACAAACCTGATATTCGAATTGAATTTGCGATCAACGACTATTATCAGGTTTTGGAAAATGCCACCATTGGAACAACGGTGGCACGAATTTATGTTTCTGACAAGGATTCTGGTGTAAATGGAGAAGTTGATGTAGAAATAGAAGCAGGAAATGGGCATTTTAGTTTAAGATCAGACCCAGCTAATAATGTTGATATTATCGCTGTGGCAAAGGAACTGGACCGGGAAACACAGTCATCATACAAGGTGAGAATTTTTGCCAAAGACCGAGGACAACCCCGGCAAGTTTCACAAGATGGCTTTATAGCAAATGTTGGAGATGTTAATGATAATTCACCCAAATTTGATCAAGCGGTATTCACCGCTGTTCTGTCTGAAAATGCTACCATTGGGACTACTGCTGTTGTTGCCCATGCCACTGATAGAGATGCTGGCTTAAACGCCAAGTTAACCTATAACATGACTTACCTGCCAGAGGATTCTCTATACTTTACATGGTTCCAAATTAATTCCTCAACTGGTGAAATAAAAACAATGGCATTGTTAGATCGTGAGAAAGTTCCAAGGCCGGTGCTTCATGTCACGGTGACTGATTCTGGTGTTCCGCCATTAAGTGCTAACTGTACAGTGTTCATTAACATAAGTGACACTAACGATAATGATCCAGTGTTTACCAAGCCTGTATACCTTGCCTCTGTCGATGAGAATACAGCCAATGGCACGCTAGTCACTCAAGTTTCAGCAGAAGACATTGATAGTGGTTTAAATGGAGTTGTGCAATATTCCTTAGAAGATTTCCAAAAGGAATTCCCATTTGCTATAAATCCTAGTACTGGAGTTGTAACAACATCTGGTCCTATTGACTATGAACTTCATTCCTCATACCATGTGAGAGTGCTAGCAACAGACGGTGGAGGCCGTGTTTCAAGGTCTGATCTGAATGTCTCTGTTGTAGATGTAAATGACAACTATCCAATAATCAGTCCAGCATCTTATAACGTCACAGTGTATGAAAACTTAACTGTCTCAGATACTGTGGTAAATGTCATGGCAAATGACTCTGACAGTGGTATCTTCTCGCGTTTAACCTTTGCTTTTTCCAGTGGGAATGGTAATGGCAACTTTTACATCAATTCATCCACTGGAGTAGTGACTCTTTTAAAACCACTTGATCGTGAAACAGAGGACTTTCATCAGTTTGAAGTAGAGGTTACTGATGGTGGTGGATTAAAATCCAAACATTCTGCCATTGTACGAGTGACAGTTTTAGATGTGAATGATGAGCCTCCTGTGTTTGAGCCCAGTTTTTACAACTTCACCATCATTGAAAATTCTGATGTTCATACAGTCTTGGGATCAGTCCATGCATCAAGTAAAGACCTTGGAACAAATGCCGACATTTACTACTCAATCAAAGGTGGGAATGTGGACAATGTGTTCACAATCAACTCAACTGGTACAATTTTTACGCAGGGTAGCATTGACCATGAAAAGACCCCCTACCTGTTGGTAACCATACAGGCCAAGGATGGTGGTTTCCCACCCCTGTTTGGGTTTGCAAATGTTAGTTTAACAGTCATTGATCTCAACGACAACAGCCCATCATTTTCGAGCAATCAAATTTATGTCAATATTTTGGAAGATACCAGAGTGGGACAAGTGTTTTACAATGTGACTGCACAAGACTCTGATAGTGGAATATTTGGTCAAGTGCGTTATACACTTCTTTTCAATCCCAATAACACATTCAAGTTGGATCCTTACACTGGAGCCTTGTCTCTTACGCATGCTATTGACTTTGAAGGACCCAGACAATACACAATCCAAGTCTTGGCAGAAGATGGGGGGTCCCCATCATTAAATGCAACTGCTACTTTCAAGTTAACTGTTGTTGATGTGAATGACCATCCTCCAAGATTTCCCAACTCATCTTATATTGCTCATGTAAGCGAGGGTGCAGGCGGTGTGACAGACATACTAAATGTTTTGGCGACAGATGCTGATACTGGTGATAATGCCAGGATTTCGTACAGTTTTCAAGCAGGGGTGGACACCAGCTTGTTTGGCATAGAATCTGATGGGACTATCTTCCGTAAAAAAGATCTAGATCGTGAACAGAATGCTGTCTATCAGTTCCGAGTTGTTGCCACTGACCAGGGAAATCCACCCAAAAGTTCTACAGCAGATGTTACAATTTATGTTGATGATATCAATGACAATGACCCTAGATTTACATTGCCATCTTACTTTTTCCAAGTCTCGGAGAACTCAAGCAACAGAACACGTGTTGGTCAGGTGTCAGCAACAGATAGAGATGCTGGAAGCAATGCCAAAATATCTTACACTTTTGAATTTTCCAGTCAGCACTTTGTGATCGATCGTGACACAGGAGTCATAAGAACCAACCAAGTCCTTGACAGGGAGACCCAGGCATCCTATGTTATGACAGTTGTGGCAAGTGACCATGGAGTGAGTCCCAGAAGAGACAAGACCAGTGTCACAGTGCGTGTTGAGGACCTCAATGACAACAAACCCACCTTCAGGAAACTTTCATATGAGAAAGCAGTGGCTGAAAATATCCCAGCCGGATCCTCTGTTATCAAGGTAAGGAAATATCCTTTCATAATTATCCATTAACTGATATCAAGATGTCTGTTCTCTGTTCATTTCCAGTGGTGCTAATGAGGGAATTAGTTTCAGTGATCATTTTCTTTTTTCTCAATACCGTGTGTTAGTTTAGACGGAATTATTATCAGGAGCAATTATTTGCTTGTCACTGGCACAACAGTACAGGTTAAACAAAAGTCAAAGCCCACAAAAAAATGTATCGTCCTTATTCTTCAGAATTATTCAAAACTTCAAAATTCAATCCTAGGAAAATGCAAAACGAGTATTATTAATGTTTAACGGCTGTCTTTGATATCAGACAAGAATGAGGCTTAATTATGTCCTCAGATGTTTGCGGCGAAAATCTCCAAAACTCACGATGTATTTTAAGCATGAAGACGGCGAAATAAAGCGTTTTTAAGCCATTTAATGAATTCGTAGTCAACCAAATCTAAATTCTCTGGTAGTGTCCATTGTCTTGGAAGAGGAAATGAAAATGATCAAAATGAAAATCAAAATTACTTTGCTGGTCTAAACTTGTGGAAAATTTGAAACCGCAAAATATTCTTCGATCATTCTCTCCATCACTTTAACTCTGGAGTACCTCCCCCTGGGCTCCGCCCCTAGTCTTGATTTCTCTTGACAAGTTGTATTACAATTGGTTTTGCAGTTATCTTAAAACCTAGTTGTAGCTGTAATGCGTGTTTTCTGGCTGATCACATTAGAATGCAGGGTCACGTTTTAAAGAGGCTGTCTGTGACACGGCTGTCTGGTTCACTTTGTTGATAGAACTAAAAACATGTCCTTATTGAAGTGTCAGCGGAAAGATTACTGACAAATAATAGAATCACGGCTTCATGTCAACCAAATATGACTCCCAAGCATTTTATCAAACGTCAAAAAATCACCAAACCTTAATCAGGGTTCGTACAGGTCATGGAAAACCATTTTCCAGGCCTGGAAAGTCATGCCATGGAAAATTGAAGTTATGTTTGGTAGATTAGTTTAACTGCAGATGTCAAGCAAGCACGATGTACGATAGAGACGCAAACGGCATCCATTGTGGTAGAGACAAAGTTTGTGTCTGTTGAACCGAGTTAGGTTAAAAAATAAGGAAAGTTTTGAAATTTTTGTCTATTGTTTATTTTTTTATTTAAAAATATTTAATTGACGAAGTTTGCGTTAAGAGTAACAAAAAAAAAACTCATCGAGAGGGCTCACAAAGTCGAAAGTGACAGAATTAATCTTAGAATCACGGAAAACTTGGAAAGGTCATGGAAAAAATCATTGAAAGTCATGGGATCTGAAGAGCTCAAAGGAGTACAAACCTTGTTGGTAAAGAAGTATTTGAGCTTATGGAGACAGCCAAAAAAAGCGTTTTTAAGCTATTCGTTGATTTTGTAGTTAGTCAAATGTGAACTGTTTTGCTTGTTGTAGCCGGTTGTAATACAATTTCGTTAAGAGATATCAAGACCAGGGGTGGAGCCTAGAGGGAGTGGGGGGTACTCCGGAATGAAAATGACAGAGATAATCGAAGGGCTTTTTGGGGGATTTCAAATTTTCTAGTTCGGAATTCTTTTGGGTAGGAAAATTTGGCAAATATTTTTGGGTACTTTGATTTAAGTAGTGGGTCTTTTAGAATTAAAAGCAAAAAAATTACTTGCCAATTGTGGCAAAATCTTAGATTCATGTCAAACAAATATGTCTTCCAAGCATTTTAACAGTGAAATGTCATAGCAAGCAACACTGAAAGATGAACTTTGAAAGACTGTAAGGCTAACAGGCTTTCGTAAACCACACTTGCAATCCGTTTTAATCTTCTTTATTTATCTCCATCCGTGCTTGTTTTGTATATGCTGTGTTATCCATGCCTTCTTTTAATGTTTTGAGCTGGTTTTTTTTGTTTCGCTCAATTTGATGACAGTTCCCTCCTTTCGAATTTCGATAAATTTCGTGACACAGTTCCTTTAAATTTCTCAAAATATTTTTGCAGGTTATCGCGGATGATCCAGATGAAGGTTCAAATGGTGACATCAGCTATTACACAGCAAGTGGTCACATTCATTCGGACACCACCATGTTTAATGTGGATGCTCAAACAGGTGATATTACAACCGCAGCGAGGTTGGACCGCGAGAAAAAGGACCGATATACTCTGTACATCGTAGCAAAAGACCACGGATCCCCACCAAATGACAACATTGTTACGGTCATTATTCATGTGCTGGATGAGAATGACAACCCTCCGCGCTTCCTCAACAACAGTTTCTTTGTGAATGTCCAAGAGAAGCTTCCGGTTGGAACTGTCGTGACCAGTGTGACAGCTAAAGACATCGATGCAGGCAACAATGGTGAGGTGCGTTACACAATTGATCAAGGTAATAGTGGGTCAGTATTTCAAATCAACGCGACTTCCGGGGTTATCACCCTTCAAAAGCAGCTGGATTTTGAGCGAAAGAACAAGTATCTGTTGAGGGTTGTAGCCAGAGACCAAGGTCTAAACAGCCGCAGCAGCTTCCTGTTCGTGACTGTTTACGTGTTGGATTCCAATGACAATATGCCCACTTTTGATAAGAACCCGGTCACTGTATCCTTGTATGAAGGCGTTCCTAAGAACCACAATGTGACGCAAATCATAGCACACGATTACGATTCCGGTCAGAACAGCTGGATTCGGTACTCAATCGATTCGCAATCGCCAGCCACAAAATTCACAGTCGATTCATCGAGTGGTGTGGTCCAGACCATCGGAGAAATCAATCGTGAGTCGGTTGACGAGTACACATTAACCATCCGAGCGACTGATCAAGCTTTCACTGAATCCGAGCGTTTATCTAGTACTATAACGCTGTTTATCATTGTGTTAGACAGGAATGACAATAAGCCAGATTTTGTGTCACCAAATTTTACGTTCGTGATGGAAGACGAACCCTTCAGTTACCCCATAATTACCATTACCGCTATAGACCAAGATTCTGGTGATAATGCACTAGTAAGATACAGAATAGAGCACGGAGACAACGGGGAGTTTGGCTTAGATCCTGTCACTGGTCTGTTAAAACTGAACCGCAGGCTGGACTATGAAAGCAAACCAAAGTACATCTTGAACATTTCTGCTACAGATCAAGGTACTCCGGCTCTTTCCTCCTATCAGCTGCTGACCATATATCTCGTGGACGTAAACGACAATGCGCCGCAGTTTAACCAGAGTCTGTACCTCGGTGACGTTAGGGAGAATGTACCAGTTGGTACTTCTGTGATGCAGATTAGTGCTTATGACGCAGACAGTGGTTCAAACGGCGCGTTAAGCTACAGCATCCCAAGGGGTGCGGTGAAGTCCAACTTCGCTATTGAAGGAAATAGTGGTGTGATTTCCACGAATTTTACGCTGGATCGCGAAGAAAAAGATGAATACTTCCTGACAGTGTATGCTACAGACAACGCGTTTCCTTTCCATGTGGCTACATGTACCGTGAAAATAACAGTGTTGGATGAGAATGATCACGCGCCTACATTCAACCCCACGCGCTTGAATTTAACTGTGATGGAAAACCGCAGCCCGTACATGTTTCATGTCTTAGCGGCTCAAGATCCTGATGTGGACCAAAATGGCCGCTTACGCTATGTTATAAAACGTGGCAACGAAGATGGAAAATTTAAGATTGATGGGTTTACTGGGGAGCTTTCTTCGACAGCTAGCCTTGACAGAGAAAGAAAAGCTCAGTATAATCTTGAGATCGAAGCAAGCGACCTTGCCTCGCCATTCCACAATTCCAGCGCTTTCGTGACAATTTTCGTTGGAGACGAGAATGACCAGACCCCAAGGTTCCTAAAATCATCTTATGAGGTTAGCATTCCGGAGCTTACACCTGTTAACTCTCCTATTATCAACGTGACAGCTACCGATAGCGACTTGGGACTAAACGGACAAGTGGTGTATTCCCTAAGCAATAAAACGTTTGGTATCTTCAGGATAGATTTCAAGACTGGAGTGATCTACACTCTGCAGGAGTTTGACTTCTCGGTCAAGCAGGAGTACTTCTTTAACTGTTATGCAACGGACCGGGGCGTTGTACCGAGGCAAGCGTCAATTGAAGTGAAGGTTTCTATCGTTGATGAGAACAACCACGCCCCTGTGTTTGAGAGGCTACCCTATAAGACAGAGGTGCAGTCTGTTTCACAAGGGGCAGTGCTCGTAACAGTACGCGCCACAGACAGGGATTCTCCGTCTGTAACTCATCTGACCTACAGACTCATAAACAGTTCGTCGCAGCAGTATTTTGAACTGTCAAGCAACTCTGGAGAGCTGAGAGTCAAACAAGGCGTTTCAAACGTTCCAAACGGAGCTTATATTTTACACATCCTCGCAGATGATGGCAACTTCACAGGAAGAGGAATTGTAGAGATTTTCGTCGGTCCAATCACAGGTGTCCAACCAAGGTTCCTAAACAGTACACCAGCGTACGTCTCCCTTGCCGAGAATAGCGCGAGGAATCACGAAGTAACACGAGTACTTGCTACCTCGACTGGGTCAGCTGCTATCTATAGTATAGTCGATGGCAACGCGGGTAACGCCTTTTATATTCATCCTCAAAGTGGTGTCGTGACAGTTGCTAATCCATCTCAACTCGACTTTGAAAGACTTCGCTCCATTCGCCTTCATATTATTGCGTCACTACCGTCGTCACGCAACGCCTACTTAACACTGTACGTGAACTTGACAGATGTAAATGACAACAAACCGGTATTTTATCCTGCCAATAGGTCTGTTCAACTCCAAGAGGATAATGCGTTACTGTCCAGCGGTTTTTTGGCAAGAACAGTTGCCACAGTGACGGCAACAGATAAGGATTCTGGGAACACCGAAAGAATGACTTATGAACTGACCGCCGGGAACGAAAACAACAAATTTAACATAAATTCACAAACAGGCGTGATATCTACTCAAGGCTTCATTAACCGTGAAGATCATTCTTCTTACGAGTTAGTTGTCAAGGCAACTGATCAAGGAAGCCCACCTCAATCCAGTTTTAGTCACGTGGTTATAAATATCATCGACGTGAACGATAACATCCCAGTATTCACAGGGCCTTACACGGTGAACGTTAATGAAGATCTCAAAGTTGGATCTGTTGTGAAGCGAGTCATTGCAGTTGACAGGGATGAGAACCCAAACCTGGTTTATTCCTTCAGTGACGGTACGTTCAGTCAGAGTGTATTTAACATTGATGGTTTCACTGGAGATGTAACTCTGCGCAGATCACTCGATTACGAACTTACACGATACCATTTGTTGTACATCAATGTCACTGATGGAACCTATCAATCACAGACAACTTTAACGGTTGACGTTAATGACGTTAATGACAACGCTCCCAGTTTCCTGAACAGCTCCTATCACGCCACGTTATCTGAGGAAACCGCGGCCGGAACTTCAATCCTGCAAGTCAGTGCCGAAGACCGAGACAGCGGTACAAACGGTCAGCTAAGCTACGCATTCGTTTCTTTCGTTGACGATTTCAGGATCAACGCAACTTCCGGTGTTATCTACACGGCGAAAAAAATCGAAGTGAGCATGCGCGATTCTCTTCTCGTCATTAGTGTGTCTGCAACCGATCATGGGGTCCCCCCTCAGCGTGCCTTTGTCGCTGTGCAGATTCGAATCAACCGAATACCGAAGTTCGCGGAGGCTGCGTACGAAGCAAGCATTCCCGAAGACACCGAACCTGGCACTTCTGTCCTTACGGTCAAAGCTGCTGAAGATGATTCGGGGATTAACGTAGCGAAGATCAGTTATGCTATTAAATATGGTAACTCTCAATCGCTCTTTCGAATCGGGCGCCGAAGTGGAATTATTGAAGTCAATAAACGAGGCCTAGACTACGAAAAAATAAAGAGCCATTTGCTTGGCGTAGAAGCGAGAGACGACAGCACCAATAAAAGCGTTGTTGTGAGAGTTAATATTACAATCACAGATGTCAATGACAATTCACCAGTCTTTGATCCCGACGAATACAAGGAGCAAGTCAACGAAGATGTATCAGTTGGCACGTCACTTCTCCGAGTGACTGCCTCGGACGAGGACTCGGGAACTAACGGACTAGTAAGTTATTCTATCGTCTCAGGAAATGATAAGCAGTCTTTTGACATTGACAGCACAAGCGGTGAAATCAGCACAATCAAGAGCTTGGATCATGAGAGTGCGAAGAAGCATCTGCTATCAGTACAAGCCAAAGATCAAGGTCAGATACTATTTTATTTGTCGCAGTTTTTCTCTTAATTTCGCGCCTTATTTATTTAAGACGGAACATCCAAAGGCTTTACATCTTAAGAAAAATGCCACAATATTTGTTTTGGTACGGCTTAATTGCCTCAGTTTTACATGGTCACACTTGAGGATCTCAACCACAGACATACTGATTTTTTTTTCTCGGTTCCAACTGTACCCGGCAGTAGGCCCGTAAACTGTCTTTCGATTTTGGGCTTTGACGTTACTCTTCCTTTATTATTTTTTCAGGTCTCAATCCAAAGGCTAGGTGGTCACTGGCACCTGTAACCATCATAGTAGGTGATCTCAACGACAACAAACCGGTGTTCAAAATTCCTCTCCCTGGGGAGGTGGCAGTGGAAGAGAACTCTCCTGTGGGTACCCCGTTCTATAAGGTCGTCGCTATAGATGAAGACTCAGCTAGCAATGGTAGAGTCACGTATAGCATCACAGGGGGGAGTGGATACGGGCTTTTTGTCATCGAGCAGTCTAGCGGAATGCTTAGTACCAACGTTTCTTTTGACTACGAGACCCGGTCGCTTTACGTCTTGGAAATTACTGCTGTAGATTTAGGAAACCCTCCCCTCTCTAACAAACTTAACTTGACAGTTTACGTGAAGAGTGTTGACGAGAAGGCACCCGTGTTTGCGAAAGCCAGTTATTCATTTTCTGCTATTCCCGGTAACGCGGAAATTGGACATCGCGTCGGCTTTGTCAATGCGACGGATGAAGACGGTGGAGAAGACGGCGTGATACGTTACAAGGTGGATTTCAGTAGTAAGAATGTCTTCGGAATCAATGAAACTTCTGGAGAGATCTTTGTGAACGATTCCCTTAAAGGAGATGGTAATAATGATAATAAGCGCCGCCGAAGAAGTATCGAGGAAAGTAAAGAACAGCACTCAGCTCGGAGAGTCAGACGAGAGACTGGCGTGACACGTGTCACGCTACGCATACGAGCCGATAGCGGGAAATCCGATTCGAAATCCGACATTGCTTCGGTGTACGTGGACATTGATTTCTCATGTCCCGGATGTGGGACTACAGAGGAACAGGTTGAAGAAAACGGAACGTCCGAAAGGATTATTATCATTTGCTTAGCTGTCGTAGCTGGAGTTATTTTAATCGCTTTTATCGTTTTTATAGCAGTTCTCTTCATGCGAAAGAAGAAAAAGAGGAGAAATCGTCAGAATGGTCGCTTGGGGTTCGATGGTTCGTTTGATGAGATCACGGTGCACCCTTCCCCTCCGAACGGAAACATCAACCACGTGGACTCTTCACTTGAAAACGTCTCTACCCCGCGCGGTTATTCCCAAGAATGCTCCCCCTTAAACGGTCCCAGCGACTCTCCTGCGCGCGGAACGGAGTCTTCGGACACTCCGAACAGCGCGTCAAGTGGCCGAGGCTCTTCCGAAGGTGTAGATTTCGAGGTCGATCATCCGCCAATACTTGTGAACGGAGATATAGGAAGCCTTCACTCGGAGAATTACGTTAAAACCGTGATGGGACCTGATTCTGGTATTCAGCAAGATTCTGATCAAGTTTCTCAACTTACGATCAGCGATGGAAGTAGTATGACACACGGAGAAGGCCTCGCAATTGATAAGCAGAGCGATAAAATCGACAGAAGAATATTCGCTCGGATTGTAAGTCAAGAAAGTCTTCACGTGTTTGGTGAAGAGGGAGGTGGAGAAGCCGATGGTGGAGTTGATGTCGGTAACTTGTTGTACGCGAAGCTTTCCGAAGTTGACGCTGACGAAGATGAATCGATCATCGATGGTATGCAGCCGTACATCGACGAAGGTCACGATCATCCTTCTTACGGAGGCTCGTTAAGTTCGATCGTAGGAAGTCGTGAGGAACTAACCGGAAGTTACAACTGGGATTACTTGTTGGACTGGGGCCCTCAGTTCCAGCCGTTAGCTGACGTTTTCTTAGAAATCGGCAAAATGAAAGACGATAACCCTCCAAAGAAAACAATGAGTTTGAGCTTACCTTCAAGTCGTGATTCGCGGAATCCTCCCACTGGAATGTTAACAACAGATATGCTATCTTCAGTGTCCTCCTTACCTCGTTCACCCATCAGTCCTCCTTCCACCCGCTACTCATCTCCTGCTTTTTCTCCCAACTTTACTCCCGCCATTACACCGTTAGTGACTCGTTCTCCGTCAGTTTCTCCCCTGGACACGGGAACTCCTTCTCCAGCGGGGACCACGCCCAAATCAGGATCCAGGCCATCTTCAATGCACGTCTTGCAACTAAGAAGAGACTCGCACGATGGATCGAATTCAGACTTGACTCATTCGCCGTCAATATCAGACAATGAATCGAATCTAGAGGTCGACGTATAGTGGATTACATTTTACTATCAAACCGTAGTCTTAAGGCTTATTGAAGACAAGTTCTCTTTTCTCTCAGTAAGGTTATTCTCCATAAGCTTTTTGCGATACTTCTTGCGTAACTATCCTGAAAAGAAAAGAGGACCTATTAACATCCTACATGGACTGCTTGCACCTCCTTTTCTCTCTAGAGTCCCGGCCTTCTGTTCTTTTTAATCAGATCATTTGTTCTAAAGTAGAACCACCGCTTATGGACACTTCCTGCAAGCGGACATGTAGTGATGGTGGCAGCGACATGAAAACCCTTTGCATTTTATAACTTTCCTTCAACCCCGTTCCCAGGCTCTGTCTCCTTGTGCTGGAGAGCCTGGGAACGAGGTCTCAGTGCAGTGGTGGTCGCGTATGGAAATTTCAACTGTAATTTCTAAGAAATGACGGAAAAGAATGCTGTCAACATTCTAACTTTGAAAGTCTGTATTTACACGGGCTTAAACTTGTGTCTTTGTTAAGGTTTCACTCATGGAAATTTGAAGTCGCTAAGCATGAAAAAAATTCTTTTTGAGACGTTTTTACAAAGCTAAGTCTGACTAAATTTTTGAACACGTTTTGGTTTAAAGGGTTGTGAGTCATAATCGAGCTTTTATACGAATGTATAATTCAGTTTAATATAAAGATGGCGCAGTAATTCAACGGACTAGGAACTATCGTTGCAAAGATAGGAAATTTGGACGAAAATATCGAAAGAATTATTGCGTTAAGAGTTTACAAAGCGTTTGTTTTATTGTACATATTACTACATACAGATATTTTTTCTATTTTTGTACATAAGGCAGTGGTTTTAAGATTCAGTTTCTTAAGAATGCATACCACTTAAGGAAAGGAATCAAATTTTAACTTGCTTTTTAGTTTTCATTTTATTTACTTGATGGAGACTCGAAATAGTGAAAAAATATGTAACCGCGCTAAAGGCAGCGTTTTATAGCTTGTAAAATGATAAGATTTTACTCAATAATATAAACCGTTTTTGTAATAAGACAGTTGTTTTTTCTTCTTGTTTTGTAATTAGTGAACTAACGCAACAGGACGGCAGTCGGAAGAAGACGGCAAAAGTTGTGTGACAAGCGTGACATTGATTTCATTTGAAGAAACCTTTCACCAAACTTCACCCTTCTTTAAACAGATATTTTTTGTAAAAGACCAGAAAATGACAAAACACGCAAATAATAGTTTCGTTTCGTTTTGACGTCCTCTTCTTTCTGCCAAATCGGGGATCATTTCGGGGTCGACGGAAAGAGAAATGGGGATCATTTCGGGGCGAAATAAACCTGCAGAAGGTAAAGTAACTAAGATTGCTTTCCTGTGTGGATTTCTTACTTAACCATAAAAAGAACTCCTGTTCGCAAATTACCGTCTTCATTCTCTCTATACGTCCTTCTAACCAACAAATTTTGTTAAAAATGCTATCTATTAATTCTGGTTCAAGTGCATGGAGAGGCGGACAACGTGAAATATTGGCTAAACTCCTTTAATAGCTTCATGTGCTGGTCTTGAAGAATACTCAGCTTATACTTGGAGTAACCGAGTCATGTACAACAACTCATTGGTCTTCATAACGATCAAAGAAACCAAATTAAAAAGGAATAGTTTGGGTACAAGGTAAAATGGACGAAATAGTGATTGTACTCCTGTCCGCATCAGTATAATGTAACTGTGGCAGTCCTTCTTCACACTCTCCCTCCGTGTCGACCCTTTCGAAACGGACTTACGCAAAACTATCATGCACAATTCTATTTCATAACTCGGTAAATCCTTGGGCGCGATCCATTCAACCAAAATTCAGACCGGTCCGACCGGGAATAGCCTGCGTAGCAAGCGTTTCCAATCGAGTTATTGGGCGAAAGTTAGAGCGGAAGCAAAAAAAAAGGTTGAAGGGGGAGGGGGAAAGGAGAAGAGGAAACTTCGTTCCCCTCCCCCTCCCCCGTCATTCATGTTTTTTTTGGCTCTTGTCCCAGCTTTCTAGACGAACCTCGCGAGGAAACGCTTGCCACGCAGGCTAGACCGGGAAAAGTGGTCCACCTCAAAGGGTGGACCAATTTTTTCGAAACTTTTCCGGTTGGACTGAACCGATCTATTGAGTTCTGGACCGAAATTTCCGGAAATTTTGGTTGAATGGATCGCGCCTATAGGTTCTCTGTCAAAGAAGGGCGAAGTGCATCAACGTGATATTTTAGCGCGCGTAGGGCGCGCAACACGCGTGGCTTGTCTGGCTAGGTTACAAAGCTACTGGTTTTGCCGCCATATTTGATTTGTTTGTGAACATGGTTGCTGTTTCCTTTAGCTTTATGGGGTTGAGTGTGAGGAAGGCGCTTGATTGATTCTGTTTCTACTCACTCCCAAAGGTAGGAAAACCAGTTTTCTGTCAGAGATCTCTTTGAACTTTTAGTGTCAGCGGGTGTTGTTCAAATTTGTCATCTGTCTAACGCTTAACCTTACGAGAGTGGATTGATATCAACAAATATCTGTAGATACCGAGGCACAGATTACGTGCAACAAAAGGAACAATACAACCAAACAATAAAGCCCCTAAGAGAACTCTATTGCTTGGTTCCTTTGATTCTTTCGTAAATGACGGTACCTGCAGAAAGACGCAAAAATCTGCACGGTGGAAATCTTACCGACTTTGTGCAGGGCTGTCAACCCCCACGTCATGAAATATTGAGAATTGGTAGGGAAGAAATGATAGATGACGTCATATTGCACGACAAATTTTATTCAATTGTGCAAAAAATGTTCGTTGATTCTGATCAACGTATATAGCACAAAAACAGTTCATGTTTAGCCACATTATTGCTTAAATTACAGTGGCATACCAGAATTTATGGGGAAACGTTCCATGTTAACGGCAGCTCAAACAACACAAAATATTTGAAATTTTACGGTCAGAAAGTCGAGTCTACAAGAAATAGCAACTTTGGTGATTATCCAGGAGATATCAGACTACCTGGAGACTGGGAGATACAGTCCAAAATCTGGAGTCTCTTGGATTATCCAGGAGAGTTGACATCACTGTTTGTGCGTGTGCCTCGACCCTTTTGTTAGCATAGGAAAAGTGTCTTAAATTTATTTTCTAACATTTTTGCCACACGACTTAAGCCTAAGTATTAAGCTTAAATAATCACTGGCTTGCTCCATAAAATCAAATTCACCCAACATTCAAAATGACCCCAAATCAGTCCAGAGGTGTCGGACAGACCAGTAACCAGATATTTTGTCCATGCTTACTGGGTTTTAGTCATTGTTAATATGAACTTAATTTGAAATTTTAGGATGAATGGCTTATCTCCTGAAACATCTGAAAAACCCTACCCCTCCTCCCCTGATCAAAACCTTTTCACCCCACCCCACTCTGGTCAAGATGCAGCCAGAGAGATTTCTAGCTCGGAGAGGCGACAGTATAACAAGGCATTGAAAGCCATGTATGAAATTGTTCGGTTGGGATCAAAACGTTTGGAGAAACCTGTAACTGATGGTGACCATGATGATGATGATGATGATGATGATGACATGATTCCAGAAACAGTGACAGAAACATCTGAAACTGAAGAAGACCTAAGTGGTTTGTTATTTTATTTTTATTCATTTGCTCTTTTGATTGGCCTTAAATACTTATATCTATTTAATGCACCTTTTGATAGCCTGCGAAAACATCCGTTTCTCCTCGCTCTTTGCTGCTGGGGACGTTTCGCGCAGAGGAACGGCTGCGACTCCGCGACAGAAATTCTATACTGATGACGCAAATCAATGTTTACTTAATAAATCCGGTAGTCGTGGGGTTCCAAATGTAAACTTATTCAATTTTAGGTTTCTCCTGATTGATTTTGGTAAAGTGTTGTGTTCATCTGCGAACGAGCTCCATCAAAACTCAAATGCTTGTTGTAGAGAAGACTATATTCCACAAATGTTGACTATTTTGTTAGAGATTCATCGCGTTTACATTTGACCTTTGTGGCCTTTTGTCTTTTGTCTGTCATTGATAAACAATAGCTAAAACAATGTAACTACTGCGTCAACCAATCAGGGCTTCTGACCGGATTTTGGACATATTTTACGTCATCAGTATGGAATTTCTGTCGCTCAGTCGCAGACGTTCCTCCACGCGAAACGTCCAGAGCCGCGAAGAGCAAGGAGAAACGGATGTTTTCGCAGGCTAACCTTTTGATTGTATGTAGAAGAAATCTATAGTAAATAATGGAGCTTATCATAAATTCGAGTTAAGCTCATTGGTTAAATCACCTGACTTGACAGTCCAAGGTAGCTGTCCAACTGTCTTAAGCTCTTGATGCAGAAAATGCCACATCTTTGTGGAAAAGTTTCTTTTGTAGAAACGTGAATAGTTATCATGGCACTTTTTAGAAACAAGGAGTGCTATTATTTTGGGGCAATATGATAATTTAAATTCCTCATTACTCAAAATTGTATGTTATAGTACTTATTATTTTGAATTGTGTATTACAGAAACCTTTTGTTTCTTTATTTGTAGGAGATGGAAATCGATATTCAGATCATGTGACACTTGCAAATTCCCGTACAAAAAAGAAACTGACGTCCAAAATGTATGAAAAGCAGGTGAGAATAGATATATCTCTGCAGTAAAAGGATTCCTTACTGAAGGGATTTTGTCCTTTGAAATTTCAATCTTAAATCATCATCCAGGGAATAATTTTCTTGGGCTCTCGCTTTATTGATGTGAGACCAGTCTTTCCAGGTACAAAATCTGATCACCAGACAAGAGTGTACTGAAAAACACAATGCATTTCAAAATAAAACTTAAGGCTGCTTCTTTTGTCTGTATTTGAATTTGTGACATTTTTGGTGGCTGCACTTGGGAGAAATGATTGTATTTTTGCAATCTTCTACAATGTTTGTGTATATTTTGCGAAGGTTCAACATCACCTAGATGCAGACAATGTGAAGCGAATCCACAGAGAACTGATGAAGATAAATGCCATGTTGCAGGTCAGACAAGTCATTTTTGGACATTATTCTTGGTGAGCAATCTTTCCAAGTCTATCCTAGTCATAAGTCACTTACACTGTTGTTTTTCGGCAGAGGGAAAGTGAAACTCTTCACCAACGAGAAGTTCAACTTCGTGAACGAGAGAAAGCTCTGCGAGATGCTGAGAAGCTCAGTCACACAACTGATATCATTATCGACAGAGTAGTGACGCAAGAAGTAGACAATCGCTGCCAAGCTATTATAGAGGTGAAAAATTTGGCTTACTAGTTTTTTTGTATCAGTAAAAAGTACATTGTTGATGTCTAAGATTTAAGGTACAATGAGGGACAAAAGTGTTGAGACACTTCTATAAAATGGCCCCTTTTTGCATTGCCATAGTGGACATATCTATCCCCTCCCCCTGTGTATCCCCACCCCTCCCCCCAAATCAATGTTGTATTTTAGACCCTCAATTCTTTCTTTTACTACAAACAACATTGATTCGGAAGTGGGGGATTTATGGTGTTTAAACAGAATGAAATAATAAGTGAATGAAATTGTTGAAAAGATATAAATTGTAGTTTTAAATGATTTCCTGTTAGTTTCACCAGTGATGATTTCCCACATCTCTCATTATATATCTTAACAGAAATATGAAAACAAACTTGTAGAACTGGAAGATGTAATCAACAAGAAAGCAAGAGAAACCAAGCGTTTGAGGGATTCATTTGACACAATAAAGACTGCAAACGACTCCCTGAAAAAGCAGGTGACATTTTAAGCCAGTATAAACAATTTTTTGTGGTAATTAACAAAGTTATTGTTTATTGAATTTTCTTAATATTATATTGCAACTTCCTAGATCACTGATTTAGAGCAACAAAATAGAAGGCTAGAGACACAGGCTCTGAGTGTACAAAGCAGACTTGCTAACTTACAGGTTAGGTGGTGATGGTGATGATGATGATAATGAAGAATTTAAATGATGTTGCAGATTAACCCTCTAAGTCCCAGTAGTGACCAAGATCAATTTTCTCCTAACAATATCCTTACACTGTCAAGAGTTAAGTTATGAGAATTTTTTAAAATGACCACCCAAGAGAAATTGCCTTGATCTATCATCGAATTCTCTCAACTAATTCTTTAACGAAATGTATGGAAATGTTTGGAGAATTTGTATGTGGATACTGGGGCTTAAAGGGTTAAGGCAATGATGATGATGATTATGATAATGGCGACAATGGTAATTCTAGTTTACATTCATGAAGATGGAAGGTTTCAATGTCTGTGGCGGCATTACTACATTACTGACCTCTAACAGAACCCAGTGGGCCCTGGCTCCTAACTTTTTCTCCCAGGCAACTAGAAAATCTCAGTTTTTTTTTTCAGAGAAAGCATATGCTGGGCACCCTGGATTTCACAGATTCAGATCGCTGGGCCCTCTTCAATTTTTGTTAGAGTACAGTCTTGAATGGAAATCTAAAAATACCATTGTTCCACTGTTACTTGATAGGATGCCTCTACATGCTTCTGAAGGTGAAATAATAAATTCACCTTTACTAGTTTCTGGACAACTAAGTATCCTCATTGTTTAACACATTATTTATAAATAAATGTGTCAATTGCAGTAGGTCTTGAATTTCCTTCTAACTCAATACTTTCCATTTCCTCATAGCCTAATCATTCATCCTTTCTTTTTTTTATCAGAGAAAGAATGAGATTTTACAAAGAAACACTAAACCAGATGATAAGCAGCTTGAAAAATCACGAAGCATCAAGCTCATGTCAGAGGGAAAGGAAGGAACTAGTATGTTGTCTCTAGATTAACGAATCCTTTTTGACAAAAAGCTGGTATTGTGCACAAAGTTGTCGTGCTCATCTCTGATGATTACCAATAGCTTCAGGACTCCATTTTGACACTCCTTGTTGACAAAGTTGTACATTCATGTACGGGGATTGTCATCTTCCCTCTCACAGCTTTGATCCACCAGAACATAGCAGTCTTGCTATGTAACTGGCTGTTTGTTGTTCACTGCCCAGGTGAAAAGTGGATCTTTTGTGGCTGTTTCCTTTGAAGAAGGAATATTATCATTGACTCAGTAAACCAAATTAAAGCTTGAGTGTAGGTTTATGTGAGTACCATTCTTCATCATTGCCATTCAGGAAAGCTTTAGTTATCAAGCAATTGTACATCTTTTTTATCATTTTCCTTTGGAAATTCTTCATTCTTCTCTTCTTTTTGTTTTTTATTTCAGACACATCAGCCAAGTCTGTGTCTTTCTCTCAAAACAAGGTACATATCTGTAGAAAAATAAATAAATACATAAAAATACCCTTTAAATAGATACAAAAATAAATAAATAAATAAATAAATAGGTCAATAGATAGATGAATCTTGTATTCATTTATGTTAACATTCCAACGATGTTGCCAGGTGAATTTTTCCGGTTTGTTTGAAGTTCTGTCAGTGTTACTGGAATGGACATCAGAGTCACATCTGCAGAGGGTGCCGACATTTCAGGACTCACCTCAGGGAAGGCTACAAGAACAACAGTTGGACTTCCCTTCAGCTCTTGTGCATGAAAAGTGTTTAAAAGTACGTCTTGACAAGCGGAAGGTGTTTGTGGTTGCATTAAATTAAGGTTTTCATTTTTGCCATGCATGGTTAGTAATTATAGTATATTTTTGCAGTAAATGTAATAGTCCGCCAGGACACATCTGACACTAATCAAAGAAACTCTCTCGACCCTGAACTGTTTCTTTTGGTAATTTGTCTTGGAGGGTTGTTGAGGTCTGTGAAAGATTAGGGTCAGGAAAACAGCATAACAGTTGACAAACACTCAGGGAAGAGAATTCCCTCTATAACAATGGTTTACACTGTGTAATGCATAGTCAGTAAGCTCCAACATGAATTCTGACCAATAATGACTCAGCAGAAGTGCTTAGTATGGTGTGGTTTATAATTATTTTGTTTTTGTTGGCAGATTTTGCCAGGTATGTCAGACATATTGAGTTACATACCAAGCATGAATCCTCGTGTACAACAGCCTTGTTTGCAGTTCACTTACTGGAGTGTTGTGTTTATGGAACAGACAGTACAAGGTTCACAGGTAATACTAACTGCAAGTATAATTAAATAACGCTATTTAACTTCATTAGCCTCTGTAGAGACACGTTGCCCGTTGTGTAGGTTAAACTTAATGGAATCCTGTGGTTTGTCATGAAACTTTTTTTACAGTTCTTTCATATTAACTCTCTTCTCGACTTGGCACAATATGCTCTGTGTGGGATGTTAGAAATAGATTTCGCTTTTTTTATTTCTCTCCTTGACCTGACCCTCTGGAGAAAAGTAGAGAATTTGGTACAACACTGGATTCTTGATGCAACCTGTAACTTTATACCTTAGTCTATTTCCCTGAAAGACTTGCTTTCCACCGAGATTCATGTTGTTCTTAGAACAAAAAAAAATCGAAACGTTTGACTATGTATTTTTTTACTTTTTGCCTTTTTTTGAAGATGACCACGCCAAGAAGTGTCAGCAACGAGGTTGTGGATTGAATTATATTTTTTTCTCTCTTTTTAGAGAACTGCTTTAGCTTCCACATTACGTCATATTGGCGAAGAACTCTACAGACCTCAGGTAATGTCATTCTCTACATTGATTCCTACTAGATTCATATAATCTTTAACAGTCTGCGACACCATCGGAAGCTGCCAGCATCGCACGTATTCAGACGATTCGAGACAGCACAGACAAATGTGCTCCTCTTTTTTCTCGGTCTTGGCGATGTTTTTTTCGCATTGGCGGAACTAGGGAAGAGGCCTGCGTGATTAGGGTCCCCTAGTCCCCTAGTGTTGTTGTCTTTATCCTTGAATACTTTGCAAAGTCTCACAATAAACTTTGAACTTTGAACTTCGATGAGGCCAAACTGAAGCCCTCGGGGCCGGGAAAACTTTTTGCGTGGCCAAGACTCCCTCTTTTCTTAGGGTCTGGATGAGAGCTCCCCCCAACTCCTTGTTGATCTGAATCCGCCACCAGTTTGACTCGATTTTGGTGCGAAAACTGGCGCCCAGCGACGTAACACATACCTGTTGCTGATCGTACTGCTTTTCAGGTAACCAAGGTTGCAGAGGAAGGAGCTACTCCAAAAGGCGAAAGGCACAAAGCTGATATTTATTTCCACAGTCCAAACATTGCTGTCAGAATTCTGTCATCTCTCATCATTCTCAAGACTCTTTCTCGAGGTCAGAACTGTTAGATAATGGTAGTTGCAGTAAGATAATGCCGTCATAAAGATGGTTTATGTTAAGCTTTAGGAAGCGCGGGAAAAGAAGCTGCTGAAAATGTGCAGCCAGTGCCGAGGGCGGGAAAACACGTGGAACCCTTGCAAAGCGCGGGAAAAAGACAGAGTTGGTGTTTATTATTAGAAAATTTGCAACGGTTATAAAGCGCGGGGAAACTTCTGGCCGATAAAGTGACTGCGACCAAGTGCGCAACGCTGCGACCTGTCCCTGACGCGTCGCGTCCCAGCGACTTTCTTCTAGTGTGGCCAACCGTACAGTAGCATTAACACGTTTCAAACATGCTTGCCTCTTTTGTAATAAAAGCGCATCAGAACAGACAGATGTTTACGTTCTTAAAGCGACGCTTACTGATAGTATGGTTTTGAATCTTGTTTCGTGTTGTGTTGTTTTGTAGTTGATTACTTGGCTCAGGTGTTCGATGTCCTGAAGACTGATTTGAAGGATGATGTGGTTAGTGTTATCTCTTGCTGTTCTGATTTAAGGTCGATTCGAGGAATTTTCTAATCCACTATCTAGTGGAACAGTCCTTCCCTTTTTAATTTGAATTTTTTTTCTGTTGACGATTTGGACAGAAAAAAATCTTCGATGGGTGAAGTTGACAATTTACCGTACTTTTTTTCATGCTAAGAAGTATAGTTTTAATATCGAGTATGGAGGCCTAGCCCTAATTTCTACTCAGCGAAAAATGTGTCTGAAGTTTGAGTTCTTTTTGAAAATTTAAGTTGGCTTCGACGTTTTACTGCAGACAACAGTAGCCCTTCTCATTATTTGGGATATCTTAAGGGTTAAATATTAGTTACACGATCACAGTAGCAATTTTTTTAAATTTTATTTTATATCTTTACTGAAGAAAGGTTTTTATACAACAGGGCAAACAAATATTTCTGACCTATGAGGGTGTAAACGTGGTGTTGTCTTACATGAAGCCTGTCCAGAAGGTACGTTAACGGGAATTTTCTGCAGTATAGAGAGCACATTGTTCCCTAGGGTCGAGAGAAGTTGGCGAGGAGGTAGTCCAAATTACGTTCCCACCTCTTGAAACTCCCGCCTGTCCCGTCCCGAGCCGGCGAAACGGCTGATAAGGGAGAAAGATGATTAAAACTTGATAATGGAGGAGACGAAACAGGATTGTCCTTTTAGCCAGTTAAGTTCATAGCCAACCAGATTGTGTTCTCTCTCTACCAGGCTCTTCTCAGTAGCGCTGTGGATGTGATGTTGCTGATGTCTGTTGATTCACGTAAGTAATTTTCTGTTTTTTTTTCTCGGTGAGACTACAAATCAATTCGAGTTCAGAAGATTGTCTATTACTCGCTTTACTACGTTTTTACTACTAAATGCAGAGCGTTATGTCAAGCTTCTGGTTGTGTTATCTTTTTTCAGCTTTCACTGCGGCGTTTCTTGACAGTTGCTCAAATGAGCTGTGGTTCAGGACGGCCGTGAATCTGCTTCAGCATAAAGGACTGGACCCTAAAATACTAGAAAAGCTAAGCATTGTTTTACAGAGACTTTCCAAAATCAAGTAAGTACATATATAACGACGACTCCAATATGTTACAAATCAGGTTGTTGTTGTGATGATCAATTTACCGGAGGAAACAGGATAATTAGTAATCATCCATGATAAAAAAGTACTCGGCTCTACTTGTGATCGATTTTGTGTTATTGGTCACGTTTCTCGAAAGTCCTGATAACTTTTGGAGTCGGGAACGTTGTTTTACTCACCAAGATTTTACGCCGAAACGCTGTGTGGGTTTGAGCTCGCAAACCAACGAACTTGCAATACCATGACATTGTAGAGCATGAACAGTAAAGTCTGCGGCCGTAATTGCTTGCTTTGTGCCTTTCTTCGCAGTCGGCAAATAAGTATGAGTTCCAATCAGGGTATATCTCTTTTTCTAACAGTAAACGTCCGAATGATTTGCTTGTAAAACGGTTCATCGGAAAATATATTATCCCTGTATGTCTTTCCAAGTATCACACCTATAGAAACAAAGTGATGTACAACACAAAGTTGAGTTGAAAACGCCATGTTATTTTACTTTTCAAGAAAGTTTACTGCGTGTTCAAAATAAAGTGACAGACGACCAATAACATCGCGACGTAATTAACCAATCAGATCAATAACCAGAGTAAAATACCATCAACTGACGTGATACAACTCACTTTGACTCTGAAGATGACTACCGCACAGGTTGTCGAAACGTCAGTCACTGTCAATAAAAACAGTCCTATTCAGGACTACGTTCATCCAGACGATCAAACTCAACCTACTTTAGAAAGGTTCTTGTCATGATACAGTCGAACTTCCGCTAACGGCCACTTTCTTTTGCCCCCAAGGTGGCCGTTGGTAGAGAGGTTCAACTGTATAATCCAAGTCAGTTAGGAGCCCTAGGCTCCGGACACGCAACTGTTCGCTTTTGCTCACTTTTCTGAAGGAGAAGAAGCGCTTGAATCGGTAGCAAAGGAACCCGGGAGCGGGTCCTTTGGTCTCCGACCTTAAAGGTTAATAGAATTTGTTTTAGACTGTAGAATGTCTTACCTGATTCTTGTCGCTCTTAAACTCGCCAAAACGAAAGAGTTTCAGGTAAACCTTGTTTGTACTTGTTTTTGCAGATCCAATCGTCGATACTTTGAGGCTTTTCAGATCTCTCCTCTGGTACAAGAAATGGTACGGACTTGTGATCCACAGAATGCTTTTCTTGCTCTAAACCTTCGATCCATCATCTTTAACCTCGGCCAGGGGAAGACGTGACATACTATGCTGAAACGGTTTAGAGCGAATGCACCAACTTCATGCAGTCAGGATTAAGGGTCAGTGACGAGTGCCGATATGTCACTAGGCATTTGATATGACGAGGGATACAGCGAAGAGGCAGTGGATCCGATGGACAAGAAAAATGAATGACTACAAGTAGAAGGAAACTGGAGATGTTTCCTCGTGCGCTTTTTTCGGTGGCAAAGCAGAATGTCGAGATACAGGATCCACACAGGTCAGATAACAGTTAAAACAGTTTATTTAAAACGTTAAACTGTCAGCAGTAAAGCTAAATTCCAATTCTCTTCTATCGAAATGGAACAAAAGACTTACGAGTAGCAAAAATACTGGATATGGACATCTTCCATTTTCGGTTTTTAATTTCCCGCGAGGAGCCATTTTGAATTTTATGACCTCATTGGCTTGCAGCGTTTTGTAAACGGTTCTAGCGGGAACCATCTAAGGACTTGAAAACTGAAAATCTGTGGATTCCCATATGAGATGGGTGGGGAGCTTATTGTCTCCGTAAGTAGCGCATTACTCCTGGCGTCATCTAGAGTGTTCACGATGGAACGCTCAGAAATGTGCGTGAAGAAATAACAAAACAAAACTGAGCAGAAAAAAAGAACGATGGAGCAATGACAACGTCGTTTATTATGGTTCTTATTTGGCTGTAAAATCGACAGCCTAATAAGAGATACAGTAATTTTGATTGCAGTAACGACGTTGTTCGTAAACGCTTTCTTGCTCCATCTTTAGTCCTTCTTGAAAGGGTGGCTACGGCCGTAGCGGTCTCTTTTAGTTTGGTTCAAGTTTTCTGACCAGAATTCCTGCCCGTTTCATATCGGAGTCAACCCATCCCTCTCCTCTGGGATGACGGTACGTGTGACAACATTATACAGAATATCTATAGCTATGTATAGCACTATAGCTTTATTGCTTATACAGTATACGTCAATTTGTTGCAATAAGGCAACCCCACCGGAGGTTTTCTTCGAAAGAGCAGCCTGTATGTTGAAGTTATTTTACCCTTTTCAGTTTTTTTTAAATGGTACTGCTGATACACTAAACGGATAGGATGTGAAATAGAAAAATATGACAGTTACAAACAGTGTAAAAAAGAAAAATTGTGTGATCAGCCTCTAAGGTATACTAAAAAAAGTTTTAGCGAGTTAAAGATAAAGAAATGTAGTCTTATTAAAGAATATTTGACAGAATAAAATTTCAAGCGTAGAAAAGTCAAATTGGCCACTAGTTTTACGTCCTGCGTTTCGGGTTTTCCTTTTTGCTATTTCGTTTTTAGCTAGTGACTAAAATCCTTTAATTCAGTCTCTTGAATTAAAAAGAAAATCATAAGGAATCAATTGTTATAACAACCCACAGAGCTCAGTCAAAGCTATTTTTGTTAACGTTCATTATAATTATTAGCAGCTTGACAAGAAATTCAAAGGCCTCCTTGTTTAGAGGCAGTTGTTATTAAAAGATAATTATATTGGCATGGTTACTTTTGTTGAATGTTTGAGGTATGTTCAAACCTGCGCGGACTGGGTTCTAGGTCGAGTCTAACGCCAAAGTCTATCCGTAGTTGACTCCGTGTTCTGTGAAGGAAAAGGTTTGAAGTTGTTGTGTTGTCTGATCTTCCTCGTGGAAATTAAAAGAGTTGCGATGGCTACTTTTGATGACTACTGGCAGACAAAACGTCCCACTATCAGCGGGAGAACAAAATTCATTTTCAATAATGAATTGCTAAGCGATGTCAAGTTCGTAGCTCCTGCGTCGAATATAGAAAGTGAAAGCCGGAAGAGTCAGAAGAGCATTCCAGCCCATAAGTTTGTGCTCGCAATCAGTAGTCCTGTGTTCTATGCCATGTTTTATGGTAAATTAGCGGAGACTGGAGGCACTATTGAACTGCCTGACTGTGATTATGAGAGTCTGTTGGAGCTGTTTCGTTACTTGTACAGCGATGAAGTGAACCTAACCGGAAGTAATGTCATGCAGGTTCTCTACTTGGCAAAGAAATACCTTGTACCCTCACTCGCTGATAAATGCACTGAATATCTTCGGGAACATCTAGAAGCGTCCAATGCGTTCTCCATTTTGCCGCAAGCTCAGAAATTTGAGGATAAAGATTTGGAAGAACGATGCTGGAACGTAATTGAATCGCACACTGAGGAAGCTGTGACGTCGGATGATTTTGTGACGCTTGAGCGATCAATTGTTGAGTCTGTTGTGAAAAGGGAAACATTGAATGTAAAAGAAGTGGATCTGTTCAAAGCTGTTGATCGCTGGGCCACTAAAGAAGTGGAAAGGCAAGGGTTGACTCCTGATGGCGAGGTCAAAAGGAGAGTTCTTGGAGAGGAAATTGTGAAAGCAATACGGTTTCCACTGATGTCTTACAACGAGTTTGCTACTGTTATCTGGGACTGTGATATCCTGACTAAAAGAGAAGTTGGTGCCATGATAAAACACTATGGCGATGCCAGTTTTAAGTGTCCTTTCATCCATTACCCCAGATCTGGTAGGATCGTACATCGGTGTTACAGATTTGCATCGTTACAGTGTGCTTCTTGGGGCTACGGTGAAAGCGCCGACGCTTTTGGAGTAACTGTCAGCAAACCCATCAAGTTACATGGTGTACACCATTTTGGCACTCAAGATTGTTGTTACACAGTGTCACTAGAAGTAAAAGATGCACTAAGTGGCCTCTCTCTTGTAAAACAAACAGGAACACACTTCGCTATTAAAAAGAAAGAAGAGACAAACGGCTGTTACGTATTTGATGTCATGTTTAATCACCCGGTTCACCTTGAGCAAGATAAACGATATGAAGTTGTATCCCTTGTGAGGGGCGGTTCATTTCGGTGGAGTGGTAGACCTGTAACAAATCATGTTGAGGTTCAAGGAGTGCAGTTTTCTTTCAGTCAGCCAGATGTGGATTGTGTCCAGTTTCCTGCACTTCTTTTTAGCTTACGGTAGAGTGAAATTCTTCAATGAGACTGTAAACTTCCTGCATCGGTACAGGAAGTTCAAAGATTTATCTTATCATTGCTTGGATAAGTCCCACGCTCCTATTGTCAATAATACGACAACGTGTGATAAGCCCGTGGGAATGTTAGCAGCTCAGGGGACAACATGAGTGAAACAAAAATTGGACCTCGGTTGGCCCAAGTGTACCTTTACGATTTTGTATTAAAAGTTTATTAGTCAATTAGTCGTTAGTTTTTCCTAACACACCAGAGTGTTGTTAAATTTGAATTTTTGGGGAAGTTAGTTATACTACTTTACAGACGGGTGGACCTGTATGCCAAAGTAATCAGTTTTTCTCTATATAAATATGGAAGGATATATAATGATGTATATATCTTGAAGATGTTTATACAAACTCCTTTCATGTGTCATTTTTTTTACTTCAAGATAGCTGGTGAATAACAATAGAGTGAATGTAAGAACCCTTTAGACCTCTAGGCCTTGTCCACACTAATGCGTTTTCAAAAGTATGCTATTTCGTTGTCATCGCAAACGCATCGATCGATTCGTGTCCACACTATCGTTTTGATGCGTTTTCGAATGTCCACACGTGTGAAAACGATAGAATTGCACGTCGTGAAATAAGTTGAACTCTATGCGCATGCAACAAATTAGTATTAGTGTAGAGTCTGTGTTGCAGAAGTTTCTGTCAACTTCAGTTCATATCAGAGTAACAACTTTCGCCAGTTGTAGCTGGCAAGCAAATTGAAGCAATTTCATACAACCCGCGGTAATCTCGAGTACACGCATGCGTGTTGCTGCTGATTGGCTGAGAAAATGGCGCGAGATTATTAGCCAATAAGAGGCCAAGCAATGGAAAACTATAGTGATCGTGATGTAAAATTACCGTGTGACTGACCAGGGTGATAACTGGCTTTTTTCACCTCTCAAGATTTACGGTTGTACCTTCATTAAACGGCCACCCTCATTTAAGTGGCCAGTACACGTAGTCAAAGTCCCGAAATAGCTGTAGAAAAGAATGGGGTATTAAACCTCTATTAAGCGACCGCGGCCACCTTTTGGTTTTCCCAACGAGAGTTCTCCAATTGTTTTCACCTCTATTAAGCGGCCATCAAGCGTTTGATACAGTCCGAGATAGACGGTGACTAGCGATTGTGGACCAGTATGCTACTCCCGTCGCGCGTTTAATTAAAAATCAAGTGATGTTTCTGGTAAAAATTATGCTCATTTCTGACAAACCTCTATTGAACAGCAAACATTCATTAAGCGGCCACTTGCCGGTACCCCGAGGGTTGCCGCTTAATGTAGGCTCAACTGTATTTAATTGACAATATTTGAAAACCAATGTAATGGCTTCGTTCAGACTGTTCGTGATCCTTTAGAGTGTATACCTTACAGTGTGTCATTTGAGTATGACAATGAACCATTGCCCAAAAAGCAGTGTCAGCTTTTGAAGTATTTACTATGGTAAATTTAAGTTTTTTTCCCAGTATTTTGGCACATCGTTGTTTCAGCTGTCATAGCCTCGTTATTTGTTACAAAGCTATTAAGTCTTGGCAGAGAGGAAATATTTCGCGTGGAGTCATTTTATTAGACGTTTTTCTCTTCTGATTCTCTCTGTTACATGAATGGTCGTGAAATAAAATAACCCGTGGTTCCAACTGACAGCAAAAGTCTCATCTTGTTGGATTCTGATTCCTTAGCCGTAGCCTACGTGGCAACATGCGTTTGAAGGGGAGTGGACTGGAAGGGCATTGCGAACACAGGCTTACTTCCCTATTCGCGCATGCGGGTTGTTTTGGGAAGCCACGTTCAACGGTCAGCATCAAAGTTAATGATTGCAATTCTTTTCTATGGAGTTGGAATAAAAGACTTACGAGTAGAAAAAAACTGGATATTGATATCTTCCATTTTCGGTTTTTAATTTCCTGCCAGGAGCCGGTTTGAATTTTATGACGTCATTGGCTTGCAGCGTTTTGTGCATGTGAACGGCAGATAGCGGGAACCAACTGAGGACTTGAAAACTGAAAATGTGTTGGGTGGTGGATTCCCATATGAAACGGGTGGGGAGCTCATTGTGTCATCAAGGAGCGGATTACTTCTGGCGTCATTTAGCTAGAGTGTTCAGGATGGAACGCTCAGAAATGTGCGTGAAGAAATAACAAACAAAACTGAGCAGAAAAAAAGAACGATGGAGCAATGACAACGTCGTTTATTATAACTCTTATTTTTGGCTTTAAAATCGACAGCCTAATAAGAGATACAGTAATTTCGATTGCAGTAACGACGTTCGTAAACGCTTTTTTGCTCCATCTTTATTTCTTCTTGAAAATGTTGCTACGGCCATATTGGTCTCTTTTAGGGGTTTAATTCAAGCTTTCTGATCAGAATCCCTGCCCCTTTCACATCGGAATCAACCCTTCCCTCTCTTCTCCGGGATGACGGTACGATATGATATGCGAGGAGAGAAGAACATAAAAAAAAATTCTTTCTTAAAAGATAATCTGCATGGTTACTTTTTGTATGTTCAAACCTGCGCGGACTGGGTTCTAGGTCGAGTCTAATCCCAAACGTTCTGTTCTGTGAAGGAAAAGGTTTGAAGTTGTTGTGTTGTCTGGTCTTCCTCGAGGAAATTAAAAGAGTTTCGATGGCTACTTTTGATGACAACTGGCAGACAAAACGTCCCACTATAAGCGGGAGAACTAAATTCATTTTCAATAATGAATTACTAAGCGATGTCAAGTTCGTAGCTCCTGCGTCAAATTGCGAAAGTGAAAGCCGGAAAAGTCAGAAGAGCATTCCAGCCCATAAGTTTGTGCTCGCAATCAGCAGTCCTGTGTTCTATGCTATGTTTTATGGTGAAATGGCGGAGACTGCAAGCACTATTGAACTGCCTGACTGTGATTATGAGAGTCTGTTGGAGCTGTTTCGTTACTTGTACAGCGATGAAGTGAACCTAACCGGAAGTAATGTCATGCAGGTTCTCTACTTGGCAAAGAAATACCTGGTACCCTCACTCGCTGAAAGATGTACTGAATATCTTCGGGAACATCTAGAAGCGTCGAATGTGTTTTCCATTTTGCCGCATGCTCAGAAATTTGGGTATAAAGATTTGGAAGAACGATGCTGGAACGTAATTGAATGCCACACTGAGGAAGCTACGACGTCGGATGATTTTGTGACGCTTGAGCGATCAATTGTTGAGTCTGTCGTGAAGAGGGAAAGATTGAATGTAAAAGAAGTGGATCTGCTCAAAGCTATTGATCGCTGGGCCAGTAAAGAAGTGGAAAGGCAAGGGTTGACTCCTGATGGCGAGGTCAAAAGAAAAATTCTTGGAGAGGAAATTGTGAAGTCAGTGCGGTTTCCTTTGATGTCGCAGAAGGAGTTTGCTTCAGTTGTTTTTGATCTTGATATCCTTACTAAAAAGGAGACTGGTCTCATGTTTAAACACTACAGTGATGTCCACGTTAAGTCTCCTTTACCTTTTATGGCTTCCCCTAGGATTTGGCCCTTCCATCGATGTTACAGATTTGTAGAAGTAAATCCCCCACGAGTCAGGTCCGCTCCCTGGGTCCACAATTGCACAACTCCTTATACCCTTAAACTTACAGTCAACAAACCTGTCATGTTATATGGAGTACAGCATTTTGGCAGTGAAGGTGGCCAGTATACAGTTTCATTGAAAGTGAAAGATACCAGAAGTGGCTGTTATCTTGTACAACAATCAGGATCGCACTCCTCAGTAAAAGATGAGAAACACGCTTTTTATGGATTTGATGTCATGTTCGATTGCCCAGTTTCCCTTGAGCAAGACAGAGTTTATGAGATTGTATCTATTTCTAAGGGTCCTGTGTCATGGTATGGAGAAGAAAGAGAGGAATCTGATGATTTTCAGGGAATTCGTTTTTCATTTGATTTTACAGGTACTGGTTCATCTAGAGGCGTAATATCTGCATTTCTCTTAAGCCCAAGGTAATTTTAGTTCAAGGTTACTGATTTTTTCATTATTTGGTGCTACTCCTTTCAAAGGGAAAAAGCTGAATTTTAGTTAAGCCTGTGAATCGAATTTTAGAATCAAGAGAGGAGAAGTGAGATTTACCTCTTTGATCCTGAATGAAACCCACGCAGAAGGCCTGTTCACTGGCTATTTTTATTAAGCTTTCAAATCAAAATATTCTGAAGAGTTCATTGGAACGATTTTAAAGTTACGAGAAGTAATAATTACGTCGGAAAAGTTACACTTCTGCTATTGCTGTCGAAACAACCCGAATCAAACTTGCTGAAACCGCAAGTAGCCCAAGCTCACTATTAGAGCCGGGAGTTCAATGCCTTGTCAAGACTTAACAAAAATCTCTAACAAAAATCTAATAGATATCTAGAAAAATTTTTCTCGTTTCGCAAGTTTTAGTGCTAGCCACCCCGGAAAACACTTATTATGTTGTTAGTTTTATTGTGACTGTTACTGTGGTAAATACTGAAAATTTCATACAGAGTTCAGTGCCTAATAAAGGTGTACACTTTTTAGCAAGCACATTTGAGCTCCTAGGTGTTACGTGGTGAAATAAATTTGATTGATTGATTGATTGATTGTAGGGTTCTGTCCAAAATAATTAATTAGCTAAGAAACAGTGTATAAATGCACGAATATCAACAGATGATGTGACATTGTTATTCTACTCTGATTCATACGCGACTCTGAAAGTGAAAAATCAAACATCGCAGAGGGGTTGCGTTTCAAGGCAAAAAGGGGGAGACAAGTGGGGGGGGGGGGGGGGGGGGGCTTTCTCAATAGTCAGTTACTTGTTTCCTATGGATGTTATGGATAGTTATTTGTGACCAACCAGAGTGAAACAATGGTATCACGAAGAACAAAGGGAACAAATCTTCCCGTTTGTAACAGCGCCTTGAATTTTCAGCACATCGCTGAAGCCTTAGAGCAACTTTACTTGACCCGTGAAACAGTTAATAACAACTAGTACAAAATAGCTACAAAAAAATAAACAAAAGAAGACAACAGAATTAGTGCATAATAGTGTGTAGTATTCTACGACTTATTTCACGGGTTAAGTAAAGTCACTCTAAGACCCAAAAATGTGTTCATTATAACAGTCTTCGGGATACCATCAAGTGTTAAATTCATCAGTCGTGAGCTACTATCAATGAATTCTATGATTTCAGCACAAACAATTACATGCCATCTATCATACTAAAGGATTTCAAGTAATTATAGAGCGAATGCATCCTACGGAAACGACTTTAGTGGTCTTGTTCTCACATTCCTTGAGGTTGACAGATATGGGGGGGGGGGGGTACTCCCTTATATAAGCCATATAGGTATGTGTGGTTTTTGGTCTGAAAACACTTATACACTGTACCCATTTTAGTCTGGAATCGGGTATCGTTTTCGAGGGAACTACGGGATTGTATGAACGTAGTTATTGTTTCAATTCCAAATGAATAAGAATGCGAATTCGAAATGCATTTGAAGAATTGTTTTGTTTGCAGTCTAATCTAAGTTATGATGACATAATTTCTGCCTAAAGGCCAGGTCTGAAAACGGGTATGGATTTTAGAAGTCTGGTCTGAAAACGGGTGTGGAAAAAGACATTTTTTGGTCTGAAATAGGGTCAGGATTTGGAGAACCGAACGGTACACCCCCCGAAGAATTCCCAGGAGTACCCCCTGAGACTGATGAAGGATAATTTTAATTAATCACAAGAGTATCTTGGATAATTAATAGATGTGCTCTACTAGTGCAAGTATTAAAGTAGCACGCTCATTATTTTGTTCTTTATAGGGCTTTTCATTACGTTTCCACCTTGCCTGAGAGTTGGAATTTCTGTATTTAGTTACGATATTAATGACTGATTGTTACAATCGTACACAAATGCAATTGTCTTTCAGTATTCCCTTCTTTTGGGTGGTGGAGATATATATCAATTTCTGCCGTATTTTGAGAAATGTTCTGTCAACTTCGATTCATTCAAGAGTAACAACTTTCGCCAGTTGTAACTAACAATGAATTTGAAGCAGTTTCACACTATCCGGTGTAATCTCGAGAAAACACATGCGCGTTGCTTCTGATTAGCTGAGAGAATATTAGCCAGTAACAGGCGTAGCAATGCAAAACTTAAGTGATCGTGTAATTATTTTACTTCTAATGAAAACTGCCCTGTGATTTATTAGCAGTATTGAGAGTATTCGAAAACCAATGTAATCATTTCGTTCAGATTTCGTGATACTGTCATTACTGTGTTCAAAGAGTGTCATACTTAGTTAACACTATTTTCTTGTTCTATATTTATTGTCCCTTTGTCTTGAAAACATTTGATGTCTTTGAATGTCTTGTTTTCACATAAACTAAAAAAGACACTTGTTCTTACACACGGCATATAAGAATTTGTTTAATGAAAATTGCTTGAGTATGATAATGAACCAGTTCAAATACAAACAGCGTCAGTCTTTTAATTCTTTTACCATGGAAAATTTAAGTTTTTAGCCAGTATTTTGACAGACTTGGCTACTTATTGAGTCTGTTCTCATAATCTTGTTATTTGTTACAAAGCTCTCTTGCCAGAGAAAAAATATTTCGCATGGAGCCGTTTAATTAAGCTTTTTTCTCTCCTGATTCTCTCCGTTACATGAATAGTCGCGAAATAAAATGACCCGTGGTTCCGACTTACAGCACAAGTCCCATCTTGCTGGATTCTGATTCCCTAGTAGCCTATGCAACATGCGTTCAGGGCTGTCGCCAACTTTTTGACTACTTGTAGGCCTGGCTGACTTTCATTTCCACATATCCTGAAAATTGCACGCGCGACTAGACCTGAATAGTACGCACTGACCTCACCAACACTTTGAGCTCTTAAGCTTTTTAGCTCACCCCAACAACGCATAATTTATTACAAGCGGTAGACTGATCAAACCAAAAATCTGTAGACCCAGGCCTACAGGTCTTTGGGCTGGCTACCCCCTGGCGTTTGAAGGGGAATGGACTGGAAAAGCAACATGAACACAGGCTCACTTCCCTGTTCGTGCGTGCAGGTTGTTTTGTGAGGCCACGTTCAACTGTCAGCATCAAAGTTAAATTCCAGTTTTTTGTATCGAGTTGGAATAAAAGACTCACGAATAGAAAAAAAAAATGGATATTTATATCTTCCATTTTCGGTTTTTAATTTACCGCGAGGAGCCATTTTGAATTTTATGACGTCTTGGCTTGCAGCGTTTTGTGATCGGCAGATACTAGATAACGGGAACCAACTGAGGGCTTGAAAACTGAAAATGACTGTCACGGGGTGAAACGGGTGGGGAACCCATTGTCTCGTCAAGGAGCGGATTACTCCTGGCGTCATTTAGGGTGTTCTGGATGGAGCGTTCAGAAATGTGCGTGAAGAAAAACCAAAACAAAACTGAGCAGAACAAAAGAACGATGGAGCAATGACAACGTCGTTTACTATAGCTGTTATTTAGCTGTAAATAAGAGATACAGTAATTTCGATTGCAGTAGAGACGTTGTTCGTAAACGCTTTCTTGCTCCATCTTTAGTTCTTCTTCAAGGGCGTCTACGGCCATATTGGTCTCTTTTGGGGGTTTAATTCAAGTTTTCTGATCAGAATCCCCGCCCCTTTCACATCGGGGTCAACCCTTCCCTCTCCTCTCCGGGATGACGTTACGAGTGACAACTGACATTATACAGAATATCTATAGCTATGTATAACAATATAGCTTTATTGCTTATACAGTATACGTCAATTTGTTGCAATAAGTCAACACTGGAGGTTTCCTTCGAAAGAAGAGCCCGTATGTTGAAGTTATTTTACGCCTTTCAGTTTTTTAAAAAAAGATTGTACTGCTGATACACTGAACGAATAAGATGTGAAATAGAAAAAAATGAAAGTAACAAACAGTGTAAAAAAAGAAAAATCATGTTATCAGCCTCTAAGGTATACTAACAAGTTTTAGGGAGTTAAACGTAAACAAATATAGTCTTATTAAAGAATATTTGATAGAATAAAATTTCAAGCGGAGAAAAGTCATATTGGCTACTAGCTTTTCGTCCTGGGTTTAGGGTGTTCGTTTTTGCTGTTTTTTTTTTTTAGCTAGTGTCTAATCCTTTAACTCAGTCTCTTGAATTAAAAAGAAAATCATGAGGGATCAGTTGTTATGTTACAACTATACAACAACCCACAAAGCTATTTTTATTAACGTTCATTATTTATAATTATAAACCTTCCTGTGTTTGGAGGCAGTTGTTATTCGTTACTCCCTCCGAAAATTATTGGATTGATTGGCTTTTCGTATGCATTTTTCTCTCTTAAAAGGCCTACTCTGGGACCTTAAGTCGCCGTAATTTTAGGCGACTTAAGGCGATTTAAGGCGACTTTAGGAAAATTTGGTCAAAATGTTGCGCGACTTAAGGCGATTTAAGGCGACTTTAGGCGACTTAAGGAGAAAAAGGTGACATTTAGGTGAATTACATGTTAGTGAATATGTTGCAGTTAATTTTTAATTTCAGTTAATTTTTGGTTTTCCTTTGTTTTAAATTCATTAGCATACATAACCATACCCAGAAACGATGGAAAAATAAAAATTAACTGAAATAAAAATGAACTACAACATATACAAAATCAAAATCTGATAACACTACCTCTCTAGGGACACAATGTTGTAGCATAAGTTAATTCAGTCTTGAAGACATCTACATTAGTCTTCCAAATTTTCAACAATCTCAGCTACCTAATATTTTGAACATTAAATATCAAGGTAGCTTGTGTTGCAGGTGTATTCTAACCGTGGTTAGTAACATTTGATCCTTGTTCTGGGCCCTGATGCACTAAATGAATTACCAGCATTTTGAGTTCCCCTTCAACATGATTGGCAAATGGACAATGGCACTTTTAACAGTCCAGTCCTGGCATGTTCTCTAATCCTGATACACACACAGGGAGCCCAGAACTAGGATTTTGCCACTGTTTTGCAGATGTACTTAACCCAGAGTTTAGTCCCATCTGTGGCACAGGCTAATATCAAGGGTGTTGATTTAGTATTACATTAGCAGAGACAAAATCTGAGTTAGAAGCAACCAAAAGAGTAAATTTTCTCTTGGTCTTTAAATGCATTATTTCATAATATAAGGGACAAAAAGACACTGGTTCCTGCATTTCTTTTTCCAAAAAATAAAACCCTAAAAGTAGAGTATTTCAATACATCTCTGTAAAATACTGTGAGCTGGTTTGTAGCAAAAACTTTATGTTGAAGTGTCTTTTTTCATAATTTGACAACAAACATTTAAGCAATTAATTTAAAACATCTAAAGTCACTTATCGATATCGCACATTATGGAAATGACGATCCCCATTGTATGTCTTGGCAGTTGCTCTGCCAATGTTTGTCCCCACACGTTTGGCTAAGAGGATGTTTTTCCAATTGAATTCAAAACAAAAAGTTTGTAGTTCTCGCCGTATATATATTGCTCCGTTCCTGTCTCAGTCAAACAAAACACTTCCAAATACTTGCTTCGCTAGTGAACCGTACTCTCTTATCCATGGTCTCTCTGGAAACTTTCCAGTCGGGTTGATTTCATGAGTGCATTTATGCACCAGCAGAAACAACTAAGCTTGGAAGCTTAGCTTCAACCGACCTCGCTCGGTCTGTTCCACGCGGCAGCGTTTACGCTCTCAGCAAAAAAGGAAGCATTATGCGTCATGTTTAAACCGATGGCAGTACCAAGTGTAAACGTTTCCATTATTATGTCAGAAATTTCCATTTAAAAGGAGATCTTTAAACGAAAACGCGAGGTACAACATTCTATCCGCCATTTTGCTTCTCCCAGAATTCCACTGCAGTCGCAAGCTAATTTCCATGGTTTCTCGGTCCCGCCCACTCCCCGCCTCCAGACCAGTTAGTCACGTGATCAAAAAACACTACTTTCTGGGCGGCCATAACGTGGAGGAAAGAACAGTATTATTTCGCTTTTCTACGTTCTTCATCAATAATGGTCGATTACATCAAATCGTTTGGCAGGGAGCAATCACGACAACCTAAACAAAGAGCAGTATTACGCACCTTCGATGTACAAAGCTTGAATTTCTGTCTGGAAGGGAAGACCTAAAGAGACGACTGTACAAGCTAAGCTAAGTGTTCAAGTTTGTAGGAGTGATTGTGTTTCTGTCAATGATAGATGGATATAATTCGACGGTAAATACAGATCAGAGGTTGTGTGCTGGAGAAAAAACTTATCATTAGTTGCTCTTAAAATCTGGGTCGGTAAATTACATGGACACTTTTTTCGATTGACCTTTAGACTTTTATTAACTACCAGAAAATTTAGATTAATGTTGTGGCGGCAATAATTGTTTTTTTTTCTCCCTTCAACCTACCTGTATTGATCTTAGTTACTGGAAATGTCTTTCAATGTTGGACTCTCACAAAGCAGTAGAAAACAGTTTTAACTATAAAATTATTTTGTTCAGGGTGCAAAGAAAGTCAGCTTTACAGCTTGCCTAGCATACACTAGCCTGAAAGCCATTTTGACTAACCCCAATTTTTTTTATGAATGGGACTGATTACAGTTCTTCTGTAAACTGAATTCCCTAAAAAACTTTACTTGCCAGCCAGACAAGTTAAAAACGCAGTTCACTAGCCTAATCATAAAATCCAGTACCCCAGGGCTATTGCCTGGACACTACTTTGTCTACTCTCTTTGCACACTGTTTAATGTAATTTAGCTAGAACTTGAACCTTTGAATGCCTTTCTAAACAATATTTTTACTCAGAAATATGGGACAAAACTCCCGGATGAAATTAATAAAATACCTGTACAAGTGACTGGATAAAGTTGTGTACTATATGTTGTCATTTTTGCATAAACAATACAGGAATGATTATTCTTGTATTGCTTATGACTAATTATTACATGTAGTAAATTGTGTAAAGTAATTAAATGTATAAATTAGAGGGCTGGAGAAGAAATTAATGGGTCTTAAGTCACCGTGGGAGTTTTTTTGTGGGGGGTGGGGTGGGTCTGTGGCTAATATTATTGAACACGGGTTATTACACACTTTATGAGAAATCATGCTTTCTGGAAATAGAAAACTAAAAAAGTAATAACTACAAGACAATTTGAACCTCGTTAAGATTTGAATGATTTAGTGACTTAAGGAAACTAAAGGCGACTTTAGGTGACTTAAGGCGATTTTAGGCGACTTAAGGCGATTTTAGGCGACTTAAGGCGATTTTAGGCGACTTTGGGCGACTTTAGGTCCCAGAGTAGGCCTCTTAAAAGATAATCTGCATGGTTACCTGTGCGGACTGGGTTCTAGGTCGAGTCTAACCCCAAAGTCTAGCTATCCCTAGTTGACTGCGTGTTCTGTGAAGAAAAAGATTTGAAGTTGTTGTGTTGTCCAGTCTTCCTCGTGGAAATTAAAAGAGTTTCGATGGCTACTTTTGATGACAACTGGCAGACAAAACGTCCCACTATCAGCGGGAGAACAAAATTCATTTTCAATAATGAATTGCTAAGCGATGTCAAGTTCGTAGCTCCTGCGTCGAATAGCGAAAGTGAAAGCCGGAAGAGTCAGAATAGCATTCCAGCCCATAAGTTTGTGCTCGCAATCAGCAGTCCTGTGTTCTATGCCATGTTTTATGGTGAAATGGCGGAGACTGCAAGCACTATTGAACTGCCTGATTGTGATTATGAGAGTCTGTTGGAGCTGTTTCGTTACTTGTACAGTGATGAAGTGAACCTATCCGGAAATAATGTCATGCAAGTTCTCTACTTGGCAAAGAAATACCTTGTACCCTCACTCGCTGATAAATGCACTGAATATCTTCGGAAACATTTAGAAGCCTCCAATGTGTTCTCCATTTTGCCGCAAGCTCAGAAATTTGAGGATAAAGATTTGGAAAAACGATGCTGGTACGTAATTGAATGGCACACTGAGGAAGCTGTGACGTCGGATGATTTTGTGACGCTTGAGCGATCAATTGTCGAGTCTGTCGTGAAGAGAGAAAGATTGAATGTAAAAGAAGTGAATCTGTTCAAAGCTGTTGATCGCTGGGCCACTAAAGAAGTGGAAAGGCAAGGGTTGACTCCTGATGGCGAGGTCAAGAGAAGGGTTCTTGGAGAGGAAATTGTGAATGCAATACGGTTTCCACTGATGTCGTACAACGAGTTTGCTTCAGTTGTCTTGGATTGTGATATCCTGACTAAAAGAGAGCTTGGTGCCATGATAAAACACTATGGCGATGCCAGTTTAAAGTGTCCTTTGCCTTTCATCCATTCCGTCAGATCTGACTCGATTGTACATCGGTGTTACAGATTTGCATGGTTACAGTCTGGCTCTTGGCACTACGTTGGTAACGCTGATGCTCTTGGAATAACTGTCAGCAAACCCATCACGTTACATGGAGTACAGCATTTTGGCAGTGAAGGTGGTAATTATACAGTGTCATTAGAATTAAAAGATGCACGAAGTGGCCTCTATCTAGCAAAACAAACAGGAACACACTCTTCCGTGAAAAATGACATACACAGCTATTACGGATTTGATGTCATGTTCAATCACCCAGTTCACCTTGAGCAAGATAAACGATATGAGGTTGTATCCCTTATCGAGGGCCCATCATCGTGGCGTGTTAGCGGTGGAAAAAATCCTGTTGCGGTTCAAGGAGTGCAGTTTTCTTTCAGTAACTCAGCTGCTTCCACTAGTGGAACTTGTGTGGATCATGGCCAGTTTCCTGCATTTCTTTTCAGCTTACGGTAGAGTTAAATTCTTAAATGAGACTGTTAATTTCCTGCAGTGGTACAGGAAATTCAGGGATGTCTTTTATCAGTACCTGGATAAATCCCAGGCTTCTATTGGCAATAATACGAAAACTTGTGATAAGCCTGGGGGAATGTTAGGTCCAGTTCAGACGTCGTGCTTCTGCCATGCCGAACTTAATTGTCATTCGGTTCGACTGTAGCACGGCAGCAGAAAAACTTTGATTCAGACGTCATGCCAGAGTCGAACCAAATTCAGGATTTACTGATGCCTCGTAACAATTCTCCTCCTAACTCCCCGTGGGAACGCAATCTCGCCAAAATGCATTAATATAATCTATGAATTTTGCTTAGCGCGGTAGAAGCACGACGTTTGAATCGCTGCCGTGCCAGAGCCGTGTAGCACGGAAGCGCTTGTTGAACTGAATTGCTTGCCGAACTTAATTCAAAAGTTTGATTCAGACGCCGTGCTTCTGCCGTGCTTTTGTCGAACTTAATTCCTGAATTTAGTTCGGCACGGCAGAAGCACGACGTCTGAACTGGGCCTTAGTAACTCAGCGGACAACATGAATGAAACAAAAATTGGACCTCGGTTGGCGCAACTGTATCCTTAAGATTTTGTGTTTTAAGTTTATTAGTCATCTCTTAATTTTGTCCTAAAACCCTGGAGTGTTGTTAAGTTTGAGTTTTAAGGGAAGTTAGTTATACTATATCAATTTCAGCTTTCAGTTTGAATGTCTCATGTTTACAGAAGGGTGGACCTGTATGCCAAAGTAATCAGTTTTTTCTCTATACACATAGGGAAAAATATCATTTGAAATATCATGATGATGTTTATACAGACACCTTTCGTGTGTTATTTTTTCACCTGTAGAAAGCTGGTGATTAACAATAACATGAATGCAAGAACCTTTTAGACTTCTAGGCGATTTCCACACTAATGCGTTTTTAAAAGTATGCGATTTCGTTCTCATCGCAAACGCATCGATTGATTCGCATCCACACTACCGTTTTGATGCGCTTTTGACTGTCCACACGGTTGACTGAACGATAGAATTGCACGCTGTGACGTAAGTTGAACTCTATGCGCATGCAAAAAACACACGCGCCTGCGATGTTTTTGATGCGTTTTTGACCGTTTCGCGGGAAAATCAAAACTTGGCGTATTAGTGTAGTCTCTCCTATGTGTTGCAAAAGTTCCTGTCAACTTCAGTTCATATCAGAGTAACAACTTTAGCCAGTTGTAGCTGACAAGCAAGTTGAAGCAATTTCATACAACCCGCGTTAATCTCGAGTACACTGTTTTAACGTATATAACAGAGGCATTCCTTTCCTACTGCATGACAGATAGGAAAACAACAGTTCATAGATCAGAACACCTTAGATTTGATAAATTTGTCAGTGTTATTCCAATGTTAGTATTTATATTTGAACTCTAATAACTCTTCCACTACTTTTCCAGTTTGTAAAAAGGAATGAAAAAGTAATGCTCCCCCCTGTATTTATTAAATTTTACATCAACCCCCCCTCCCTCTTGTTGTCATTTTCTCCTATGCCCCCTCTAATTTTCCAACCCCCCCTCTAGGTAATTATTGATTATTGTACAGTCCCTTAATTAGCAATATTTGAAAACCAATGTGATAGGTTCGTTCAGACTGTTCGTGATACTGTAGAGTGTATACCTTACAGTGTGTCATTTGAGTATGGCAATGAACCAGTTGTCCAAAAACCAGCGACAGTCTGAAGTATTTACCAGGGTAAATTTAATTTTGTTCCCCCAGTATTTTGATACATTTAAACACTCATTGTTTCAGCTCTCATAGCCTTGTTATTTGTTACAAAGCTCTTAAGTCTTGGCAGAGAGGAAATATTTCGCGTGGACTCATTTTATTGAGCGTTTTTCTATTCTGATTCTCTCTGTTACATCAAAGTTCAAAGTTAAATTCCAATTCTTTTCTTTCGAGTTGGAATAAAAGACTTACGAGTAGAAAAAAACTGGATATTGATATCTTCCATTTTCGGTAAATAAGTTTTTATTTCCTGCGAGGAGTCATTTTGAATATTATGACGTCATTGGCTTGCAGCGTTTTGTGAACGGCAGATAGATAGCTGTAACCAACTGAGGGCTTGAAAACTGAAAATGAGTGGGGTGGTGGATTCCCATATGAAACGGGTGGGGAGCTCATTGTCTCGTCAAAGACAGATTACTCCTGGCGTCATTTATGGTGTTCACGATCGAACGTTCAGAAATGTGCGTGAAGAAATAACAAAACTGAGAAGAAAAGAAGAACGATGGAGCCATGACAACGTCGTTTACTATAGCTCTTATTTGGATGTAAAATGGACAGCCTAATAATTTCGATTGCAGTAACACGTTGTTCGTAAATGCTTTCTTGCTCCATTTTAAGTTTTTCTCGAAAGGGTGGCTATGGCCATATTGGTCTGTTTTAGGGATTTAATTCAAGTTTTCTGATCAGAATCCCTGACCGTTTCACATCGGAGTCAACCCATCCCTCTCCTCTCCGGGATGACGGTACGTGTACCAACATTAAACACAATAGCTATAGCTATGTATAGCACTATAGCTTTAATGCTTATACAGTATACGTCAATTTGTTGCAATAAGTCAACGCTAGAGGTTTTCTTCGAAAGAAAAGCGCGTATCTTGAAGTAATTTTACGCTTTTCAGTTTTTTTTAAAAATCTGTACTGCTGATACGCTAAACCGATAGGATGTGAAATAGAGAAAAACGAAAGTAACAAACAGTGTAAAAAAAGAAAAATCATGTGATCAGCCTCTAAGGTATACTAACAAGTTTTAGGGAGTTAAACGTAAACAAATATAGTCTTATTAAAGAATATTTGATAGAATAAAATTTCAAGCGTAGAAAAGTCAAATTGGCTACTAGTTTTACGTCCTGCGGTTCGGGTGTTCCTTTTTGCTCTTTCGTTTCTAACTAGTGACTAAAATCCTTTAACTCAGTCTCTTAAATTAAAAAGAAAATCATAAGGAATCAGTTTTTATGTTACAATTATACAACAACCCACAAAGCTATTTTTATTAAAGTTCATTATAAGCAGCTTGACAAGAAACTCAAAGGCCTCCTTGTTTGGAGGCAGTTGTTATTCGTTACTCCCTCCGAAAATTATTGGAGTGATTGGCTCGTCTTCTCATGCGTTTTTCTTTCTTAGAAGATAGTCTGCATGGTTACTTTTTGTTCAATGTTTGATCTTGGTGGTCTGTGGTATGTTCAAACCTGCGAGGACTGGGTTCTAGGTTGAGTCTAGCCCCAAAGTCTCGTGGTCGACTCCGTGTTCCGTGAAGGAAAAATTTTGAAGTTGTTGTGTTGTCTGATCTTCCTCGTGGAAATTAAAAGAGTTTCGATGGCTACTTGTGATGACAACTGGCAGACAAAACGTCCCACTATCAGGGAGAGAACCAAATTCATTTTCAATAATGAATTACTAAGCGATGTCAAGTTCGTAGCTCCTGCGTCGAATAGCGAAAATGAAAGCCGAAAGAGTCAGAAGAGCATTCCAGCCCATAAGTTTGTGCTCGCAATCACCAGTCCTGTGTTCTATGCCATGTTTTATGGTGAAATGGCAGAGACTGCAAGCACTATTGAACTGCCTGACTGTGATTATGAGAGTCTGTTGGAGCTGTTTCGTTACTTTTACAGTGATGAAGTGAACCTAACCGGAAGTAATGTCATGCAGGTTCTCTACTTGGCAAGGAAATACCTGGTGCCCTCACTCGCTGATAAATGCACTGGATATCTTCGGAAACATCTAGAAGCGTCCAATGCGTTCTCCATTTTGCCGCAAGCTCAGAAATTTGAGGATAAAGATTTGGAAAAACGATGCTGGAACGTAATTGAATTGCACACGGAGGAAGCTGTGACGTCGGATGATTTTGTGACACTTGAGCGATCAATTGTCGAGTCTGTCGTGAAGAGAGAAAGATTGAATGTAAAAGAAGTGGATCTGTTCAAAGCTGTTGATCGCTGGGCCACTAAAGAAGTGGAAAGGCAAGGGTTAACTCCTGATGGCGAAGTCAAAAGAAGGGTTCTTGGAGAGGAAATTGTGAATGCAATACGGTTTCCAGTGATGTCGTACAACGAGTTTGCTTCTGTTGTCTGGGACAGTGATATCCTGACTAAAAGAGAGCTTGGTGTCATGATAAAACACTATGGCGATGCCAGTTTAAAGTGTCCTTTGCCTTTCATCCATTCACTCAGATCTGGCTCCTTTCATTGGTGTTGCAGATGTACATCGTCACAATTTTCTCGTTGGGGCTACGGTGGGAGCGCTGATGCCCTTAAAGTAACTGTCAGCAAACCCATCACTTTACATGGAGTACAGCATTTTGGCAGTGAAGGTGGTAATTACGCAGTGTCACTAGAAGTAAAAGGTGCAGTAAGTGGCCTCTCTCTGGCAAAACAAACAGGAACACACTCTTCCGAGAAAAATGACATACACAGCTATTACGGATTTGATGTCACGTTTAATCACCCGGTTCACCTTGAGCAAAATAAACCATATGAGGTTGTGTCCTTTATTCAGGGTCCATCATCGTGGTGTCTGGAAGGTGGAAAAAATCGTGTTGAGGTTCAAGGAGTGCGGTTTTCTTTCAGTAACTCAGCTGCTTCCACTAATGGAACTAGTGTGGCTGCTGGCCAGTTTCCTGCATTTCTTTTCAGCTTATGGTAGAGTTAAATTTTTCAATTAACTTGCTGATTTTTTGCGGTGGCATTGGGAAGTTGAGGAATGTCCTTTGCCATTGCCTGGATAAGTCCCAGGCTCCTTTTGTCAATAAGAAAACATCCTGCAATAAGCCAGGGGGTAATGTTAGCAACTTAGGGAACAACTTAAGTAACAAAAATTAGACCTCGGGTTGCGCGGGTGTACACTTAAGATTTTGTAGTTTTAAGTTTAGTCATCTCCTAGTTTTCCTACCATACCGGAGTGTTGTTAAGTTTGATTTTTTTGGGAAATTTTAGCTATAATATAACAACTTTTGCTGTCAATTTTAATGCCTCATGTTTAGCTTTTCACATCCAAAACAATTTTTGGTGCCTTTTCTCATGTAAGTGTTTAATAAATGAGCATAGATGCTGGCGTATAAAACCTGAATAGCAAAGTAATCAGTTTTTTCACTACACAAATATGGAAGAATATCATTTGAAATATCATGATGATGTTTGTACAGACCGGAGGGGGGTGTTACTTCCTTATAAGAGGCTAATGGGGATGTGCTGCTGGATGGGGTCGCATTTTGAATAGCCTTACTAGAATGGGGTAGCACATTTTCTTATTTTGCGGGGTTAAACAGTTCTTCATATTTACGGTTAGCAAACGTACATTCCAGACTGTTTGTTCTGTAAATGAAAAGTAAAGTGTTCTTCATTCAATCTAAAAAATGATGGGCTCCTGAAATGGTTCAATTCATAAAAATAGAAAGTGACTAAGCTGGGATCGCAAAAGTTACATATCTGCCCAAATATGACTAAGATGGGGTCCATAATTGGACACACAAAATAGACTATAGTGAGGTTAATAGTGGGGTAAGGGCTCTGAGAGGCCAGCGGCACACACCCAGCAAAAATTAACCCAAGTACTCCCCCCTCCTCCGGGATACAAACTCCTTTCACGTGGTGAATAACAAAAGAATGAATACAAGAATCTTTTAGACTTTTAAAAATGGAAACTCTTGGGAATAAACCTTTTATTCAATTTCAGTTGCTCCGTGATTTTACGTGATAATGACTTTTCGTTTTTGTGTTTTGTGACCAGCATAATAAAATAAAGTGAAGACAGGTTTTTAGACAATAAAGTCGTAGTTGAACTGAACTAGGTAACTGTTGAAATAAAATTCTGAAACCGATTTGAATCCTTTTCTTTTGCAACGTTTTGATATTCTTCAGACTTATAGTTTGCCGAGATATCTTAACTTGCTGATAAGTCCACTAAATATCTCCAGGAACATCTAGAAGCGTCGAATGTGTTCTCCATTTTGCCGTTGGCTCAGAAATTTGGGGATTAAGATTCGAAATACCGATGCTGGGACGTTAATTGAGATTCAAGCCGAGAAGGCCTGACGTAGGAAGTAGGAATTTCTCATGCTTGAGCGATCAAAAAAGTAAATTTGTTCAGAACTGTGGATCGCCACGCAAGGGTTGACCCCTGATACTGGGTTAAAAATAGCGTTCTTGGAGAGAAAATTGTAAAACAATACCCTTTCGTCCCTGAAAAGACAACTAATATTTGATGACGCCACCACTGGTTTCCCCTCGATCGCGAAATGACTTCTGGGAAACAAGTGCAGAAATTCCACACTGATGACGTGTCACTACCCAAAACTAGCTAGTGCTTCTGATTGGTTGAAGCAAATTTTCATCGCGGCAAAATAAAAACTTGACGTATTATGGCTGTGCAGTGCCTCTGCCGTGTGATGCGAAAGCTCCTTTCAACTTCAATTCATTCAAGAGTAATAACTTTCTTCAGTTTCAACATGGAAATTAAAGGTATTTAATTCAACCCGCGGTGATTTTCGAGAAAACGCGTTGCTTCGATTGGCTGAGAAAATGGAGCGTGAATATTAGCCAATAACAGGAGAAGCAGTGTAAAAATAAAGTGATCATGAGGTTATTGTACTTCTGATGAAAACTACCCTGTGACTGGCCGGGGTAATCACTGGCTTTTCTCACGACGCACGATTTATTAACTATATTCGAAAACCAGTGTAAACCGTTTTCTTGCTCAATATTTAGTATCCCTTTGTCTTGTGAAGAAAAAGTAGCAAAGTAGTTGAAGACAAAGTAGCAGCAAGAAGGATGAGACTTGCTGGGCACTGTCAAAGACATCCCTACCTTCCAGCACACAAACTCGTCCTTTGAGGAACAATCCACAGCTTAGTTGGTATCTTAAAGCGAGACGCTGAAGTAGACTCTAGTCAGGAGTTAGAGACGCTGATGCACGATCAAAGAGTTTGGAGTCACTTAGTAGTAGTGATGTCTTTGAATGGGTTGTTTTCAAAGAAACTATAAAAAAAACACTTGTTTTTACTCACGGCATATAAGAATAATTTGTTTAATGAAAATCACTTGAGTATGCCAATGAACCATTTGCGCTAAAATCAGCGTCAGTCTTGTAGAATTCTTTTACCATCAATGAATTTAATTTTCTTTCTCAATATTCTGGCAGATTTAGCCGCTAATCAATTCAGCTCTCATGGCCTTTTTATTTGTTACAAAGCTATTAATTTTCACCATAGATAAAATATTTCGGTTGGAACCATTTTATTGAACGTGTTCTTTCTTATGACCCTCTCTGTTACATGAAAGGTGGAGAAATAAAATGACTCGTGGTGCTGACTGACAGCACAGATCTCTTGTTGGATTCAGTTGCCTAGTAGCCTATGCACCTGAGCCGGGTTGTTCGAAGCTGGGTTAAGATAACCCAGGGTTACTGCGAAATTTGAACTCAGACATGGGAGCTTAAAAAGCAAATTCAGTTTTTAAAATCCTCTTTGCCTACAATTTGATATTTGGATACTCCAAATAGAATACTGAGGAAATTATCCCAGAGAGTGCTTTTGATAAAAAGAAAAAAAACGCGGGTTAGAATTTAACCCGGGTTAGCGCTAACTGGCGTTTGAACAACTGAGCTTCAGGCGTTTGAAGGGGAATGGACAGCAGAATGGACTGAAAAGGCATTTCCGACTCCGGCTAGTTCCCTAGTCCCCCCTGCATGTCTTTTTTGGGAAGCCTTGTTTGCTTTAGCCCTAGTGTAGATTTAATTACGAAAGCGGTACTGAAAAGAATTGGACTCGAAATTGATTGTCTCTTTATTTTGCTACATAGGCCTTCAATAATTTGCTGTTTTCATGATTTCCAGGAACGCTAACAAGATGTGTTAACTATGCACTGTTCTAACGAGCTCTAGCTTGTCGCAAAATGCTTTCTGGCAGGTGGGGATCAAGAATTCAGTCTTCAATTTTTTGGGGGTGAAACAAGGCTAATTAGTCAGTAGGTAACTGACAGAGCCCAGAGCCTTTGCTTTGATTAAGTTTATGGAGTGGAAAGCCTCCGGCTAGTCTAATTACTTTAAGTATTTCAATCTAACAACTCAATTTTGGGAATAATTGTCACAGATAAGGTACGAAGTGCGCGACTGTTGCATTCAGGACCAACTCTTTCAGGACTTCTTGAACTGTTAGGCACTGTAAACATTCATGTTAGATTGTTTTGATGGAATTGAACTTGTACTGATTTTAATGTTAAATCTAACGTTTTCAATGTGTTTCTTTTCTTAATAATCTGCAGCGAAATTCATTTATTGTCATATTCAAGCTTATTAAAACATATTTTTTTCTAAGATTTGAAGAATTATCTCAGTAAAACTTCCGAAGCTCATTATAATCTGCAACGTAACCTGATTTAAACTACAGAGAATTGAATATTTTCATGCCTTAAATAAAGTAATTAAATGATATTTGCTTGACAGCACATATAATTGCTTCAATATGCCATGAAACGATTTAAATGATATGTTTAAGTAAAGATCATGACTTCATTAAATAACTTGCCTTATTGTTTGTTTATGAGGGGCTGCTTTACCTCTCAGGGGTTTACTTGATTACTCTAGTCTTTTGTTCAATTTGGCAAATGAGCAAAACAGAGTAACTATAAGAATCACAAAGGAAGCCGGTCATTCTGTTATCATGCTGAAAATCATAGAATGAATAACAATAATAACATCAGTGCTGAGTGAATACGTATTGTTAAAATATCACATTTCTAGCATCGTTCATGGAATTGAATTGGCTAAATATTTGAAGACAAAACAGTTAGAGCAGCGAAGAGAAGACTAGAAGCAGTAGTATCTTGTGAGCATAGTAACAAAATATGTCCCTTAGTTTTTGGCACGAGTTTTGTTGCAGAGTACTACATAATTGTTTCCACGTGATGTCTTTAAAACTGCTTCCGCAAAACGGCGGCCACTGAAATTATTCAGTCTTGAAGTAATTCAAATTCAGACACTTAAGTATCTTAACGTGTCATAACTTGTAGCCCGCTTAACATCTTTTGTTTGGTACAGTTCCCGTTTTCGTTCAACGCCAAGAAAGAAAAATTTTTGGCCACAATTTTGTTCTCGTGTTGTTGCAGAAACTGACTGATGATACCTAGTTTGACATATATATAAAAAAAAACAAGATGGTGCTACAGTATTTAGATTAGCTCTGTTTTCTGTCCAAGAATTTTGTTATCAATAAAATCGCGCACCGCGAGAGAGGAATTCGTAAACTGTAACATACTGACTTAACAAATCAATTGGTAACGAAAACATTCTATTTTTAAACGTTAATGTTTGATATTGATCAATTGTTGCCTTTATAAATTTTTAAAGCCTTAGTACCGACATACTTTACTATTCGCGCTTGAATTTGCTAGAAAAAGGAGATAGGATTCTAATTTCACATATTTAATTGTCTCAGAGTTACTTGTGATTATCAAAAACCCGAGAGTGTGAGACATCTTGGCGTTTCCGCCGGGACTTACTTATTTACTAAATGATTCATTTTTCTGATATGTAATTATGTAAGTCAATTCAATTTTGTCGCGGAATGTTATTAAAATTCTGTGAGAAACACGGAAGGTTTTCCGTTGCCAAAAATCAAGTCAATACAACGCTGCGGTATGCATGTCAACATTAAATCTCCAAATTGTCCCATAGCTGAGATTGTGACTTTCAAAAAAAGCATTTCTTTGGTAGCAGAAGAAAACATCACAATTCTCAAAATTTTGATTGATTGCTGACAATCTTAGTAATTTGCGCCAATCATATAAAGGCCGTTTGTAATTGATGGGCGTGGATAAGTCTTCGCGCATGAGTAGATCGGTTGTTTAAGTTTACCCACGTGGTCCTACAATGTCAAAATTTAACAACGTTGTTGATCTTGAAGTTTGTTATCAGTCAGTCAGTCAGTACTTTGCACTTACGGCAGTAGTAGCATTGCAGTAGCTAGTAGCTGTTTCCAGCGATGGAACCGCCGGTGTATTCTCCACAAGGCCATTACGAGGCGATGGAAGTTGAGACCCCAACACTTCCATTTGGCACTGATTATAAACTTAAAATGGTCACTTTAAACGGCGAGGAGATCGCGGCTTTCAACGTCGATGGGGAAGATTTACTTTGCTTCCCGCAGGTATACGAATATTTTCTCAAAGATCTGGTGTCCGGGATGCACACTGTCTACACGAAGCTCAAGCGAATGAACATTCAGGGTAGAAATTGCAACGTGGAGCAAGTTCGTATGATGCGCAGCGTTGGAGCTATCGGCCAGGTTGTCAATCGCTGCAAGCTGATCTCGCGAGAAGATTTCAACAGATTGTATGAGGATTGTTTGCTTTACAGGTAAGAAAGCGCCATTTATTCTAATTGTTTTTAAACATCGCGTTACTATTATTTACAGTTCACTAATATTTTTGCGCGCAGCTCTATAAATCAATTCCGACATTTTATGTAAAAACATTAAGGGTCCGCTGTAATTAATCATTTGGCTTGAAATCCTTGCCTCTCATTTGGAAACCCCCACAATGTGTAATTACACTTTTTGAATAAGCCATTGTTAAATATTAAATGATTTATTTTCTATTGTGCATTATTTGGCAGAGCTAAGTTGATACAAATTAAAACTGGTTTGAACTTGGTGAAAGTTGTATTTGGTTCTCCTCCAGCAAAAATACAAGAGGAAAAAGGGGTTAAACCTTTGATGTAAAGGAACTTAGATATTGTTTACATTTCGCAATAAAAAAACCTTAAGTCAAAAACAAAGTCTTTATGTAAATGCGCTCAGAGGTTTTAATGGATCATTTGCTGTTAAACAGATATCAGCGAATTGTCAATTGTTTTTGCGCGTTATATTGATCAATTTTTACGCATTTATTAAGGGCCCCGTCTGAGTTCTCTCAAATTTTGTCAAAAACCGCAAACCTTTGGTTTCACATTGAACAGTATGAAATCAAAAGTATACAGCTTGGTATGACACGATTTATGGAAGTCCATTTAATTAAATACCTGTTTCCCGTTTTGTGAGGTAGATTGCTTGTAAGCAAACGTTGTGGAACGATCGGGATCCTTGAAGTCGCAATAGCACCCTTTTAGTTAAGATACCGCAACTAGCGAAAGTTTCTCGCTTCATGCGTTGGAACTTAAATTTCTCAGTTGTTGAAATGTCTAGTAAATCCTCTTTCCTGAAAAAGAAACCGAAACGGCGATACAGTAAAAAGATAGAAAATTTACTCAAAAATAACATTTGGTTCAATTTAACTTGCGAGAGAAAAAAAAAGAAAAAAAACTGAAGTACTTACTTCAATGGCAAAGTAATCGTTTGTGAATAACAACGAAATTTTTCCCTTCTTATATCTTCAAGTGATTTCGGAGCAACAATTACTACTTTCGGTACTTTTGCTCGAACGGTTTAATTTTTAAGACTTGCACAATAAAAATCCAAGGAATTACAACAAATTCTATTTTTCACATGCTAAAAGACAAACAGCGCATCACAGATGACAGCTGGTAATGGATGATCATGTCACTGATGTTTCGTCTAAGGAAAAGTTGCGGCTAGTGAAATGTCAAATGCAGTCTTCCTTCTCTCGATACATTTCTTTATAATAAACAAACAACTATTTAGAAGAGTATCTGTCAAACATCTTGCTTTAAATTTTAAAGTTTTGCTGATCATTTTTGGTGGGATGTTGCAAAGGTTTAGACAGACAATGGTATTCTACTGTTTTCCATAACATTTTGTTCAATACAGATTGAACTATTTCAACTTAACACAAATAGCGTTTAATATTGCTGGGTTAAAAAAGAAATAAGAGGCCACATTTTGCTGACAAAAACTCTCGTTTTTGCCCTCCAACGAGGTCTTGAGATGATAGATTCGGTTATTTCCACCAACATACAGAAGTTAGAATCACCTATTAATGGGAATGTTTTGAACTGGGTTAATTTAAGCGCAAGTTATCACATGGCATAAATTAACTTTCTACAGACAAATGGAGTTATTTACCTACAGATTTAGAGAGGGGCAATTTTTTCTGTCGTTTGGCGTCAAAGATTTGATGGATGGCTATTAGATCGTTGACCGGCACACAGTTAATTGATTGGGGTTACCCGGCGTCTCATCTGCAGCAAGCCTCAGGCTTCATTTGGACAAAAGTCAGAGTTTGAGAGCGAAGGACGCTATTTCGGCTGTTCTTTGTGTCATATTCATGGTACAGTACGTTTAGAGAAGCTAGAAAAGAAATGTATCGTTTAGTTTTGCAGAACAAAATTTTTCAACATGCCAATTTTGAGACGAAAGCTTGGCTGGTAGTGTTAAGGGAAAATGCAGGTGGATTGCTGTGTACGCCTTCCTGTGATAAGTTCAGCTAGCACACAACCATTTAGGTTAAAAAAAAAAACTAATATGGCAGAGTTTTAAACATTATAATTTTTAATTAACCAAAGGAAAGGCTGAAGTATTCAGTTCTGATATCAGAGTATGGGGTCATCTGAAAGTATGCAGTAACACGCAAGCTATTGATACTTCAATTCTCCCTGTGAATCCTAAGGAGTTTGGAGATATCTGAGATGAGAATTTGGATGCCCATACTGGAACTGAGAGGTCATGGGAATCAACAATAATCTCAGAGCTTCTTCCGTTTGAATTGAGTATTTCTTGACCGACTGCACAGCAAAAAGTACGCGAAGTAAATTAAAGAATCAAATGTATCTATTTGGAATAGCTTCAATTGGTTGTGACCCATTAGCTTCAATTGCTGGCAGAATTGAAGATCTTGCGAGAGAATAGTGTTCAAGTCTTGTCTTTGAAGACTTTGAAAGCCGCGTGCTATTTGCGCAGATTAAGCAAACTTTCAAGGGTTTTTAAATTTTATAAATTATTATCTCCAGAAGTGCAAGAACTGAAAACCTTTAACGATGGTAGAATTAAAATGACGCGCGCAATATCGATCAATTAAAACAGGCGCTCTTTTAGTTGTTTTTCGATGTGCCAATACCGTATTGTTTCTAAAATTGCTATCAATCTTTTAAAGAACAGAAATTTTCAATACAGCAATTACATTAAACCACGATGCTATCAAATTCAAATCATTTGGGTTGTAGTTAGAAACGCCTTCATGTGCCAAAAATAGAATCACGCAAATTCGTTTTCTTGTGTGTGTCCACGTGTTGATATTGAGTGGTAAAAATGTTGTTGCTCTAAACTGATTTTAGCTTGTCAAACACTGCATTTTAAAGAATTGTTTTCTCTTGTCTCGTTTTTTTTTTTTCGTGAAATGAATAGTCATCGGAAAGTGTTTAGTTACATTTTACAGATAAATTCTATCTTACTGCGAAAGTGCGAGCGGAAATCTTTAGAGTGTTCAACTTGGCTCGTTCTAATCTGGTTAACGACAGAATGTAATGCATCATTTAAATCGAGAACCCGCTTAATATCCTTTACTACTCAGGGATTTCAAGAAGACGATGAAAACAAGGGAGCAGGGACGTCGGTTTTTTGTGGCATCCTGTACCATTTACCATACAGTTTATTTTCAATTTATTTCCATACTGTTAGGTTTTGCTGCCAAGAACTAAGAAAAAATCAAACGTTTAGTCTGGTGCAGAGCGGTGCAGAGTGGCTCTAAAAGTATATATTCACTCGATTTTGTATAAATAAAATAAAATACCCAAGAAGTGACATGTGTACTTGGTGTACTCAACTTATTTCAAAATAAAGGAGTATGATACGAACCAAGTCGTCCTTTCGTAGCAGAATCACTGTCGGGCAAGCGTTTGTAAATATAACTTTCAGTTAACCACCCATAGAGTGCCGCCCAAAACCCCCAATTCGTTTTCAAAAGATAACACCAGACCAGCAAAACATGCAAAAAGACGTTTCCTTTGAGCAATCTTTAGGTTTTTGTTCAAAGATTAAACTTAGAATTACATCTTTTTAAGGTTAAACTCTGGGTGGGAAAGAATATTGTCGGTGCTTTTAGCTTACAGTAGAACTTTCTGGACTGTTGCTTACTCCTGAAATTGGGTTCAAGTGATTACTTCGCCTCTTATCATATAAGGAAGACTGTGCCGGATGCTTTACTTGTTAAATATTTTACTGGCAGAGTAAGGACAAATCTTCCCCTCTGGGGTATGTAAGCAGTTGCATGCTGTTATTTTGCGAAACCCTAGCCACCCACATATTCCTTCCAAAAGCGACAGTTTTTATCTTTGCGTTAAATTTTCCAGATGTACCGGAAAGTATAATGTAGATTGTTAAGTAAACTCCACGATTAACTAAAATTTGTTAATCGACAGAGGCAGCGTAAGAATAAGGCCTTTCTGTCTTACACACATTTCACCGAAATAATGCGTTTGTTGCCCTGATGTACGGAAGTTATTTTACGGAGCTGGCGGGGTAATTGCCTTTTTGAAGATATAAAAGTCCAACAATGCAGACTGGTTTGCTTTTTATATAGGGGGCGATTTTAAACTCAGTCTTCCACGAGAACAGGAAAGAGCAAAACATCAAGAAAATACTGTTTAGCAATGTGCATTTTAATCTTAACATTCCTTTGTATTTACTGAAATATTTTACTCAGTATCATGCCGAGGTCATTTTTGCGAGATCCAATACTGATGAATAGCATTCTGGCAATTGACATGCAATGGCGGAAACAAATTTAAATTAGATACATATCTTTTTGTTTTAAGACGTCGTTTTATTTTATGCCAATATGTGAACGCATTCGTCCCCGTGGTAGGTAATTATTATAAATGCTTGCAGGGCAGATCTGAAACAATCTGCAACATCGAACATCATATTTAAAAATGACTCTTTTAAATTGAAACTGAGCATTGTTTTTCTTTGGTATGTTAGCTTTGTTTTTCTATATTAACTCAATCGGCCCTGCGAATTCGAGTTTTTATAGTAATCTTTACCGAATCAGAAGGTAAAGCAAACCGTATTTCAGCTCGTAAATTTGCAAGTAAACATATAATTGGGTTACAACATAGGAGATGGGCTGGCTTGAAATACAGCTCTTCAAGTGTTTTTCAAATCATTGCCAACAGGAATGGGATTTCTATCGAAAAATTGCAAAGTGTGATACTGCATGCATCAATATCTAAGCCTCATTGGCAAGAAAATAGTGAAGAAAGCAACTTGCTAACTAATGAGGGACTTACCTAGTTACTACAAAGTCCAGAATTGAGAGCGGAACTTGAAGCCATTACACAAGGATGAGCCCAGTTTAAAGACGAGAAAATGCCGGATAAAACAGGCTATGTATCAACCTGCTGGAATTCCAAAAGGATCCAGTGAAAAAGAAAGATCAAGTTATAATAGAAACAATTATTGTCTCATTTGAAATTTTAGAGAAAGTTTCTAGTGATTTATCTAAGAATTGGAATTCGGTTGTACTTTGCTCCTTCATCTCAGTGGATGGTCGAAATATATACAATTCTTGACTTGAAAGTTTAAAAGAGAAAAGCCCGTGGAACGAACAAATCGCATCATAGAAACGGTAAACAATTCCGGATTTTGAGAAAATTTCACATGTTTCATCTCAACGGATACGAAGTGTAATGAAATAGCCCTTCCTTCTTGTGTGTTGATCCTTCCTGAGAAGATGGAGTTATTAATTCGCTGAGATAACAAGCTAACAAAATCTTAAAATAGCGAAAAAAATATCGCATCACATCTCTTTGGTGGTGAAATGGAGTGATCATGACTCCCGATTTTTGTGTGAGAGAAATTTTCCAAGTGGAAGGAAAAACAAAGAAGAAATTGATGGGTAATGATGACAAGATGAAATGCACTTTAATGTTCAGAAAATGCAGCACCACTCGTTCAGTTTGAGCTTCAGTGACTAGAAATGGACAATTCAAACTGTAATACCGACTTACACTTTAAAAATACCTTATCTTGAAGTCCGAGAAATTACGGAAAGATTAAATGGAGGTGGAATTGAAGAGAGAGTAAATAACTTCGTGATTAGAATTGAACATTTCAGTGCTGTTCAGTTCACGCTGGTTTTAAAGTTATTAACAATTATTGGTTTGAATCGTATTTATTCGACACCAGTATTCTGCCTTTTACTTATCTTCGGAGTTTTCGTCATATTCTGAGTATGAGAAGTTATTCCCTTTCGTTTTTTTTACGTGATCTTTGAACGACAAAGCCAGCCTTTGTGGGGCGATTGCTGATGAGGATTTTAAGTTGCATTAATCACTGACTTGAGGTTTCATGGATTAGAGTAATGCTTTATCATGTACGTGGTACTGCCCAGCCTCGTTGTCTCTTTAATTTTATGATTAGTTTTTTTCTAACCTTCGACATAACAGTGCCGATGAACTTTTAACTTTTGTCAGATGTATAGTTTGGGGAACGAGTCCTTTCAATAATTGTGAACACTTTGTTGCAAACATAAATGCACTTAAGTAATGCTTCATACTACTCTGTGAAATCTTGATTAATTGTCCTTCCACCTTTAAAGCTTGAGTATTGTTCAAGTTAAGAACCAACTACTCTTGCACTGGAAAATAGTCCGGCGTTTTAGATCGCTTGCCATATGTTGACTTTACTTAGTAGATCAAGACTGGGAACCCCGGCAGCGGCATGAATCTCATATTAATTCTAATAACTAAAAATCGGAAGTTCTTTTGGAGAAAGCTAAAGTTCATAATCTACAAACTTGACCTGACGAGACGTTTTTTTGAGCATATTCGAGATATACACTTCCGTTTATGGGCATGCTGGTAGCGGTTTAAGATCTCCACTCGGTGTCTTCGACGGTGTATAACAGTCGAAGGTCACTTAGGAAAAGTTGGGTGGAAAAAACGCAAGAAAAAGCTCATGTTCAAGGTAGCCAATATTATTTCTATTTTATTAAGAAGACTCACTTTCGTAACATTTTGAAAATCAAGTGTATTTCCTAAATCACGTTTTTCCGAAAGCATTTCACGAAGGATTTCGCATTGTGTTTTCTTCACTTGTAGCTCAAAATGGCTGCCATTGATTACTGCTATGACATGTTTTACTGGTACAGAACAAGTCTACAACGTGATAGAAACCTAGTCCACTAAATAATCGTAGAACCCAAGGTCACTAAATTTGCTGGTAACTTTTGTGAGGATGGAAAAAACGAATTCAAAATAAAACAGTCTATATAGTGATATAAGAAGCAGATGTTGTTCACTCCTGAATGTTCTGCAAAGCTCGCATAAAATAGGAACTTCCTCGCATTGTTTTACCTGTGAGTGCCGTACGCTGTTCTCCTCCGTTCATGTGTCTTTATAGAATTTTCATCCGCTCCGGTCATTATTTTCTTGAGAATCAAAGAGTATTCAAACACTTCGCATTTTGGTCCTCGTGCAGAACAGCACGCGCTCTGAGCAACTTCCTTGAAACTGCTGTGGGGTAACGTCCTTACGATTCCAGTCTTCCAAGAGGGCTTATATTAAATCCTTATTTTCCGTAGTTACTATTGTATTAGAATGTTTGCAATTCCCTTTTCTTGTATGTACAGGGAAGTTCCTGTCATTTCGACTCGCACATTCTCTTATCGCGTGAATTCTCCTCATGTTTCTGCTTTGAGATGGCTTTGCATCGTTTCTTAATTTTTCGAATTTTTTCAAATCCCCCGTCTTGGATAACACCTTTTTTTATAACAGCCTGCGGGAGGGACATCCTTAAAGCTGTAAAGGTGTTTTCGGCACACATACGCTGGCATATATATCTGAGTCTTTTCGGCGTGAAGGTGGGTAGCTTCTCGGGGACACGCCTTGTTGGAGGGGGATCAGTTCTGAAATTGGGGTAGTGGACAAATCATCCACTGACTTTACTAGGAAGTGCAACAGGTGAACGTGTTGTAGTCTACCAAAAATTACGAAGTATACCCCAAAACATCTGCATTGAGTTCATGTCCACCTGCGGTCTCCCACTGGGTATAATTTCCCCTTTAATTTAAAATAATTAACGCGTCAGAAGTGGTTTCCTCGTAAGAAGAACTTAAAACCCAAGATAAGCAAAGTACTCAGCGAAAAAAGGTCAAACAGGCGTTCAGGAAGTATTTCTGGATGTCCCGCCATACTTAAGGACTCTTATCTCAGTTGGACTTAAAAATTTTAGCTTTTCACGCTAAGAATGAAAATCTAGGAATTTATTTATTTTGTAAAAACAATGAAAAGCCAACGGTACCATGGAAAATTACTGCTTGAGAAATTTCATCTGAATTGGCACTCCAAAGGGTTTCGTCCACAGACTCAAAAGTTAAAAATGCCAACTAAAGAAATAGCACCATGTGAGTAGCACTTAAGAAGTTTCAATGAATGCGGGTCAGTACACCATGGGTTTCACCCCTACAGACTGAAAAGATGGAACTGCACACGAAATTAGTAGTACCGAGTGAAAGTACTCCTGAAGAGGATTCATTTGAAAGCTATCACCACAGTATTTCGTTCAAAGCCACAAATGTTAGAACTACACCATTAAAATGTCTGGAGTCTGGAAGTGAACGGTTTAATGAGTTTAGGATTAAGAATGGGATCAAAAGGCTTCAGGGGCGACGAGGTCGCGCAATTGTAGGCATTTTCATTACTTGCCAACTCACTGAATTATCAGAATTATATCTTAACTGCAGCTGAACGCAAACGAAATACAGAAGAACAGAGCGAGAGGACTGGTATGCAAAACTTACGAACGAATAGCGTTCGCGCGTTCGGTCGGTAAAATTAGAAAAATGGTGGCTTTTTCAGTTTTAATCAATTCAGTAGGAAACTGAGATTTTAGATGCTATTTTATCTGCATTTTATCAGGAGCCCATATATGTTCGTGACTGTTTTGCGGTTTGCGAAGACATAAAAACTTTTTCACTGTTATATTTTTACCTGTCACACAGGGGTCCTGGGAGACGGAAGAAAAATCCCGACATTCCACCGGAACTTCTTAACAATCCTTTCAAGCATTTCAAAGTGGATAATCACACGGACAGATCTGTTAACCTGTCAAATGGAGAAGCAATAAAAACAGACGATATAAACAAGTCCACGTCCCATGATTCATCCCCAAGCGATAGCGTTACTATTTCTTTTGAGGGTCCACGAGATGCCAATAACAATACAAGTAGCACCGCACACAAAGACTTGCAGTTTAAAACGCCCGTCTCCCGTGTTGCGAACATGACGTCACCACAAGCAGCTATGAATCACACTCCACCTCATCTGCACGTGAGTCCGCGATTCACAACAACGCACGTGATTCATTCACCAACTAACACGTCATCATCGCGCATTGTCAGTCCGCCCAGCGGAGTTATTTTGGCGCCAAATTCCCAGTCATGCGCTTTCAACTTTCCTCCTAGACCTCACGTGACTTTGAGCCCGCAAGGAAATGTGTTAAGCCCGCAAACCAATGGAGTTCCACCAACAAGCGGTGCGTCAACTGTAGTTACCCATAGTCCCGGGCGATCGCCGGCTGTTGGAGACGCGGTGAACGGTGAGGCGTCAGTACCTCATGTCAGCAGTACTGGTACATCAGAGCATGCGGCTGAGTTTAGGGCCGCTGCCGCCAATGATACCGGTTCAGATATATCAGCGTCTTCCCCGCACGTGCTCTCACGTGAGGTTTGTAGTGTCTGATTGTCTTTTATTATAGAGCTTTGTCTTCAAATGCTTGTATCACTGGCACTGCGCTTTAATTGTGTGTTCCTGGGTATGAGCAATTATAAAGAGTGCCCTTTACTTTTATAATGATTTGTCTTTCATTTGAATCTGCAGCCTGAATATAGAGAGCCTGGATCCACAGGTCAGTAGCGAGATAGTCTGTACTTTTGACAAAACAATTATCCTAAGTATTATAAAATTGGAATTTTAGTGCTGATCAACAGAGAATGGTTTTAAGACTTTTAAGAAAAATCTTTGGAAATTCCGCTAATTAAGAAAAGTTCTTCGTTGCAGAGAGTCTTCTATTTAACATTCAAGGGCTTTTGAAGGTGGCGGCAGAAAATACCAGGCAACATGAGCGACAGGCTGTTTATGAAAAGAGTAAGTGAAATACCATCGCATTTTAAGACCTTGGTATGAATAAAGTCCAAATTTATCGCGAAATGTTAGACTTATAATACTACGCTCCGTCGCTACTGCGTTTGACGATGACTGCTTTCGAGACTTAGAATTTTAGGGTTTTTTTAGTGGCGTAAATTGCAAAAAAAACAGACGTGTAACCAGATTAAGTTAACTCTAGGAGTTACTTTAACACGGCTTTCAAAGCCTTCGTTTGCTTTGCTTTTGAATTTTCGGCGTACTTGTCCTTTCAAACAGCAATACTGTGAAAGTTATGGCTCCTGTCAGGGTCGGCCAGGGTTTTTGGGTATACGGTATACGGGGGCTTTTTAAATTGGGTATACGGTATATTGCAGCATAAATACGGGTATTCGGTATATCACTTTCTTTGAATTTCAGGTATAAAGTATACCTGGGTATAATTTTGTGTATATTTGGATGAATTTTGGGTATTTTTGGGTATTTTGGCGAATTTTTTTCGGGTGTACTGCTATACCACTACCCCCACTGGCCTACCCTGTCCTGTGTTGACAAAAAAACTTGATGATCCCAGAGAAAGGATAAGTGACCAAACCTTGGCTTTACCCGTCGTTATCATTTTCTAATTTATTGTGAAAGTGTACAACTTTACTTAACCCATAAAACAATACATCGGTGTTTGCTGTCGTACTTACCATAACTGTTGTATGTTTAGATGAACTCCGTCGGCATATTCATCGTGAACGCGAAGCTCGCGAGAAAGCTGAAAGACAGGCAGCTGCACTTCAGAGAGGAAAAGGTACAATTAAACTTCAAGTTCATTGTTTTTTTTTCTACGGTCTAGCTAATGTGCTCCTCGTAAATAGCGTGTCAACAATAAATACCGCTCCAGGCGAAGCACGTGTTGAGGAAAAGTTGTTCTTCTTTGTTACTTGCTTACTACCTAAGTTTGGTGTATGTCGTAATTTCGTTATTTCGTTGCAGCTTTCCTCCAGAAGAAGTTGAAAAAAGAGAAGAGGGCAAAGCGTAAGCTTGCTGAGCGACTGATGGGTAGGCGGCTTCAATTTCAATCTTCCACAAAATTTTGATTAGTCCTTCATGGCTCATGCAGCTGTTTCGTTCCCAGCTGTCAGTACTAAGTAACATTGTTCTTGTTCTCGCCGCAGAGGAGCAGCACAGATGCGAGCTTCTGGAGGAGCAACTGAAAGAATCCACTCAGAATGCGCTTAAACAGCGAAATGGTAAGTGATCTGAAATAAGTGAAGAGTTTTTCTCTGCCTTCTCTCTCACACACTGATCTCCCGCTCGTGGAAGTCCGTGTTCTGCAGCCGAGATCTTGAGAAGTGTTTTCTTGTCCAGTAAAGTTAGCCGTTTACACAATCTCTTGATTTTGACTCTTACGTGTTTTTCCTTTGTAGATGAGTTGATTCAAGAAGTTGAGAGAGAGCGGACTGCAAAGATTGAGGCCGAAAGGAAGTTAAAAGGTAAACTATACAAAAAACGAAAACGTTTAGCGAATTTTCACAGTATTGGGTCACATTAGCCTGCCTACCAGGCGCTTGTGCCTGCTACACAGGCTCCGGGCATATTTTCTACTTGACTAATTTAGGCTCCTGAACATTACTGCACAAATGAGTGGAGTTGATGTTAAAATACACAGTCTAACCTCTCCTTACGGACACCTCTATAATACCGACCCCTCTCTATTACGGACAGTTCGTTTGGTCCCAGAACTGCCAAAAATCCTACATTCCATATCTCTATAATACGGACACCTCTGTAAAGCGGACACTTGTTTCTGTCCCTTTGGTGTCCTTATTCAAGAGGTTTGACTGTAATTATACTCACGCAAGGCTTCTCTGACAAATAGCTTTGAGAATTTTACGCGTTATATCTGTTATTGCTTCATAAAGAGCTCAGTGTAATTAGCCTTTTTCACTGTTTTCTTGTGACAGAAGCTCGGGGCGAGATTCAGAATTTCGTCCACAACTTTCTTGAAAATCCGAGTCAGGAAGGGCCTGGGCACCAATCAGATGAAGAACCCGAGGAGCTGAATGTAGAAGTTGTGAAAGAGGAGCAGATGGTTACATCCACATAGGCACGCAATGCGTACTTACGCCAGCTGAGGAAACTACTTAGATGCAAGGAACAGACAAATGGCGTAGATTGTAACTACCATAGTGAAAAAATAGGTTTAGTGAAGTCCCCTTTGATCAAACTAACAAGTTAACAGTCTAAAGTAGAAACGTGATAGAAAACGTTGACGTTGTTTGAACTAAAATATGACCCAAACCCGCTAAGTGTAAGGTTTTGTTTTCAAGCGTTTGTTATATTTTCTCAAGTGTGTCTATAGACGAACCTTTTCCAAAATAGTTATTAATATAATATTATTCTTTCATTACACCTTTCCCCCATGAAAACTAGACGATATTTTTTTAGCTCTATAAAATTTCACCACAAATAATTCATTCGTGGCATTCGTTTGATGATTATTTATTTTATATATAATACACACAGACATTTATATTACTTCCTTATTACAGTTCTATTTTTATAGTACCCTACTATGTGCATTACAAGGCTAATAAATAAACGTTTTTTTTAACCTGTCTTGCTGGGATTCGCTCTAACATCTGGGATTTTCACCTCGCATGCAAAAATGAGACGGTCTAGGACCAGTGCCTTTTCTAGGCTATGGGCGTCACTTTAAGGACGTTTCAGTAATCAGTTTCCTGTTATTTCATGAACCGTTAACAGGACATTAAGACTATCTAAGGAAGCTCCTTGCACTGCACTTAAAACACCAGGGTCTTTTGTATTTCGTGCATAGTGCGTGCGCAGCTCTGTAGCTGCTTGACCTCGTTTTCGTCCAAGGTTTGTTTGATGACGTACATGACACCTTTGGAACCAAGCACGCAAGGAAGGCTGAGAAACACGTCTTCATCAATTCCATGAAAACCCTGAATAAACAAAAACAACCATGAGTTTTTTCGGAATCTAAACAGTTAAAGTGTTAAATGTTTATAATTACCATTTTGTAGCAAAACTCGGTAATAACTTTGGGTAAAACATTTCCTCGGATATCTCGTATACGAGTTATTCCTTTGACCCAAATCTTGGCGAGGGTCTTTGTATATTTACCTCCTCTCATTTCTCAGATTCTGGACTTTATTTGTCGAATGGTTTTGATTTTTATTTTGATCTATTTTGGATGGCGTGACACTGAAAACCAGCAATAGAAACGCTGAGGAGACTGGTGTCGAAATGTGTCACGTAATCGTTTCTGGGGTCGTTACTTGGGACGCGATCACGGGCGAAGGGGGGAGGGGGGATGAGGCTTGCAGACTGGCAGATAAACCAGGTAAACATCGTTGTGAAATGCCCTAACAGATTCCTTATCCCTAAACTAGACGTTTAGAAGACATAAAGTTTAAGGACAGGGAATCTGTTAAAGCATTTCACAACAATGTTTACCTCGTTTACCTGCCAGTCTACAAGTCTCACCCTCCCTCTACGCCCTGCCCCGTGGTAAATTACAGTCTGCCGCGCCGATTTTCTTCCCCTAGTAACAGTTCCAGAAGTCTTTGGGAAAGTTAGCTCGACCCAGTTTCCTTAGAATAAAAGAACAAAATTTTAAAAACGTTAGCCAGCGTGTCTTTTCATCTTTCACCTGAACTTAGCTAAAGCGAAATTTGTCCGTCAGTTTTGATTACATTTCCTTACAAAAACAAATCAGTTAAAACCGATGCCTCGGTGCCGACCAGACGCGGACGATTTTGGAACTTGAAGCGAGGTCACAAACAAGGATTGCCGGTATTGCGATTGCCGGTATTGCGAGTAGAACCTTTTTTGCCTGCACAATCCGGGGATGCGGTGGGGGGAGATGATCGTACCTTTACCTACCTTGACAAGAGTAGAAATAGCGTGGACATTCTTCTGATTTCGGATGATCGTCTGGGTCATCTGAGCGACACTCAGTCCAATGGCCCAAGATGTGTAGCCTTTCAGTTTGATCATCTCGTAGGCACTTAACAAATGAAGTACAAGTTGCTGACTGTTAAAAGGGAAGCCTTCACTCAAAAAAGAAACGTAGTAACTCATTGGTGAAAAAAAGATTTTTCGAAGTGCCGAGATAAGCAATGCGACCATTACCTGTTGATGACTTTCTTGTGAATGTCTTCCCATTTTTCAGGATCGTCTTTTCCACCCATGCCTGGGTTAAGATCTTTCAAGTTCACTCCTGCTATATTAACACCACTCCATACAGCAACTGCAAATGAAAAGTCAAACTGAGTTAAATTTACCAAAGCCAGCTAAGCTAGAAGCCTGACACTTAGTAATACTTCTTAACCGGAGCACTTTTAAACGGCGCAGGACGTGGTATATTTCATGCTGGATATTCTCACAAGAGACCTCTGCATTAAAAAAAAATTGTAAATTGCTTTTTTACCCACGAAGCACTTGAGAGTTCACATGAACTCGTTGAAACGTGTCCGTGCGTTCCAGATCGAATTGGAATTTGAAAGTGTTGGTGTTTGAGGAGAGGGGAAAACCGGAGTACCCGGAGAAAAACCTCTCGGAAAAAACCAACTGCAAACTTTTTTTTTATGGCGAATACGCAGTTGTATTTGAAAACCGCCAGGTCATCTCAAGTGCGGGGCGCGCGCCTCACCACTGCGCCATCCTTGCTCCCCACCGTACCTCCCCTGCAGCAGACCCTTGCAACTCAGGCTGCTGGATAAATAAGTGAAATTCTTGCCTTAGTACAGCAATATCCCAATTAACGGACACCCGCTAAACCCGGACACCCCGTTATTACGGACAGTTTTCCTTGTCCCTGGAAAAAGCCCCCATGTTTTCTCTAAATTCAACCCGCTTAATACGCACACTCTCCATGGTCCCCTCAGTGTCCGTATTAACGTGGTTTGGACTGTACTGTAAAAGCGTGTAGAAGTGGCGAAGAGAAAAAGGAAGGAAACCGTGTTTCTCTACTCCTGTTAGAAGGCAAAACATCTACACACCTTTCACACATTAAAAACTCTGTAAAAACAGAGAAAACTCTGTAGTTTCAGATGGGACGGAAACTAATACATAGTATCTGAATCACAGAAAATAGCCTTCAAAGGCACAAAAATGAAGAATGACGGCTTGAATTTTACTAAAGGCCATTAAACGCTACGGGAAACATACCACTGGCATCGCCATGTTCTCCGATGATCCAGCCGTGTACATTGGTTGGAGCGACATTCAGTTTTTCGCTGATCAGAAAATGAAACCGAGCAGTGTCCAAATTGGTTCCACTTCCGATCACACGCTCACGAGGAAGACCGCTGATTTTCCAAGCCACGTACGTCAAAATGTCAACTGTGTAATAAAAGATTTTTAAGAACCAAAGAGTGCGTAAAGCTATGTGCAAACGGACGCAACAACTCCCAACATTGTTGGCCGTAGCTAAAAGTTTGACCGGTTTCAAACTTTGCGCAACAATTCCCAACAACACGCAAAAAAACATGCAACAACATGATGCAACGGGGCGTGCAAAAAGCGTACGTTACATTAGTGTCACAACATCTGACTTAGCGAGGCGGCGCTACGGGTTCTTTTATGAACAACAAAACATGTAAAAAAGTATGTCACATTTACACTGTACTAGAACCTCGTTCCTAGAATCCCCGATTGACCACTGAGGTGAGGCTTTCTAGTCCCCCACGTAGACGGCCGTCACACGTTCCTTCCCCACGAACGTCTGTGGGGAAAGGAGGCTCGACGGAGCTCAAGAACGTCTGCGTGGGGGGCTACAGGATTACAGTCCAGAAGCTCCGTTCCAATGGCATATTGGACGAGCATGGTACTACCTCGTTCCCAGGGTAGGAGAAAGAACCTGGGAACGAGGTGAGAAAGCTAGAAAGCGCCAAAGCGCAGGCCGCCAGGGAGGGGAAACTGGGGGCAGGGGGGAGGAAAGGAAAGAGGCTCCTGCGTTCTTCACCGCATTACCCTAAAGGCCTGTTTATAACTGCTAGTCATTTTTTTACCTGGATTAGATACAATCATCAGAATTGTGTTGGGGCTGTACTTTACCAATTGAGGAATAATCCCTATAAGAAAAATCACAATCACACTAAAGGTAAAATAACAAATTGATAGTTCGTTGTACATATTGGTTAACACAATCCCGCGTGAAGTTTCAGCGTATGCGAAACTACCAGGAACAATAACCAGCACATAGCAATCTCTTTCGGCTCTTCCCTACAATATTAGAGCAACACGGAAAGCTTATTCCCGGGGAATCAATGAACGCTTTTCATTCAATTAATTTTATTCTTGTTTCCTATGTGAGCCTCTTGATACCTTGAGCTTTGATGGGTTGTGTTGGTTGCATGCCTTTGTTGTTAATTGATAAGAGTAGAGTTAAGACTATGTACAGCAACATTGATTAACCCTTCCAGTCATCATTTTCTGAGGATAGAGTATCTATGTTTAGTTCGCAAGGTCTTGGATGTGGACTACAGGCCATTCCATTTAATATCCACACCCCCCACTGATGAGAGTCTTTTTGCCTGACCCCTTCAGAAAATTATTTCTGGGGTTACCCACTTCAGAAATTAACATTTATTCTTAGATACCCTCAGAAATAGTATTATTTTCGTTCTGTACCCTTCAGACAATATGGCGATGTTATTTTTCCCGTTCTGAAAAGAAGTTGTACAGTACTCTTCAAAAGAAAAACTATATTCACCACGCCTATATTGATGATGTAGCTCTCCATTTATCGCTTCAGAAATTTATTCTTGGTATTTGCACCCTTGTCAAATTGACATTTTTGGACAACAGCCTCCTTCAGAAAAACCACTCTCCTAATACTGACCCCTTCAGAAAATCTCATTTATAGAGGGGGTGTGGATATAAAATGGAATGGCCCTACATTAAGTCCCTTTATGATGCGTATTGACCCCTTTATCTTTTGACACATTAAGACTGTCTTGAGGCAGTCAACTATTCTGCAGACTGTCACATAACTTTCCCAAGTCTCCTTATAAAGCGGCCTTTTGAAAGGGAAGGGGGAGTGGAGGAGAAGGAAAATCAGCTGCACAAGTGCACACAGGAATCCCACGCCCCACATCCAACACTATACTTTGGCTATATTATTATCTTACCCTTGAAGATGTTAACATTTCTCTGTACCAGGTCCCTTCTGCTTTCTCCTTCCTTCTGACGTGATCCAGCAGTCACAATGCACAAGTTGGAGTTAGCAGTTACAGCATAGTCTTGGAAGGTTAAGGGATTATTATAGTTTTAGGTGCATATTTGGTGCTGATTCAGGTGTTTAAAGGGCACACTTATTTGAAACTGTTACAGCCAACACTAGAAGAATGGATAAATTCCATAGTGACAGGATAAGCATCAAATATAATTTTTAACCTATATACCATTATTGTTCATTCTATACTGGGGTGTGGAAGTTGGAACTATAGTCAAGCTGTTAGAGTTCTGTATGATTAAGAACAGCAATAATATATTTTAAAAAGTTTACCAGTGCTGGCTTGAATGTCAACATGCTTCACAAATCGCTGACAGTGTTGCATGTCTAACAGCTCTCCCTGCAACTTGTCCTTTAACATGTCAACTAGTGCTATTTCTCGGCATATTCCCTAATGAGAAGTTGTACACAGAGGATCATTATGGTATACGCTGGACATACACATCTGACCATGGAATAAAAGAGCTATAGTAATGCTTTTGACAAAATTTTATATAAGAGTGATAACTGATGACCTATTGACAAGTCTTTCTTTTTTCAGGGGTGGAACAGGTTAACAGTTATTTGTTCAGATGTTTTCTGAGGGGAATGATCAAGTTGCTTGAAACAAATTACATACCCACCCCTCCCTTTTACTCTCACAGCCTTGAGTTTAATTTTCACTTCTGATTAAAGACTGGCAAAGGCTTCTATTGTAGGTCACATTCCAGATGTCATGAGTACAGCTCATTGTTTTACCTGTAAGTACCTAGGCCAAACAGTTTCCCCTCAATCTAAAACAACATATTTTTGGCTGTTGATCAGGGCTAGGAGGTACTTTTGTCCCTGTTTATGATATCTGAATGCAGTATGGTGCCTTGATGTCTGATTTGTAGAGTGTTGAAAATACTGCAAATGTTGGCAGAAAATCAGTTCTGACAAGTGAACAGAGCCTTCTAAGGAGCCCATAAACCAAAGCAAGCAACTTCCATACTAGGCCTACGCCATGGCGTTTTTATAGACAAGTTTATTTTTAGACACATTTCAGGGCACTTTTTCCCCGCTCAAATAGAATCTCCACCACATCTATGAGCCCACTGGAAGTAAAAGATATAAAAAAGGAAAACTAAATATTATTAAAAGGCAAAAATTATCATTTTTAGGTCTGTAGGTTTTGCTGACTAGTTTGTGGAATTTAAAAGATATTCACAATTTGCGCAAAACCATTCTAAAAATAAACTGGTCCGTGAAAATGTAGTGACCCAAGCACATGGAAGTTACTCACTCCGGGTTATAAGCTCCTGGCCTTCTTTACCAATTGACGCATGATAAATACACAGTCATTACCTGCTGCATTATACTGTAAGCACAAGCCATCCCAACTTGTCCTACTCCAACAATAGTCACTTTCCTGACAGTTAAAGTTCCCTCCTCTTCAAAAACTCTCTCCAGTAATTTTTCCTGTACGGTTGCCATGGCAGTAGCAGCTCAGTGTTTATTTTTAACCTGGGTTGTATGAAAAAAGTCCACTTAATTTGATGGGCACTTTATATACCCTTGATAAATTAGCTACAGCGTGCAAAGAAAGTTGTGTCTGATAGCCTGGGGCTAATGGATTTTGCAATCAGGCTAGTGAATCCTGTTCTTAACTTCCCCAAAGGGCAAGTGTTTTTTTGGGGGAAATTCAAAATACAGAAGGACTGTAATCAACGTTATTCATCAAAAATTTTTTGGGGTTACTTTACAGACTCATGGGCTCGTAGATAATAGCAACAACTTGCCTGAATGGCTAGCCGTAAGACCCACTTTCTTTGCACCCTGCACTATTTAAAGTTTAAACGTCCAAATTAAATTTTCTTATCCAGAGAAGTTTTATACTACTGTCCAGAAAAATGTCATTTCTTCACAGACATTATATCGCTTAAAGTGGCCTGCCCCGCGTGCCAGTGTATCTTGATAAACACATGAACTGTCATAAACCTACCTGAGATGGTGTTTCAATAATTTAATATTGGACCTCACAGGCAGCTTTTCAGTAAAATAACGAACCAAAGCTTTTCGTTAAAATATAATCAAGATTCTTCAGTCTCCTGCATGCAGATTTATGAAACCCGGAAGAAATAAAATCAAACGTGGCAAACGTCTACAGGATTCCAGCGGCCTGAAAACGCAGCTGTCACGTTGACAGCTAGCTTTTGAAAGAAAACAAAACAGCTAGCCATTGTATTTGCTAACCCCTTTTCGGGGGGGCAAAGTCCCTTCTTTGGTCTGTACTTCACAACAACAAAAAAACTGCTCTTATTCCGCGAATTTAAAATCCTAAACTAGATGTTTGTCACCGCATGAATTCCCTGCCGTTGTTTACAAGGAAGTGGGTACACTCAGAGAACAAATTATGTAATAAAGATAAAATTACTGCCTCCCACCAAAGTTTCTGTTAAGCCATGTATTGTTCAAGAAAACATTGAAGATTGGAATTCGGCAGCATACTGTCAACCGCATGAAAACTGAACAAATTCAAAACTAAACACTGCTGAACAGAGAGAGCGAACATATGTTTACATCAGCAGCATCAACTGCTCAAAGTGACGGTGCTGTGTGGTAGCCATCAACTGTTTGACGCCAAGGCAACAAACTGAGAACACTGTATTTCCGACAATAAAATATGAACATCATACCTGATGTGCTTGTCCACCCCAAATGGATGCTGTATTTGTGATGGCGATGCTTTTAAAAAATGCAAATTCTAGCCGGCCGCCTTGAGGTCATCAAAGTTTGGCCTCAAATATAAAAATATGCACTCACCTGCGCTGTCACAGTTCAAGGGCGTGACAATTAGCTGCAAAAGTCACGCGATCCACAGGCTTCGATTTCTATTGCAGCTATAAGGGGAACGCTCAAAATCGGCGACTGTTTTGTGTGATAAAAATGTTCTTTTCTCATTGAAAATTATGTCTGGTTTCCGTGGTGTCTATTTTGAAAGGAGTTGACGAGAAGAATTATTGGTTTCTCTTCAGCAACCGCGCAAGATCTGGTAACGAACTGATAAAGTCAGCGGTAGCTCCCATGAGAAGCAGATGGTTGATGCAAGCAGTGCAAGCCAGGAAGTGAAGCGCTCACCGGTTTTTTCGCTGCATAGCATCGACTAACCATTGCAACTTTGTAGTGTTATTATTGTTTCTCCTTTCGTCCATTTCTCCCAACAGTTGACAGCCTTTAGTGATATTTTAAAGTCATGCCTCCACAAGAAAACGAAACTGCAGATACAGCGACGAGCAGTCAAACCGAAAGCGATACGGGACCGCCGGCTAGCCCTAACTGGGCTGCGCTTAGAGTAAGTATGAAATATTTATTTTATAGTATCGTAAAATCAAACAAATGTGTCAAAATTACAAAGCTAAAGTTAACTGTTTACTCTACAGAACTATTCTGGTACTTTTTTTTTACTGAATTTTGCCCGCAATTTCGATCGATGTGAAGAGGCGGCTTTGTTTCATTTGAACTTTTAAAACTTGGGTGATTATAATATTGTTTTTCTTTGATATCTGCTGTCATTGAAATTCGACCAAATTATTTTTGCTCTTTAATCAGCATTAACTTCACTTTGCTGGGACAAACTTGTCACGAACAAACATGGTAATTTTTTTTCGATTGCGTGATAACGTGATCGATCGTCGGTTGTTTCTTACGCGTACAGTTGCTCATAAAATCACTGTCTGTGTCATCATATTATATGTTTTATGCAAACTTCAGCATTTCAAAGTGTCAGTTGTTACGAAAACTGATCGAATGCGAAGTTTTACATTAACTGCATATCTTTTTTGTATTTTATAATGGAAAAAGTAATGACTTTTGATGGTTTTGGTGCTGTATTCTTTTTCTGAAGTGTGCTATTTTATAAAAAAAAATGACCCTGTTTTTTTTATCTAGCACTATAGTTCATGTTTCTGTTTTCGATTAGAGAGCTAAAGCTACTCAGACGTATAGTACTTGTAATTGACAACAATTTATGAAAGTAAATCATGGGGAGTTTGCTTGTCAGAGTCCCACTAGGGAAATAAATTTATTAGTCTTTGTCTTTAACTCAGTTTTTCCCTATTGAACATATTGCCATTAAGCCAAATCATTAATTTTTTATAGTTCTAAGGGAACCCTATTTTAACAACTAAATTTAGCAGATCCTGAATAAACTTTGGGTCGACTGTAAGGCTGATTTCTAAAATGGGTTAATTTTTACAGGCATTGTGTTATTGTTGCGATAGTAAGCTATCATCATAAAAGACTGTATAGTGGAAAGGTGTACTGCCACCAAGAGCAATCAATAAAAACCCCTGTATGATAAGTGATGTTCCTGAGTAAACCACAGAGATAACATTATGGTGTATTGAAAATTGATTAATTTGGAAGAAGTACTTTGACTTTATTGAGACTGACTTTTCCGTCCCCCTTTTGCAAAATTATCCTCTGAAATATTTTTTCCGTACATCTAGTATTGAGACATGAAATGAAATATCTACTATTGGCCACATTTAATGGTCTTAATGGGATATTAGTTGAGCAAAAATATATATGATATTACCATCATCTATCACCTTTTATTGACTTCTTACGAGGTGACAGATTTAGTCCAGTTTGATTGGGTGTTCTTGTTAATCCTAAAATAAAATCAAGATACATTGTATTTTTTAAGTCTAATAGGCAATGCTCTATTTTGTATCATTCCTTCCAATCCCAAGAAGAGAGGGCGGTTCCAATCTCAAATGAAAATTTTAGACATTGATTTTTGGCATGAGTGGGTCCTAAATTTTATTTTGGAAGAAAAAGAAAATCAGAAAGTACCCTCAAAATGAGAAACAGCATAGACCTGCTTAAAATTTGATATATAACTTGCCCTTGTAGCGAAAATACTCGCGCGACTAGAATTTTATTCTGTGGGCACCTCATTTTCCTTTACCGAGACCTTAACTACTCTACAGCCAACTATGAAGCAGTTCTCACTAAAAATTATTTTCACGGTTTAACAAATGTATGTTGTATTAATTGCAGAGATATCTTTTGGACAACAAGATTGATGCAGCATTATGGCTCACAAGAGTATTTACCATCATAAGTGCAATTCTTTATTTGCTGCCATTCTTTAGGTATGCCTGTTTTCCTCTTGAATTTTAAAGTGACAGCCGAAAAAAATACCAGTATCATTTTCTGGCAAAATATTGAGTTTTATAAAATACATACAGTGATTGTACTACTCAGTAGCTGTCAACTGAATTATCAACACAAATGTTATTTGTACATAATTTATGAAAAACAGCAGTCCTGGAACTTTCATAAGAAACTGCACCTTAACACTCTTTAAATCACAGGCTTGAGACTTCTATTCACTAGTACTTTTTGATTTATTATAAACTAAGAAGTGTTTGCATCAAAAAGAAAGGGCGGTATTACATTTTGACCTTGGAAAGTTGACTCAAAGTCGCAAGTCTTTAAAAAAATCTCATGTAAGCAAACTCCTTTGAAGTGTTTCTATTAACCTTTGATTTATTTATTTCCTATGAGTATTGATGCTTTTTTCCTCTAGCCCCATGTTTAGCTATAACTGCTATAAAAGAGCTCTAATAAGTTCAGCGGCGACGTCAGCGTTAAGGTTGCACCAAAGGCTTCCAGTAAGTACATCAACATTATCGTCATCATCATTGCTTTATCATTATGATTGCCATTTTCTTCCGACTACAAAATTTTTCTTGTTGAACCTCCTGCGGACAACCACGCAAAATGCCAAGATTTTGCAGTTAAGTGGTCACCTATTAGAGGTGATTAAACATAGATCCACATATAATGCCTTGTTTCCAGCACCATCTCTCGCTCACCTATTTGAGCCACCCAATTGTCCTGGATAAAATCGAATTTTGATCTTTTCTGTGCTTTTGTATGGAATTTAGCCCATTTTCCCCGAAGATTTGAATTTTTTAAAATATAGAACCGTTTCTGGGCATTTTTGCGTGTATTTTATCACTCTGTTTTGTCATCCCGTGACACTTTCCTTATTACGGCCACCTTTCTACTTGTACAACAGCCTCTTCCCTTACATCCTTGTCCCTAAGTCACCATTATAGAGGTTTGATGATATTTGAATCAAGACTGAGTTCAACCTAGGTCAAATCATAATATGTTTTTTTTTTTTGGTCTGATCCTGTAACTATTTAAATTCAGCTTCTTAGGTAATCCTCTCAGACTAAGTTCTTTGTTTACAGTGTGTTTACATTATGTCATTTTTGTTTTCTTTCTTTTTTTGTATTTATTTGCAGAGATTCCAGTTTTCAAGGGAATATTTGGGATTGTTATTTGCTGAAGACAGCTGTCATTACCTTCTCTTCAGTGTTATGTTTATCAGCTCTCATCCAGTTACAAGTATCCTTATTATTTAATTCAGAAAAGAGATAAAGTTGAAAAAAGATGCTTGCAGCTAAGTTGTATTAATTTGTCGTCCTTTTTAGGTCCAAATGTGACTTTGGTTGAAACACATTTCCAGTTCACTACATAATGGGTACCTGGAAAAACACATCAGTTACTAGTAATAATCTTTTAGAATTTCCTTTCAAATTTTGTTGTGTTTTGATGGGGGAATCCGACATAACATAACCAACATGATGCCCAAATCTTCAGCCTGTCTCTGCTGTCCTGATGTCGGATGAAAGACTAGTGAAAGGAAATAGCTTTTCAAAATTATGTGAAAGATTTTTGGCAATTAATATTAATGGATCCAAACCACCATCATAGAAAGGATTTCCTTTGTTTCTTTTCATGAAGTATTGATGAGTTAAAAAACAGAAATATCAAGGGTAAGTTAAGCAACATGTTTCATGCAGCCCTTGAATGCGTTAGCTACGACACTGACATTTGACTGTTTTAATGAAATTTTACATTCTTATCTCAGTTTTTCCTTGACAGCACATTTCTTTTGCAGTTATTTTAATTCCTGTTGCACTGTTTGCTCTTCTCCATACTGTGTCATTTACTAAAAAGTTACTAGATGTAAGTAGATTGACCATTTCCCCTTTATATTCCGAGAGACAGAACTCATCACTCTTGATTCTTCTGGAAGATTTTTTCTAGCCTGTTCAAGCCGGAAGGTATTAGGGAAGGCAAAGTAAGAATACTAGAGTAAACGTTACGTGGTGGCTGAAGAGAGATGATGCTTGCTCGCTTTTTCACCAATCATTTGCTTTTTCGCTCATCTGCACTGACTGAGTTATGTAGTACAATGTCCCACACTTAACTCTCTTGTTTTGAATGTTTTCCGACCACTTCCCCTATAAGGATGCTTTGGGGAAAAGAAGGAGAATTTGGGAATTTAAGAGGAAAGAAAACTTGCTAGAGTTAGCAGTAGTTAAAGAAGAGTGGTTGCAAGATCTTCCCTTGTAGTAATATAAGTTATTTTTACATTTTATGATTTTTTTACTTTAATAGATTCTTGGAAGTGGTGGTATGCTAAACATGTCACTTGTGAGGTAAAGACTCATTTTTGTGTTTAAATTTAGTGTCCTTAATTTGGCCAATCAGGTTCAATTTTCCTTTGTTCATTGACTGGCCCTCTAAGATAGAGTCAAAGAATTACTGGAGAGGCGTCAGTTTAAGAGAAGTGTCCATTATCAGAGATCTTTGTGCACTCATCATTTCACAAGATTGGGGCAAAGAAACAAATCTGAGTTCCAAATCTCACAAGTCTTGCTGGGTGTTTTGTGCTCTGACCACTGAGCTATGGAAGAGCTTAGCATCATTCTTGTTATTTTTGTCTGTAGGTCAGCTCAAACAGCTATTCAGAAAGTACAGACACATCAGCAAGGACTTCTGAGGTTCATCGCCTGCACAGAGATCATGTTAATGCCTGCTGTTGTTTTAATGATGTTGAGGTGTGTATGACATTGTTTGAAGAGGCTCTGCTGAGGTAAAATTCCAGCAAGCGACATGACCTTGAAATAGGACATAAGACTAGATGAAATGGCGATAAATGACATAAAGATAAGTTGAATGCCGACAGGGACATGGCCTAACTCCTCAAAACGTGAAATGACCATTTTTGACATTCAGACAAGGGACATTATGTACCCACTCCTCCCCCCACCCAAGAGGGCCCCTTTTAAGCACTTGCCACTGGCTGGCCTGTTGTGTTACAGCTGTTAAGTCACGTCATTCACTTGTCTATTTTTAACACATTTTAATTGCTGTGAAAATTTATGGTGCTACTGCTATGTTTCTTATTCTAAATAATAATGAAATTTGATGAAGAAGACTGCAGATCAATCTAGGTTTCTGGGAAACTGCCTACCTACCCCTCCCCTAAGCCAACATTTTGCCCTAAGTGAGAAGTAAGTGATAATGCTGGATTAGGGGAGGGGTAGGTGGGCAGCTTTCGAGTTTTCCTACTTCTTTTTTTTTTCATTTCAGTGGTCAAGTTGGCATTATTATTCCATTTGTTTACTATCGATTTCTTGGACTCAGATATGCGTCCAGACGAAACCCTTACACCAGGTTTGTAGATGACATGAAATAGAGTAATAATGCAAGTGTTGTTTACAGGGGCCCATTAAATGTATTATCCAATCAGATTACAAGAAATGTTTAAAATGGCCTGGAATTCACGGTAGTTTCCCTATAATAACATTGCTTGATATTGGTTAGCAATAATATTATGTGCATACAGTTTCGATCATTAAGACTCGAGTTAAACAAGCTGTTGATTTTTTCTGCAGGCATCTATTTGCTGAACTAAGGCAATCAGTTCAACAGCTTGTAGGTCATCCTCGCTGTCCTAGCTTCTTACGTTCGCTGGTGTTCAGAGTCACTGCCTTCATTGCAAATCTGGCTCCTCCAGTGATGACAGCACCACCACCTCAGGCTTCTTCATAATCTGGAAAATAATATAATATTATTGAATAAGCTGTTCCTTAAATATTCATCAACTAAGTTAAGAATGCTTTCAATTAGTCAGAAGTGGCTGGCCAGGTCAGCCAGTCATAAAGAGAATTCCACCATTTGTTAGGACTGTCCAGCACCAGATCAGTCTATTTCTAAAATAGCAGGCAGGTTAGTAATGTTTTTTTTTTTTGTCTGGCCAGTCAGTTCTGGCTATTGGTAAGCTTCCTAACTGATAAAATCATTGAAAATTAAGAATGCATTATGCACTTTCCTTGATTTTGCAGGTTTTTAAATGATGTAGTACTATTGTCTTGGTTGCATATTTTTAAATTCTGTGTACTCCTTAAATGGCCTGCCGAATGGTTAATGTGGAAGTTACTCTACAAATTATTGTCAATGTTGTGGTTACTGTCATTCTTAAATCAAATTGCTTTTCCCATGTTTGAAAGTCATCATTGGTATTGTAAGTCACTTTGCCCAAAGAGAAAGGGAAATAATGTTTGAGTCAAGGATAAAATGTAACCACCACGTCAACAAAAATTGTCCAACAGTGTCAGAGTTTTAAGATAGGAACATTGTTGTCATAAAAAGCATTTTTTGTTCATAGTGTTGAAATGAATGCTATGTTTTTTGTTCTTGTAAACATTGTGAGTAAACTAATAAATTATTTTATTTATCAGTCCAAATCAATGTCCTAACCCATGTTAATGCTACAACCCAATGTAAAGCATCTCTACAGTAATGGGTACGAGAATAATTTTCACCCAGGAATTTTCAGCCTGCTAAAGGATCTTTGTGGATAACATTTTATTTGGTTTTTACTCTTTCTCCAGCTGTGTTTTATTTGAAATGACAAATGTAGTTGTTATTATTTATACATGCTGTACTTGAAAGTTTCATTAAATAGAAAACAGATTTGAAAATATTTTCCTTATTTTGAGATCTCTAAAACAGGTTGTGTAAATTTTTTTTCCATATTGTGATAATGAATTCTTTAGCCTGTGTAGCTGGCAGTTTTTTGGGTGAAATTTTCTTTGTGTACATCATATTTATACAGCCCCGCAAGGTCAAACAAAAAAAAATGATGCCTTCTCTCCTCGCCCCTCGCCTCCCCCACCCCCCATTGTTTTCTGGTTCAACCTCAGTTCAGCTTTTGTGCGGTTTATCTCTAACTTTACGAACCACAAAAGAAAAAACAAACAAAAAAAAACCACCATCTATGCAGGCTGTGAACTCTGAGACAAAAGTAAAACTTAAACTTGTAATGAGAATTTCAAGCTAAATGAAGCTTTAGTCAGACCATAGCTTGCACCATTGTTTGTTTTACTTCTTGCTGTAAGAGTACTTATTCTTGAAGCGTTTTGTATTAAACTCATTTTTAACCTCAACCTCACCCAAAGATGATTCTCCTGACTAGTTGTTGGAGTTTTTAAGGTGGAACTCACTGACCCAGAGAGTAAGGGGTGATCACTGTTTAAAAACCCCTATCTTTTCATTGGCAAGTTCAACAAACCTGTTAGAAACAATACCAACACAACTCAGTGGAGGGAATAAAGGTAATAAATAAATAAGGGGTAATATGTGGAGGTTACTGTGGGTGGCAAAATGACTTGAAGATTTCCTCTGCAACACAACAGTACAAAAGGACTGCCAATCACTTTGCTGTAATCTGTGGAAAATGTATGACCATAATCCCAACATTTGGAAAAATAACTATATTTTGTAAATAAAATATCACCCAGCTGACATATTTTTTCCATTATAGACAAGAATATATTTTTTAAAAAGATTGTTCTGACTTTATTTCATCAGTCTTTATTGTCTTAAAAGGAAACAACATTGCTTTGTAACAAAGCAGCAAATCCAACAAGAACTTTAAGAAGCTAGTTAAACACTATTACTTGGTCTTCGAAAAATATATATAAATTTATCAAACTTTCTAAAATGCAGTTTTTGCTTGGTTGCTGTCCCTGCACCTCCTCTACAGACTGTGCTAATCAACAGAAAACCTGTTTTTATTCGTGAAAAAATCACAGTTATTTGGTTGTCTCTAAGTGAGAGCACTTTTGGAAAGAACAACAGTACTGCTTTAACTATGTACAGTTGTCAGTATGATATGAACCTGACAAGTAAACAATGATCATCATGTGGAAAGACGTGGCGTGACATGGACTAGGCTGATGTGGGCTGCTAACTTGTGACACAAATTGTTCCTTTTCTTTGAAGCTCAGATAAAAAAGAAGGAACGGCAGTATTTCTCTTTTTTTCACCTTTGTCCTCCTCATCAACTAAGTTCCCAGCCTTGACAACAAACTAGAATTCACCTTGTGTGGAGATACAAGGACACAAACTCTGTTTTGGAATTACCCTATGAACAAATCAGAGAGCCTCTGCTTGCAGGGTATTATGAAATGAGAGTAGATGGAAAGTAGAAGGCCACAAAGATTGTCCTATTTGACAAGTGTTAAGTGAAGTTATTTGCCAGGAACAGACAACTAGAACAAGATGCAACTTCTTTCAAGAGAGTTGACCAAAATTTTTATTCCAAGTGTAAGTTTTATCAAATCTTGACTTTGAAAACAACTGGCCTTGCAGCCTGTGAGGTACTCTGAGTCCTGGCAGTCATGGTAGACTGGATGGGTGCTCTGTGATTTGCCCCTGCAGAGACACTACTTGGCAGCGGCTTGAGAGTTGATTTTGCCAGGGGTCGCAGAGGAGCAAGTGGAGCATATCTGGCAGGAGGAGGGGAATATAAAGATGCTGACGGTAATGTGTCTAACTTGCACTCCATGGGTTGGCCATCAAGTTTGCGGTTATGATATCTCCTAATTGCCAACAGTGCATCATTTTTCTGAGCATACACTACTTCGGCACATCCCCTACCAAGCATTTTACAGCTCCTCAATCCACCAACTACACCAAACAGTTCCTCAACATCTTGTTGTGTAACTGCTGGATGCAGATTAGATACTGTTACCCTTGTGCTTGATGAAGCTTCTTCCTCTTTTCCAGGCAATGAGGTTTTTCCGCTCTGTGAAGTGTTTGCCTGCAAACTATGGTCCAAATTTCCTTCATAAACTCCGTCTCCAAAACTACCTCCGTGTAGCTGAGATGCATTTGATGCATACATAACGCTCTCTTCAGCTATTTGACTATACAGTGCATGTTCGGCTTCTTTTTGCTTTCTCTTAGCATCTCTCTCTCGCTCTCTTTTATACGCTTCGTTTTGTCTCGCGCGTTTCCTCGCCTCGTGTTCTTTTTCTTTCCGCTGTGCATCTTCGTTTTTCGCCGTAATGGTAAGAAATCCTGCAATCACATTTGCCTGTCGATCCATGTCCTCTTTACGTCTCTCCACCTTTGCTGTAATGCGGATGGAATCTCCCATCATTGTGGCCATGCGATCAGGAGGTACCTCTTGTCGAGCAGTAACTTGAATATTACCACCAGCAGAAAGTGTCAGTGACCGATTTTGTTGGTGTAACTTTTGCCTTTGTTCCTTTCTACGCTCCTCGAGCAAAGAAATTGACCGTACAAGAGGCTTATTCTGGCTTTTCTTCGTAGCGATTTTCTGTCTTGCATCAACCATATTTCCTCCCTCCGTCTTTCGACTGTTTCTTGGACCTTGGTTCGTCACCCTACTTGTTTGAGATAGATTTGTCCGCAAATCTCTCGTTCTTTTCGGATTTTTTAGCCCCCCAGTTCCTACGCCAACTTTTCTCCCACTCTGTAACGTTTTACCGTTTCGACTTTTCTTACTATACATATTGAAACTTGCACCTCCCCAACCGATACGATGATATTTTGAAGATTCTGTTCTTCAGAACACGAGAGAGGAAAACGCGCAGGGAATATAAAAGAAGTTTCTATTGGCTAATTTTGACCAATAAAATGCTGTCTTAAAATGCTGTCCCTTCATTGTGCCCGCAAGCAAATTCCTAGCGGCTTTGTTAAAAGTGATACTGTCATGTAAGCTACAGTTGAAGAGTCATAGGCTATTTCCAGTAACAAGAAATGAAAGCTTCCTTTGATCTGTTTATTTTTCAACCAGTGCTTGCTGTAAGAGTAAGAGCATCATGACGGATCTACTGCTGCTACTGGCAAACAAGACAGATGCACATTGTCCTCCACTCACCAAACCAACCGTCAAAGATGACGTGTTGGGATGCTCGTACACAAATTGGGCATACGCTGTGTTTGCAACAGTTGCGTTAATTATTGCGGCAATACCATTTGTTGCCTTTATTTGCTACGTGCAGAGGCGAGTGAAGAATAAACATCGAGCAAGAGCTCTTGCACACAGTACCAGTTATGAGAGCTCTGGTGCATATCCATACCAGGTTGGTTTAATAACATTACAACCTTGTGTAGAGCACTTCCTGCATTGATTTTAAAGAGCAGTCGGTATTTAAGTTCAAGAAGAGAATCATCAGTGCTAGTTGCATCAAAAGTAAAAACCTCCAGCCCTTCTATAGCTTCTTGATTCCAAGGGAGAGTGGGGTGCTGTCAGCTGTACATCTTTGTGCCTGGGTGAAAAGATTTAGCCTTTTCCTTAAAAAAAATACCATAGTATTCTTAAAAGTTAAGCTTTTAGCCTTGTAGTCAGGAAAAGTCATGCTCCAGGTTTTCTTTTTAATTGATGGACGCTAAATGGCCATTTAACAGCTTGCCGTAAATTTGCATAATTATTACAACAGGAGAGGAAAGAAGTGTGGTCAAGTGGCCAGTGCATCAGACTCACAATCATGGTGTCCCAAGTTCAAGTTCCACTTCAACCTGCTGGCTGTATTTCTTCTTGCTTATCCCAAGTTCAAAATCGCTGTGCAACAAGCGTAGACTGCAGACTGGCAGATAAACGAAGTAAACATTGTTGTAGAATGCTCTAACAGATTCCCTATCCCTAAACTAAACTTTTAAATGACTGAAACTTTAGGGATAGGGACTCTGTTAAAGCATTCCGCAACAAAGTTTTCCTCGTTTACTTGTCAGTCTGCAAGTCTGCAGTCTGCGTTTGTCGCACACCGGTTCAAAATCCCTTGTCATGCTTGTAAATGGCCAACTGGTTGTCTCCTGCCAGTTGTGATTCTTAACCTTGTTATTTTGACCAAAAGTTGATTTAGTCATGGATTAATCAACAGTTTATTTTACCCCACTTTGTCTCTCTTTACCCAGGTTTACAAATGGGTACTGGGGACATACTGCTGGGGCGTAACCCTGTGATGGATTAGCATCCTGTCCAGGTAGGAGTAGCAATACTCCTAGGTATGCTTCATGCTAAGGAAGTGGGATATAAACTCTGGCCGTTTGGGCGGTTGGCTTGTATGCATCTTTACTTTACCTTACCTTACCTTTTTTTTTTTAGCCTCTTCATGGTGGTGGGCAACGTAGACTTGCCAATTATGGAGCTATAGACAGTGGTACAGAGGAGCAACAAGCTTTAAGATGTGAGTGACATGTAGTGAAGTGAATGCTGAGATTATCATATTAACAACATTTTTTTAGTTAAAGGAGTTAAACTGCTATTCACAAACAGTGTACTGTCAGATGCTGGTTACTAAAAACAGCCACAAGATTTAGTAATAGATAATTACATGGCTTTCAATGAACATTAATATCATACTAGGTGATACCAGATGGTGATACCAGAGCATAAATCAGTGCTCAATTTTGAAGAGTTCAAAACTGAAATAATGTAATGATAACATTTGATTAAGCCCCATAATGTTTCATTCATACTTTCTCAGTAAATACTTGAAAGAAAAATTAATGCAAAGCATAATAATAATTAAGAGAACTATGCAATTTGTAGGGACAATAAGATTTGTATGTGTGCCTTATGTAAAGAATACATGATCTATACACAGACAAAATGCCCTTTTTGTTTTAAAAGCCAATTTCTTTGCCTTAGTTGTATGTTAGTTTTTTTTTTGTTTTCAGCACCAAGCCATGCTTCCACAGCAAGTCTGAGTGACAGACAAAGCCATCTAAAGGACACTACAAGTGTGGCATCAAGTCGGGCAAGCATCATTCCTACCTACGATGATGTTTCTTTGAATCAGCGTAATGCAGCAGCAAATAAAGCTGAGAGGAATGGAGTTAATCAGTCTACTGGGCCACCACGGAGGTCATCAAGGTCATCACACTTGTCACTTGATAGTCAGGAAAAATCTGTGGATCAGGGAGGACAGTTTTATGACTCTGTTGATGTTGTGACAAATATCCCAAAACTCCAGAAACAGGCTGGACCTAAAGATGTGCCACCAGCTAAACCACCCAGGCTGCAAGTGTTGTACGATGCAAACTCTGGCACACCCGAAACTCATGTGTACGATGACGTGGAACAGTCTGAACTGGAAGGTAACAAACAACGTAACACTCAGCCACCATTAAATGGTACATCAGCAGTAGATGGGCTCAGTGCCGAACGTGAGGATACTGAACAAGCTGCCACTGATGATATTCGAGGAAATGATAATAACATGCACACTGAATCACCAGAGTATGCCACTTTGGAACCTTTACCAGACGCATCACCTAATGATAGTTACCCTACTAATAATTACGCATCGAAAAATGATCAAGAAAACCTATCAATAAGAGAACAGAAACAATGGTTACTGTCAGATGATAAACAGCCAACCACTGAAACAGAGGGAAGCCCTGTTTCGCAAAACAAATATCTTACAGTGCTTCCTCCTACTCCACCCAAACAGAATGAAAGTTTGGATGAAAATGCAGGCTTGCTTCAGTCCAATGAAGACTTTGATCAGATGAGTGTGAGTCCACCAGATAAATCAGTTGCCAAGTCAAGATCTGTAAGTTTGTCTTTTTTTTACATTTATATTTAGCTGTGTTGGGTCGGTAAAATCATTAAGATGTCACACCAACCGTAAAAATAAAAACAAAGACATAAATGAATAAAATACAGATATATCAAGATATAAAATAATGATATAAAAGTTACTATCATTTAAGAAAAGCTGATAACCTATATTTAAAAGTTTCTAAGGAGGTTGATGAAACAATGGCCTCAGGGAGGCAATTCCAGTCCACTATAGTTTTTGGTAAAAACGAAAATTTAAAATATCTTTATTTGCATATGGCACGCAAAATTTAAATTGATGGCTTCCCCTTGTGTGACTCTCAGAGTGTTGAATTAAATATTTTTCGGCTATCTATATCAATAAGACCATGAGTTACTTTATACGTAAGTGTTAACCTGGACTGCCTTCTTCTCATTTCCAGCGTGGCCCACCCTAAGTCTTTAATCATGTCCGTAACCCTACCATATCTATTATAATTCTGTGAGCAGAACCGTGCTGCTTTACATTGAACCCATTCCAGGGCACTGATATCTTTCTTTAAAAATGGGTCCCGGCAAGCCGCACTTGCATATTCTAGCTTCAGTCGTATTTGGGTTCTGTATGCACCTTCTTTTACATTCTTTGGACAATTCCATTGGTTGCATTGGTTGTGTTTAAATAGTAAATCCCTCTCACCCTGTCTTATTCTTCCCTTGACTTAACAGTTATACTCTGCGGGGTTGTCAAAATGTGCCCGCAACCGTCACCTTCACCAGCTACTTTAAGGTTTTTGCCGCCTGTAACCTGGGAAACACATATCCCTTCTGATCTGCATTCCCCTACCTGGCAAACACATATCCCTAGTGATATGTGTTCCCCCACCTAGGAAACACATATCCCTAGTGATATGTGTTCCCCCACCTGGGAAACACATATCCCTAGTGATATGTGTTCCCCCACCTGGGAAACACGTATCCCTAGTAATATGTGTTCCCCTACCTAGGAAACACATATCCCTAGTGATACGTGTTCCCCCACCTGGAAAACACCTATCCCTAGGGATATGTGTTTCCTAGGTGGGGGAACACATGAAACCACCTGAAAGCTTAAAATTTATACTTAGTTATTAATGTCATACAACTGTTTGAGCTACCTGTAGGAAACAACAAAAACCCCAACTTTCAAAGAAGGGGAGTAGGAGGGGTGTTAATTGCTTTCTTCGCTGAAGTTTCCCTATTTGAGGGCAGTGTCAGAACAATTTTGTCACTGATTGAAGTCACAACAGTTGAGCATAATAATAATAATATTATTATTATTATAATACTGCTAGAGGACTAGCCCAAAGGGACTATACAGGTACATGTTTTCTAACTTTGAGTATGCAGAGCGAAACCGTATGTATAGTAGATTTGATTCTTATTTTGATTGCAGTATTTTGAAGAATTGTTACTTGGAAAAGTGAGGAACATGCCTGCAAATAAAAGGAATGGGACATTTCTTCTTCGAGATTCTGTTTCATCTGCTGGTTCAAAGGTGAGGTGCATTTTACAGCAGTAATTTACTGAAATATATCAAAGCAAACAAACAAATGACAAAGGAGAACAATCTGTTGAGTGGAGGCAACTTCTCTGTGGATCTATCTTTATGTTATTACTCGTAGTTCCTTTAAAGTAGAAAGCAGTGCATTAGTTATTGTTTGTGTGTTTTTTGCAGGTTCTTACTTTGTACTGCTGGAAACCAGACTCAAACAAAGAGCTCTATAACTTCAAGGTTAATAAATGGCAATATATTCATCTAGTTGGTCTAGTTTAGTTTTCTTTTAACTCTGAATCAAATACCAATTCAAGGAACATCCTCAATATAATGAATTGATTCCTAGAGAGAGTGTGTGTTAAACTATGTTTACCGCTATTGATACGGTGTATACTGTGTTGTATTCAGGGTTGAAGACTCCATAGAATGGTAAACAAAAATTTAAGGGAAGAAAGGAGAGTTACATTCGTGCATTCAACTCTCAGTGACAAAAGGGTGGGACCAGCAATAGGGGTCCAAAGGGGTGTCTCAACTTCATTAGCATACATTAATTTTACCATACCTTATAGAAAGTCAAATTAAATGACAAAAGATGGGAGCGACCAGCTCAGATGTCCTTTTTATAGACTTAGGTGTCCGTGAAGAAAGAGTTACCGGTATAGAGCGTGTTCACTCGTGTGGCTCAGTAGCAGCTATGCAAATATATGGTAACAAAAGAAAGCTTCTACATAAGAAGAGTCAAACTTCCATGGCACTGGTTTGGGACACCAACATCGTGGACATAATGTCATGTGAAAAGGCTCTATATAAGCTTTGTGGCTGTGTACTGCTGCTGTGAAGGGAAGGATTTCCAAAGAGTTTGATCATGGATAGAGTGTAGAAGTCCGGCACATTAGACTGATCGGAAGAGTGTATCATTTGCTTGGAATCTGACCGTTGTTTCAGGGAGTTTGTTCTCTTGGTCCGGGTGAATTCAGGATCGTTTGATAATAAGTCGACAGGAAATTTTCAAATTTTATCCTCAGGATGGAAATGAATGCAGTTTCCAGTACAATGGAAGTGTAAATTGCTGAAAGTCTAGCAGATTTTTGCGTCATTTTGTAAGTTTTGGATGCAATATGCAACATGTGAGAGAATGTAAAGATTGTTTGAAGGGGTTCAGAGGTGGTAACACTTTACAATGTATTATAAATGACTTTTAGCCCATTTTGATCGATTTAATGTTTTTGTTTTCAGGTTTCTTTAACAGAAGATGGAGAAATTTACCTTCATAAGAGTTCAAGAAAGTTTTCAGAATTAAGCGAACTTTTGGAATTTCTGAGGTGAGAACCAGTAATCCTTGTACAAATTAATACAGTCAACTCTCTCACAGACGGACATCTGTAGCACCGGCACTTAATGATTCCGTCTTAGAAAGGTGTTTATCTTGTGGAGTGTTTAATGAAAGGAGTAAAGTAAGGCAGGCAAACTCTAGGTGTCCATTTCAGTCTCCGTTTTAAAGGTGTCAGTTAAGAAGGCGTTGGCTTTAATTTTTTCGGTGTGATTCGCTGGAAGTGAGAGTTGAGTAACGATTTTGCGAAACGTTCCGTATTGCACCCTAACTTGTTAAAACACTCCTTGAAAACAAAACGATTTAGTTTCGGACGAGTTTCCTTCCGAGTGACTTGATCTTTTTACAGGGCTTTATTTAAGTTATAAATACTCTTTGGTACTCTTTAAATTTAAACTCAGAAAAGACAACGTATACATCACTTTTTGAGACTTTAAGGTTAAAATGCACTCCTAGTTTAGAATCTGATCAACACGTTTTTCGTTTTTTTATTTTTTATTTTAGGAAAGACAAAGATATGCTTCCTTGTGTCTTAACAACTCAGGTCTTCCAATAATCAGCGAGGTGTTATTTAGTTATAGCTTAGTTTGTACGCAACAACTTCTCGCCACTTTTGCATAGAGCAAGAAAGTAGCCTCTGCTCGCATGTTTCTTAGATTATGAAAGAACGAAATATATCACTAGGTCAACGAAGAACGATATGATTAAAGTCTTGGACAAGTCTTTAAGCGCTTAACTAGCGAGAATTTAGCGGCACTCAAAGTTAAATTGGTTAACTTTGTTAAGTTAGTTAAATTCTCATTAGTGATTTATTCAAGCGAATTTCTTCAGTGGGTTTCTTTTTTTGTAAAATATCCAAACTTTTGCACGAGAAAAGCAAAATAAAATTTTCACTTGGTATACTTTGATTACAATTTTGTAAGTAATATATCAAGCATAAGACGCAGTGTTTCATCACCAGATGAGAGTTGAAAATGTGAGGCGCAGCAAAGTATTTTTGACGAACTTCGAGGTGTTTCATCTGGTGATGAAACACTGTGTCGAATGCTCGATATAGCGTCTCAAACAAAATGATTTTAGAAGGAGAAATTAAGGAAGCAAACTGAGCAGTTTATCATCCGATTCCCAAACTCTCATTAAAGATTAATTTTCTTCGTATTTTCTTTTTGAATTATTAATGAGTTTGAGAAATATAGAATGAAAAAACTAGCACAAGGCAGTAAATATGTAAGTTATTAGTTACTTTAGTCAAACTTGTAGTTATATATATAACCTGTTTCATAAGTTGATAAGAACGGCGCGAGAATCAGAACGGGGCGAAAACTAAGTGGTGTGGGAAGAAAAAAGCGGGGGCAGAGCGGACCTTCATTTCATTCGTTCTGTTTTTTTTCCTTTCTTCCTTTGTTTCATTTCTTTTCTTTTTGTTTGTTGCTGCGTTTTGTACTTCGCGCCGGCCTCACAGTCCTATTTCCACAGCCAAGAGAGATTGAGCTCTTGCCACAGGCCACAGTAGTAATGCGATAGAACAGAGGCAATGGAAACATAGTTAATTATTCATCAATTTTAATGACGCTTATTATCAATAGTTTACACTCCACACTAAAACTTGTAGGCGCCAAAATGGCTGAAAAACTATAGCATTTGGAAAGCCCGCAAGTTTATAGGGCTGTTTAAACGTAGCAATTATGAACAGAATGACTGGTTCATATGGACGCTGTGTAACAAACAACATTTATTGAACAAAGGTATGATGCATTAAAATTCAGGTGTGAAACTTAAGCAGTGTTCTTGACCAGATACAGAATCTCTAAAGAGGCAGCCTGCAGACCAGCGATAAAATGCAGACTTCCGGAAAAAAGGTAACTAACCAAATACTCTACAGTCCGCATTTTGCCTTTAGTCTGCAGTCTGCATTTTACGTAAGTAGCCACAAAGGCGGGAAAAAACGTGGGTGAATTCTATTTAGGTCCCAGGGCCCTCTGGTTCCCCGAACGGAGAAGAAAACAGTTTGAAAAAACTGTGGTATTTATCATCAGGCATGTTTTCTTATTTACGAACTTTTACGGAAAGTGTCTGGTATCCCACCAAATTTTAAAGTAACATTAGTAATTTTTTTTTCTTAAGTGCTTGAGTATAAGAATACTGTAATTTTATTCCATATATTTCTGTCTAGACAACAAGAGCTGATAGTGTACCGGATGGGCAATTTTTAGAAATGATTCAGTTAGGCACGTTTGCGAGCCTTATCAGCAATTTGGGTGAAAAGGGAAGATAACCCTAAAAAGGGGAAGAATCTTTGAATCAAAAAAGTAACGCAAATCCTGTCGAAGAAAAACACAACCACTCATAGTGACAATCAACGTCAAATAACTGTGGCCAGATTTTCTTCCTTGTCACATAAAAAAATCATTTTTAGCTTAGCAAGGTAATAAAGCCCAAGTTATTAAAATGTCTGAGTTTGTCTTAAAATAAATTTAGCTTTATCTTACCATAAAACTAAGTTATTAATTAAGTTTCTAAATGTTTCTTAGATTGCACAAAAACTCTGTTCACGTTTGTGGGATCAAATCTCTGTTTTGTAGACTAACTGTCAACTTCTAAGCAGCGTTCACCATATGTTAAGAGTTTAAATTTACATAACCTGGCAGTTTTTTGATAACATTGAGTTTAATTAATTTTAAAAGAAATTTGGTCGGAAAATTGAAACTAATATAATTTTTCTCGCAAGTGAGCATCTGGCTTGTGGCGGAGTTTTGTTCCTCGTAATTCCAAAAATTTGCAAGATTTTCCACAGGGGTTCTTGAAAAAAACAAAAACAAAAGTCTGAGAAAGGTCACACGGAGAAAAAGGTTAGTTCTGTTTAGCTACTGGCTGTGTTTTGTCTAACTGCAGATCAGGAAATGTTTTAATGCTCGAGTGTTTACCCCGGAAAGTATGCAATTATAGTTTTCGCAACATCTTTGGCTCTGTCACTGCTCAGACTTGAGGTGTTTTGACTAAAAATTCCTTACAACGATTCTTTTAAGGTTCTTTGTTCGCTCAACTGATGTATTTAAGTTGTCAGAGAGATATGAGTAAATAATTGGTAGAATCTAATCACCTGAAATTTTGACTTTTTGTATTTCAGTGTTGCGCTAAATACAATTAAAAGTTGATAAGACAACATATACACATATATATAAATACGTATGCCGTTTTGGCATACAGCGTCGATACAGCGAGAAACTTGTTACAAATGCGATTACTATTATCGCGTGTTATTTTAGTAAACTCTTTAATGACACCAGCAAAAATCGATAGTAGAAAGCATTGTGACATTCAGATGGTAACCCTGCAGAATGAATATGGTAGTATGAGACTAAATTGGACTTGGAATTGCCGTGAACGTTTGAGTAAAAAATCGATACATGCCAACTCTCCAAAGACCCAGACGATTGACGGAGATTCAAAAAGATTTAAAGCTGTTAAAAATTATCTCGAAAAATAGTACTGGACAAACAACACCACAGGATTAAAACTTCCACTTCGAACAGCCTGCGTAGCACTAAGCGTAGCAGGCGGTTGGAAGTAGTGGGCGAAAGAGAGAACGGGCGCGCGCGAGGGAGACACGCGAGGGGTCTCCTTCTCTCTCGCGCGTTTTTTCTAGGCTAACTTAGAAAAGTACCTCACACATGCACAAAATTTTCACAGGAATCCTCTTAAAATAACACAGCTTCGGACGTACGGTAGTTGTTTTGAATGAGATGTATGCATTTTAAGGTCTTCACAAACGAGTATTCATTTCAGGGTCTGATTAAGGTGACTCGTCATATTTACCCGACATACGTTGAAAAAAGTATAGGTTTGAATCGTTTTTCTGCACCAGTATTAACCATTGTCCTGCTCAAAAAGGGAAGTTGTCATTTCATCGAAGTAACATTTTACGAACCTCTTTCATCAATGACAAATAATAAAGTAAGTATGAATAGCCATGATGAAAACTAATTTAATCTTGAACAAGTCGTTCGTCTTAGGCCATCCCCTTTTTTTTCGTTCAGCGTCGAATGTATTTTCCGATATTGGGTCGGTCGGTCGGATTGAAAAAAAAAATCACAAGAAGTCTCGGAATAGGAGGCCCTGGTACCCTTGGACGACATTAAAAGTCAACTTTCACATAATTGGAGTAACAAAATGTACAATTTGCTGTAAAAAAATGTCCCTGTTTTTTTCTATGCTGTTACTATGATCATTTTTCAGATAGATTAAAAGAATTATTCCAAAAGATAAATGGTTTAACTGCGTCATTGTGAAAATGCCAAAAATTTGGGTCGGTCGGACGACGCTAAACGGAGAAAAATAAGAGGGGTGGCCTTAGACAAGACTTCTAACTGATTCAGGTTGTCGCTTACTATCTTTAAGAAGTTACTTGATTTTGAATCATTTCTTAATTCGGAGCAGTTAGTTTTTTTACTTTATTTTTTTTCGCTTTTTTTAAATATATAGTTCTTATATATTTTGACCAAAGAGCGACTTAAGAACTCCTCCACCTAATTCATTGAGAAAAACGCTGTGTGCAACTGCAAGCATGCCAGAGTTACAAAACCAGACTTTGTTGGATAATATTTGAATTTGCGTTTGCATTCAGCACCAGGCAACTGACAAAGGGGTTGTTGAGTTACAAAACCAGACTTTGTTGGATAATATTTTTGAATTTGCGTTTGCATTCAGCACCAGGCAACTGACAAAGGGGTTGTTGCTTACATGCAGTAACCAAGAAATATTTTGTGGAAATTAGCGCAAAACAAAAGAAACAGCATTCGGGAGCATTCAGCTCTAGCCTCCTCAATCTCGTTAAGACGAACGACGCGAGGGGAATCATGGGAAGGGAAAAACCCGAAGCCGCAATCTCTGAACACGTTTATTAAACAGTGCAAACAACGCAAATCACAAATTTGGCGCCAGTTTCGATTTTAATCTCGCCAAGGCCAAAAGTTTTTGTTGGTTTTATTCTCCCTAATTTCCGTCCCGACAACGAGTTCTCTAGCAGGGTTTATTAATTTTGTGTTCATTTTCTTTTTCTGATCTGTAAAAAGTTCTCGAATATTTGAGTATTTGCTTTAACTTAAGGCCGGGAAGGTTTCACTTTAGTTTTCCAAACACTCATCCCCAAGCACATACTCAGAAAAGCACTAAACAGATTTTGATAAAACCAAAACCATTTTTCCCCAACCAAGAAGCTTGTATTCAAATGGTTTTCACCTCGTCCGTGATCATAAGGGGATATGATAAATACTTTTACTTTGACAGACAAGGACAATGAATTCTCATCAGAGTACTGCTGTCATCGTTAAAGACTAAAAAAACAAGAGTTTGATATTAGAGGGTTTCTCAGAATCAGATTTTTAAAATAATCTGACATTTTAAAAAATGTCATACTGTCCGTCATTGTAAATCAAAAGAAGCATTCGTTTAAAGAAAGATTATTCTCACGACAATTGTGTCAAAAAAGGGCACTTTTTTAACTTTGTGACTGAAATAATGTACTTTTGTCGGAAAAAGCGACCTTGATGTCTTTGCTGTTGTGAAGGGACTGCGTTGTTGCGTCTAGGAATCATAATGTCCTACTACTGCAGAAATAAATCAAGTTTTAAGGGACCTCGATTCGTTAAGTCAAAAGAAAAACTCATGAAATAAATTACAAAACAAATGAAAATAAATCTGAGCAGACAAACACAAATATAAACGTGTTTGTCTCTAAGTTCTACTTTACAGTTTGTTTGGTGAATATCGTGCCCAGCAAGACGCATACCGTCTATTTCATGCTAAATATTTTGAGAACAGATCTCTCAGATTATCTTCTCATAGTGACTCAAGGCCTAAAAAATAATTGATTTCCGTGGGTAACTGACATGCTGCCGTCTAAGAACTAATTGAGTTATCAGTAGAAATGTGTTATTGACCAAATGGGAGGTCAAGACTATAATGGGCCCAAAAAAATAAACTGGAAAGAATAACATGGCCAAAATATTCAGTAATTTTATAACAATTTGTTAGCTGCAATTCACTTTTGGAAAGTATATTAGTTTATTAGTTACAAGGCCTTCATTTTCCTTGTTTACTGATCATGTTTTCGTACCATGTTTCTTAGTTTTGTGTTTTGTTTTGTTTTTTGTTTTTTTGTAGTTTTTCCTATGGTTTTCTTGCCAAAGAAAAGCCCACTGCGGAAATAGCTACAATTTATTAGTTCATGGCCGCGTGTGGCCAATGACATCGCCGTAGGATTTGTACTATAGTTCTGCCGCGCTGACCTCACACCATGAAATAAAAGCCGTAATTTTTTTCTTTAGGCATCTCCAACGTGGGAAGTTTCATGTAATCGTTATTTAAGCCGACAGTTAGTATTTCATCTGCTACCATAATTATTGTAAGCATGACATTGCCATTATTAATTGTTGACGTTCTCTTGCGTCAGTCAGGCGGTCTCCGTCACTTTCTGTAATTCAAATAGTCAACGGCATTAAGACGACAATTGCCCTCGTGCCTTAGGAGACGAAACAACCATTCGAAACCTGGGCTTAAATTGCCTTAAGGTGGTGAGCACTTAAGAACTACTTCAAAACTCCTCACTTTAAAGACTGATTCCGCAGTTCCCCACCAAGTGAAAAGGAGCCAGTATTAAGAACGAGAACTTCTTGTTATTGCATTTTCGAGGTTACTTGTCACTTTTTTTAATTGGTAGGTATAAGAGTACTGTCTATAATATTTGCGAGTTTTAGGATGAAGAAAAACATGAAGTGAATTTTCTATTTCATTTAATTATTTTTTTATAATTTACTACAGCTCACCTTAAGATAAGGATATTTAACAGAGGTATTGAGAAGGAGAAAAATGTACAGGTTCAGAACACCGATGAGATAACTATGATATGAACATAATCAAACTGAGCATAAAGTTGGGTCCAGCTTAGAATTTCTAGCCAATTCTTTTTTATTAGACAGAGCTATAATTAACTGCTCGTTCCAAAGAGCCGATGTTATGCTAGCACGCTTTCCTAACTGAAATATGGCGGCAAGTCAAAAGCTCAAAAACTTTTGAAAGTACCGCTCGAAAGCGTTTGCTTGAATCCGTCTCAAAATCAGGCACAAAGTGAACGTTTATCTTAAGACTCCTAGCTGGCGTTGTAAACGATAACTGACCGTTAAAGAAACTTATATCACATTTTATCCAGAGACAAGAACCGCTCTTCAGAATCGAAACCCCGGGGGGATTAATTCTTATGATGAGCTATACGGGGAGGTTCTGCTTGAAAAGAGTATCAAGTTTTTTGAGGGTCATGGAACGATATAGATTCCATGAGTCCAAAGGGTAGGGAAATTTGTCATTTCGTTATTTAAAAAGGCTTTTAATCACCAGAATAAACACATCTTATGGCTGTGGAAATGACAAGGAAAGTTCCTGTC